GATCATGATGATGGTGGCGGAAGTATACCAATGTATGTAGTTCCACTGAAATAGAACCGGATACTTGACACAAAACACAGGTGAGAACAGTTCGGCACAACCAGAACCGTGCAAGTGAAACAATTTAACTGTCAAATCAGTTTCAATAAACCAGACATACACGTGACACAAGTCAAAGGTCAAAACAGTTCAACTGAACCAGACATAGTTAATATCAGTCAAATGGCAAAACAGTTCTATAGAACAAAAACTCGTGCAAACGACACCAGTCAAAGGTCAAAACAGTTCCTCTGAATCAGACATACACTTGACACAAGTTATAAGTAAAAACAGTTCTACTGAACCAGATATACACGTGACACAAATAAAGGGTCAAGACAGTTCCATTGAACCAGAACCGCACAACTGACACAAAACAGTTGAGAGCAGTTCCACACAACCTTAACCGTGCAAGTGACACAATTCAACACTCAAATCAGTTTCATTAAACAAGACATACACGTGATACAGGTCAAAGGTCAAAACAGTTTCACTAACCAGGCATACACGTGACACAAGTCAAAAGTCAAAACAGTTCAACTGAACCAGACATACACTTGACAGAAGTCAAAGATCAAAACAGTTTGCAATTGTGACATAAAAGAAACAAAGATAAAAAACATTATCGGGACTGACGTTCTTGCTCGTTTTACACTTCAAATACATTGTGTAAGATGTCTATGTCTCGCATAATAAGAAATGACACATATCCAATTCAAGCGCGTGATATTGAGGGAAATATTGCTTTGTTATCACCAATCCCATTTCCTGCTTTGTGCATATACTATGAACAGTAATATGTACTATAGGCATTGTGCCTGATATGTAATGATGTGATTCAAAACACTTATATTGTAAATCAATGTTAATACGCCAGGTAAATAACCTTATTTATATACCAACTTTCAAGGAGGAAATGTGTAAGCCTGCTTTTGAAAAGCATCAAAAACAACCGGATACAAAACAAGGAACAAATATTACCCAAACACACCGTTACTTTGGGAATTATTGAAATAAAAAAAAAAACAAAACAAACAAAATGCATTTATTTACAAAATTTATCAAAAGGGACAAAATAATTGTTATCAGGTCAGTAAAAATATACAAATTCTTAAGCACTTACCACCGAAGCTTCAGAACTGAGAAATGCTGGTGGAAATTAATCGTATACACTTTGGGTGGCCATCTTTGATATACACACAACTATGCCTTACTTACTGTGTAAAACATTACTATTCGAACGTAAAACTTAGATAGTTCCGAACAGAAGCTTTTCGCAGAAAAGGTTTTAAAACTGCGCCAGGTTTTGGTTTTGTACTGATAACAAATGTCGTCAGACGATATTGAACCCATAACACTATTTAGTGTATGATACGCTGGTCGCTGTTATTGTATTGTATTTGATCCTATTTTTAAAGACATTGATATCTGGCTTTTCAACCTGTAAAGCAATACATACTCAATGTTTTATACCAGTGCACATAAAGTAACATACTGTAAAATCTTTAATTTTCGTGTGGGTTTTATTTTCAATGATTTTGTGTGTATTGTATAATCCAAGAAATGGTTGTTGAAATTAATATTCATAACAGTGGATTATTAAGCCAACTTATTCACGCTATCAACTAGCAACAGTAATACTGATTTTTTTTTTTTTTTATTGTTTTTTTATTTTCATTGGAAAGTTCAGATATAATCATTCTGAACCAGTACATACAATCATTTTCAATTGTGACATAGTTTATCAGTGTCATATAAATACATTGTGTAAGATGTCTTGTCAACAGATGTGTTAAATGAGAAATAAATACATCTGGTAACTGAATTCTCTAAAAACCAAACTGCTGTGTGTGCATGGATGATGATGATGTTGGGTGTTACCTGTATACGTGTAGTACATGCTTTCCATGTGTGGATCATGATGATGGTGGCGGAAGTATACCAATGTATGTACTGCAAGTATGTACTACGATAGATGATGATGATGATGATGATGATGATGATATGTGCAGAGCGTGCATGCATTATGATGTTATTTGACATGTCTGGATGGGGATGATGATGCATACCATTATGTATGTAATACACACATGTACGATGATAAATGAATTAGTGGATGATGATGATGATTCTAAAGTGAATATCATAATAGTCTTGATTTCCAAGCATTAATGAAAGGATATTGTCTGTTGTAGTGTTTCTTTATGTATTAAAGCTATCTGAAAAGCAAGAGCACCAAGGGCTTAACAGTCACCGGAGTCGCAATCGTTCTTGTAACATGTCATAGAAATTATTTTATTAAACAAGAGATCCCAGAGGAATCTTGGCGCCCACCATTTGAGGATCTGTTTTCAGTTCTTGAAGATTTTATTTTGTTTGTTACAAGTGTTGTAAATGTTCATGAACTGGTCTTCATTGAATGTACTCAATAATGGCACAAGATATTTTTATTAAGCACCTATTAGCAAATATCATTTGAAAAAAGATCCCAAAGTATTATTAGATAGCAGTCAGTTACAGGTGGATAATGGACAATATGCTTGTGCTGTATTACTGTCGACATCTAAGATGGCTGCCTGTGGGCCACCTTGATTTCAAATCAGTCCAAGAAAGGTACAATGCACAACTAGGGACCAAGGGAAACCAATATCTATGAAATATCAGAAGGATCCATCCTGGACTTCCTCAGATATAGCAGTAACAAGATTTTACACTCAAAATCCAAGATGGCTGCCTGTCAGCCATCTTGATTTCGGATCAGTCCAAAAAGGTATAATGCACAACTTGGAACCAAAGGGAACCTGCATATTAAATTTGAGAAAGATCCATCCAGTACTTTCCAAGAAATAGCAGTAACAAACTTTTACATTCAAAATACAAGATGGCCACCTGTCTGCCATCTTGAATTCGTGCATATGAAATTTGAGAAAGATCCATCCAGTCCTTTCCAAGAAATAGCAGTAACAAACTTTTACATTCAAAATCAAATGGCCATCTGCCATCTTGAATTCGAGATGGGTTGCACAACTAGTCCAAGGGGAAACTGCATATGAAATTTGAGAAAGATCCATCCAGTCCTTTCCAAGAAATAGCAATAACAAACTTTTACTTCCAAAATCCAAGATGGTTGCCTGTCGGCCATCTTGAACTGGAATCAGTCCAAAAAAGGTACAATGCACCTGCATATGAAATTTGAGAAAGATCCATCCAGTACTTTTCCAGAAATAGCGGTAACAAGAATTGTTTACGGACGGACGGACGAACGACGGACCACGGACGCAGGGCGATTTGAATAACCCACCATCTATTTGAATAGATGGTGGGCTAAAAAAGTAATATAACTTCAACTAAATTTTACATGTAAGGTAAATTAAGTTTACATTAACTTTTGTCGCAAGCTAAGGCTTCTAACCAAGTTTGAATTTACAGAAATTCACTCAAGATTTTAATTTTTCTATATAAAATTTTCCATCCAGGAACAGTAATGTCTTTGAAGTTTCAGTCAATTGACCCACTTTTGGCCCCGCCCATCAGCCTCAGGGAGTCGTTCAAGGTCAGTATGTGCATCTCATCAAACAGTCAGCTTAAACTAAGAAAAAGCAAGTTCTAAGCTTGAACTATTTCTGAAAGAAAATGAACAAATTATGCTAAAAAATGTAATTTTCCTACATAAAATTTTACCTCTTCCCCTGAGGAAATGTGAGACCCGGGAGTCATGAAATTTACAATTTTTGTAAAGCATCACAAGACACTTCCATCCATGAAAAGTACTTAATTCTATCATACCTGGGATTTTTGAAATTTCAATCAATTTTACACATTTTTGGCCCCATCCAACAGTCCCTGGATATTAGCCGAGGTCAATATGTGCATCTCATTAAACTGTCATCTTAAACTAATGAATATATCCAGGTTTGAACTATTTCCAACAGAAAATAAACAAATAATGTTCAAAAATGTGATTTTCCTATATTAACTATCGTAAACTTTTACCCAATCCCCAGAGGGAAATGTGAGACCCTTAGGTCATGGAATTTACAATTTTGGTGAAACATCTTAAGACCTTCCCATCTATGAATAGTACTTGATTTTACATACCTGGGATTTGAGAAGAAGATTTTTGAAGTTTCAATCCATTGACCATATTTATCGTAGCCTCTCGGGGCCCCTGAGGGTTGGGGACCATGAAATACAATTTTGGTGCACCTTAAGCTATGGAAGATTTTTGTAAAATTTCATTGAAATCGGTCTAGGAGTGTTCCAGAAAAAGTCGAAAATCTTTTCATGTTTATGACAGACGATCCTGAACAAATGGGGTTTGCAAAAGGTCACCTGAGACTTTGTCAGAAAGCAGGCAGTGTAGCTATACTATCTAGAAATGGAAAATTCACACTGGATAAATAGAAATCATCATGCTTATTGACCTTGGTGGAAGGCTGTCCCTCTTGGTTACACTTTAAGAAATGATCTACTTTTTTGGCTGATGGCGAAGGAACTGTACAGTCATTGACAAATTGAATGATTATTTTGTTAGAAAATTTTGTACTTGAAGAAAAATGGTTGGTTTCATACAGTTGAATGTCTTATCATCAGCTGTGGCCATTTAAGGATGGCCTCTGTGTATGCCAGACAAGTGCATGTGCCATGTTAGTATATTTGTTTGAGTCTGTGATGTTTGTATAAGTGTAAAGCTTCCTTGTGACAGGTTTAAACAAATTATCAGCATAGGTCTAGATAACCCTGGAACAATTTTATACCCTATATTTCATACACATTATTGTGGAGTATCAGCACACTTTGTGAATTTGGTATTTTCTAGAGAGGAAATTCCAGATATCAACTGAAAAAGTTTGACTTTTTATCATAGGTGAGACAAAAATTGAATGTCTTGAATAAACATCCATTACAGTAAACAGCAACGAAATAAGAATGTTTTCAGATGCAAAACAATGAAACAACAATCAACCTCAGTTTTAATTTATTTCAATCATCAGTTCATTCAAACATATTCTTGCATACATGAACACAAATCACACACACGTTCCATATTTCACACCTGTTTTAGCTCTGCTATTCTGTAACTCTTCACTCACATGAGCTTTAACAGGGTCACAATCATAAAATCTGAACTTAATTTGTACATATTTATAAGTAGAAAATATCATGTTTTTATTTACAGATGATTAGAAAAGATTTTAAGTATACTTTCCACATGATTTATTACAAAATAAAACCTAAGATCTGCATCTCTCTATACATACACACCTGTAGAGGCACACACCAAGGTTCTGGTCAGTGCCACAGTCACAGACAACATGACTCCAAGTATCCAGTCTTCCATGGGACTTTCTATATCCTATATACTTAGTCATTACTCTTATGGGATGGACCAATGAATTTGAAATGATACTGACCAAATCTAGGCCAAATGCCCACTTGATCGCCCATAACTGAAATGATTGTGTATTTCCCCTGTTGTTTCCAATTCTGTGGTTTAACAATCAAAGGCCTATAAGGAAAATATCACAAAGGGCAAAATACCAAGTTTAAAATCATTTGAACAAAAGTTTTTGCTGTATTAATCTTAACCACATCCTTTTGTCACCTCTGGAAGGGTTTGAAGCATCCTGATAAGACACAATATCACTCTAACAAACGAGAATGACTTTATATACCTTCAATTATCTCGAAATGACACTCTTACAAGATGTCCATCTTCATCAGAACACCTGCAACTAGATCTTATTTTTAGCTTGGTGTCCTGATATGACACTATATCTCTCTAACAAGACCACTATTTTTTATAATGCCTGGGTGACCAGATATGACATCATATTCCTCTCCCCAGATGGCTGTTTTTAAACAAAGGCTGCATGTCTGGATATTGACATCGTATTTCACTTTGACATGTTGAGTCGCCGTCATAATTTTTGAAAGAACTACAATTACGATGTTCTCACTCATGATGTCCTCTAAGCTGTGTAAGGCTGACGGATTAATGACATAAATATGTACTAAAAAGTGGTCATCATGACATTTTCGACCGTTTGCGAGCAATCGCATCTTCAACAGCTTTGAGCTGTTTGAGCAGTTCCTCTCGGCGTGAAGAAGTGCTCTTCTTTTCCTTCTGACTGAGGGCCGATGCTGCGGCAGCAGCTGCTGCCAGACTGGGTTTAGTCGGAGCCTTGGTAGGTGAGATAGGGGTACGTGCTGGCGCCTTTACGGGAGCTGCTGCTGCAGGTTTAGGTTTCACTACAGGTGTAGGTCGTACAACCTTATCAGGCTTCTTGATGACTTTCTCTGAAAAAAGAGATCTCTCTGTATCAGCATCTGGTCATCATGGTACTAACTTGTTTGGTATTACTGATTACACCCTAAAAAGCTGACAGAGTGTAAAATCACTGAACAAACAGGGTATCTAGTGATTCAATACAGAAAGTCTGAGAAACTGGATCATTTCACCACTGAGTGTCAAAACCAGAATGCCTTATTTTACCTATGTCATATTTCCACCAGGAATTTTGTTCTAGATTACATATGTATGAATTCATGACTTTGTATCCAAGAAGTAATTGAAATTTATTAAGCTGACCTGCGAAGACTTATTTTTCGAAATAAAGTGCCTGAAATTTGAGCCTCACAAAAATGGATGGTTTTTCAACATGAAAATTGGTGTTAAATCTGTCTGTAAAGGCGACTCATGAGAACAAAGAAAAGTGGTTTTATACACAGGTTGATTTATATAAAGATTCAATTATAATTCATTGCATCAGATAGAAAACCCAAAAAGTGACCTTTATAGGCAGGTGACCATTTGTATGAAGGTAGCTTTTAAGACAGGTTTGACTGTGCATATTTCATCTTTTCATAAATATGATTTCCTTGACAGAAACTGACCTGGCGCCTTCAGAGGTGCAACTAGCCCATGAGCCATTCTCTTGGACGGGGGAGCTACTGGTGGTTGATCAGCTGGACGTTTCTTGCTCGTCTGTCCTTTGTCTGAAGGAGCCTGTACATCAAATCATGAAAGCGATTCTAATTTGAGGTACTTACATAGAAAGGATTTTATTCAGAATGAGTCAATATATCATATTCAGCAATTAAAAAGGGAGAGGTCTACAGAATTTCTTTACTGATTAACCTAAAAATCAAATATATTTTCAAAACTTCTGCTTTTGGAGAAAAGCTAGTAAGAAAAATTTCAAACATATGCTGGTTTGCTGATATGTTACCTTGTTGAGAAGGGTCAGTTTAATGTTTGGTTTCTGTCCTGTAAGCTTGAGGGGATCCTTGGGTTTGTTTTGAGCAGACACAGTCTGTCTGTTAGAGCTGTCCACTTTGTTGTCTTGGCGACTAGCAGTTTTTCCTCCTCTTGGATCCCCCTTCATTGCAGCAGAGGGCAATGCTTTATCCCTGAGCGCAGGAGGGGGACCTCTTTTCTTTGGTTTCGGAGCTGAATTAATGATATTGAAATCAGCTTGCATTAAAAACAAGAGGATGATATGGCCTATATAGCTCACCTGGCTTACTTTGCTGAAATTGACTTATTTTACTACAGGAGAGGTATTTCAGAAAGTTGTATCTATTTTCCCGTAACAGACTTGACCCTCCTTCAAAAGTGGGGTTAGATGCAGCTGTTTAAAAATAAGTAAGTTCTCAACAAGATTTTAAAGAATTGGCTTTATGTTCACTCTTTGGCCACACTCCTCTGATCCCAATGGGCCTGAACCCACTCTTCATACAAAGTTGATTCCCTTTTACCAAGCATGTCTCACACCAAATTAGGACAGAATCATTTCAGAAAATACATTCCTACTTAGTCTAGCCTTACAGAATATGTCAGAAATTATAAAATGCACTTGTACCTTATCTCCTTATATAATTTTTGAATCAGGTAAAAAGACATCTTATTACATAACTGGGCTGTTGTATCATGTCATATGACCATGCCATAAATATTGTATGACATGTGTATTAACATTATTGTGATGTCATAAATAAATTATGTCTTGATGGCATTTCATGATTGTCTAAGTAGTGAAAAATATACTGTCAACATCAAAATAATTCAAGGTTTATGTTTATTTTTCAAAAATACAGGGTATATGATAAATAGAATTTAACGCTCATGCCGATGTAATATCATTTGATCTGACAGTCGCCCAAAGGCTTATGACGTACCAAACTACTGAAGTTGTTTACGAATTCCAAATAACATTGACCCGTGTGTAAAATCCTCTATTTAGCACTGAAACTTTCATCTCATTTTCATTTTCATCCTTTTGTGATAAAGACGAAAATATGAAGTTAAATTAAGTTTGATTTTAAATCTGGAAAATATACAATTGGATGACTTTCGGTGCCAAGTTATCGGGTGAAAATCGAAAGTTTTGTATGACAGAGAAAATAAACAAATGTCTCACTATTTACAATATGAGCAGTATATACTGTCACAGTATTTCCAAGTAACACTTATCTAAATCATATTGGGTACTGTTGTTCCAAGTAGCATTTCCAAATGACTGATCATAATCACTGACTGGTTATGTAATTAATTCAAAAAATAAATAACAATATCTCAAAACTGATTGATTTCAATTATTGATTGAAACAACTGTACATAATATTCAGTACAAGTTCGCCAGTTAGGCAGTGACGATGTTTACAAAACACATCAAGGTATGACGCATGGCCTTTCAGGCATGAATCCACAGTTCCTGTCCTCACTTAACTGTGATTTACCTGGTTTTTTTTTTGTGATAGTTGTCAAAATATAGTGATATAAAGCATTGTCCACATGAAAATAAGTTACATTTTCAGATGTTGGATTATGTTGGAATATATAGGGGAAAAAAATTTGTGTTTCAAGAAAACATGATATTAACTGGAAAATGATATTAACAGATGTGCCATTAAGTGGGTTCCATTGTATAACTGATATATTTCTATTGATTACCCAAACATACTTATAAATACAGGCTAAAATGATGTGGCACATTCACTCCTAATTACATTTCTGGTATGAACGTTAAACTGAAAAGGGAAGCGTACATGAAAATGATATCATTGATGAAGCAGACATGTCAATTTTGTTCCCTGTAAACCTTATTGAAATATGAACCATCTAAATGTGTATTCATGCAAAATTGATAGAAACATTTCACTCCATTATATTTGGTCATCAAAATTCAAGAAAATTGACTTTTACACTTCTTATCCTCATATATCAAGTAAAATGAGATGATCTAAAAATAACACTCTAGCAGCTGGAAAAAAAAAATGATGGGAAAACTTCACACAAACGAGAAGGAAGGTCTTAACAGTTAATTTTTTACCTGCAGGCTTGCGTTGTTTGAGTGGAGATGGACTCTCACCCACACCACGGTACAGGTGCTCCGAGTCGGCACTGCCACTGGAGCTACTTGAAGTGTGACTGCTGAACGAAGACATGCTGCTGTTACTTGACGATCTTGAAGATGAGGATGATCGGCTCCGTGATCGTGACAAACTGCTGCCACTGGAGCTGGCACTACCATGGCGTCGAGGTGGTGGTCTACAAATAAAAGAAAAACAAATCAAAATGATTTTAATCCTATTTTGAAAATTTTTCAAAATAGATCAATGTATTCTCTGATAGCAACTCAGAGTTTAGTTCACACTCTCTTCGATGAAAACTTTTGGTGTTGTTGATCAACTTGATAAAAACTTATTTACTTAATAAATTTTGTATCTACTTGGTGGAACCAGACTTTGCCTCACACTTACTTTTGCATAGGGCGTCGTGGACCCCCTCGCTGGGAGGGGGGTGGTCCCCGTTGTGGAGCCCTGCCAGGATGGGAAGCGGCAGGCATGTGTCTTGGAGGGGCACTGCCAGGGGCACCTCGTTGCTTGGGGGGCCCCCCTGGACCTGGAGCAGACCCGGGTCCCTGGTACATACCATGTCTTCGTTTGTCTGGACTCGTGTGAGGTTTGCCCTTTACAGCCACAGCACTACGTGGCTGGTCACTGTACAGAAAGTAAATGATATACAATATTTTAAAATCCAACACAGACTTGAAATTCTTTTGAAATTTAAACAGTATTTAACATATTTCTTGAACAGCAAACCCATTAATTCTTTGGAGATTTTATCAAGACACAAATCTGTATGTCTACAAAATGATAAGTAGTGAGACAAAAAATTATTCAAGTCTATGAAATGATAGACAATAAGACATGAACTAATACCTTTACAACACGATAAACAACAGTAAGACAGAAATTTATCCATGATAAACAGCTGTCAGACATAAATTTATACACATTTGAAATGATAAACAGAAAGATATGAATTTATACATTTACAAAACAATAAACAGGAAGAAACTGATATAAATATTAGAGCTAGTTGACTTCATGAATACCATGCAACCAACAAAATATCAACTTACTGATAAACTATGAAATTTAATCCTCACAAAACTATGTGATTTTTACAGTAGAAGTCTAACTTAACTACACCTATGTTGCAATGAATTCATAAATACCAAGAGGCCACGAAGACCTGCATTGCTCACCAGGCTTATTCAGCTATTCAGCCATTAATAGATATATATATATATGACAAACAATTTCTGATATAATTTCCTTATTGCATCTCACCCTTGTGGTCAGAGGTCAGATTCACTATTCATAAAAACTGGCATTTGTCCAATTGGACCCATCCCTTCTTACCAGGGACCGAGATGCACCATTTACACAGAACTTCTTCCCCTTCATCCAGGACTACTTTAAACCAAATTTGGGAAATATCCATTTATTCCAACTGGTGAGGTAGAATTTTAAACAATTTGCTGAAATCTCTGTCCCACAGGAGGAGTCAGATTTCAAAGCATTTACACTATTTCCACCATTGAGCCCTGCCCCTTCAGCACCAGGGTGCCAAGACCCATTGTTTAGACAAAATTGATTCCCTTTCACTAAAACTTGCTTCAGACCATATTTTGGGAAAAATCCAATCATTCTGACGGGAAAAGTATGATTTTAAAGAAGTTTTAAAACATTTGTATCTATTTCCCCTATTAGGCCTCACCTCTGTGCCCCAAGGAAGTTAGATGCACTGTTTATACAAAACTAAGTTCTCTTCACACAAAAATGCTTCTGCTCAAATTTTGATAAAATCACATCATTTCAACAGAAGAAGAATTTTAAAGAATTGGTTCAATTTCCCCTTTTGAACTCAATCCCTTGGGTTGTGACCCAGTGTTAATATAAAATTTGTCCCGTTTCCCCACGGATGCTTCTGACAAAATTTAGTCCAAATCCTCTTTGTCGATTATGACTAGTAAAGATTTGTGGAAAAATTGATGGACAGACAGACAGAAGACAAATGCTGGGGTGTGTGAATAGTTATTAAGCCCTTCATGCAAGGTGAGCTAAAAAAACACAGAAAATCATCTATGGTTCAAATTTTGGCTTTCTCCAAAATTCATGCAATACATAATTTTAAAAATTTTATTGTGACATTCTAAAGCTATGGTGTGGAAACCAAACTATTAGCAAAAATTGATCTTGATCTAGATTGTTCAACATACAGTAAAACTCATGTTGAATCAAATACATCAGATAAGTCAAATGTTTTGTTTGGTCCCAATTTTTTCTGTTCTTTGACTTGGTAAATTAAACATGTATGATTCCAATACTGTTGAGTTAAATATTGCATTTGTGTCGAATATATTTAGAGGTCCATCCCTTTTACATTCTACCAAAATTTCCTTATTTGTGTCATTCAGGCATCAGATAAAAATTTCCTGGCTTCTGTCCAAATGACTAAGTATGTGATCGATCAGCCATATCTGTGTTAACAAGCCCTTTTGTAATTTTTTATCAAACTTTAACCCCTGTGTTTACACACATGCACAGATGAAAGTTAGAATTTATTCAGAATTAGGCAACCAAACAAAAATACACTGTAGTCTGTTTACCATAAATCTACAGTGTTTTGCTTACATTTTTTATGCATAAGGCTTCCGGAAACCAAAGGAAAAAAACAAGCAATAACTACTGCACCAATACAGATTGATGAAAACACTAGTTTTCCATTGACACATTTGTTTCAGATTTTAAATACAAATACTAATATACATGTAAAACTGATGAAAATAGAGTCAATCTTTGATGCAAAATGTCTCCGCTCATAGAAACAGAGCTAAGTCGAACCATTAGATAAGTCAAATATTTCATTTGGTCCCATCAACCTTGACCTATCCATGTTTTACTGTACATGCAAATATTCTTTAATTCCCTAACCGATGGGACAAACATGGCAACACTATATGCCCCCAATCAATGGCAGGGAAATAACAACAGATTCTTACTTGGCTCTGTCTCCAGGACCGCCTACTTTCCTGTCACCCGGAGGACCCCCTTGGGGCCGAGGACCCCCCTGGGGTCGTTTTAATGGACCTTTACCAGGTGACTTTGACTTTGATGATCTGAAGAAAAAAATACAATTTAATCATTTCAACCTGGAGCAGAAAACACAATTAAGTTATAATTTTCCAATGAACAACTGCACTGTAAGATAGGAAGGTTGTAGGATCCTGGGGAGGAGGACCGACTTGCTGATGAGTGACTCCTGTATGAACTATAAGATGAATATCATACTGTATTACAGTGTTGTAAGACATACCTGGATCCTGGGGAGGAGGACCGACTTGCTGATGAGTGACTCCTGTATGAACTATAAGATGAATATCATACTGTATTACAGTGTTGTAAGACATACCTGGATCCTGGGGAGGAGGACTGACTTGCTGATGAGTGACTCCTGTATGAACTATATATGAATATCATACTGTATTACAGTGTTGTAAGACATACCTGGATCCTGGGGAGGAGGACCGACTTGCTGATGAGTGACTCCTGTATGAACTATATATGAATATCATACTGTATTACAGTGTTGTAAGACATACCTGGATCCTGGGGAGGAGGACTGACTTGCTGATGAGTGACTCCTGTATGAACTATATATGAATATCATACTGTATTACAGTGTTGTAAGACATACCTGGATCCTGGGGAGGAGGACCGACTTGCTGATGAGTGACTCCTGTATGAACTATAAGATGAATATTTTACTGTATTACAGTGTTGTAAGACATACCTGGATCCTGGAGAGGAGGACCGACTTGCTGATGAGTGACTCCTGTATGAACTATATATGAATATCATACTGTATTACAGTGGTGTAAGACATACCTGGATCCTGGGGAGGAGGACCGACTTGCTGATGAGTGACTCCTGTATGAACTATATATGAATATCATACTGTATTACAGTGGTGTAAGACATACCTGGATCCTGGGGAGGAGGACCGACTTGCTGATGAGTGACTACTGTATGAACTATAAGATGAATATCATACTGTATTACAGTGGTGTAAGACATACCTGGATCCTGGGGAGGAGGACCGACTTGCTGATGAGTGACTACTGTATGAACTATAAGATGAATATCATACTGTATTACAGTGGTGTAAGACATACCTGGATCCTGGGGAGGAGGACTGACTTGCTGATGAGTGACTCCTGTATGAACTATATATGAATATCATACTGTAATATCATATGAGTGACTGTATTATATATGAATATCATACTGTGTGTGTAAGACATACCTGGATCCTGGGGAGGAGGACCGACTTGCTGATGAGTGACTCCTGTATGAACTATATATGAATATCATACTGTATTACAGTGTTGTAAGACATACCTGGATCCTGGGGAGGAGGACCGACTTGCTGATGAGTGACTCCTGTATGAACTATATATGAATATCATACTGTATTACAGTGTTGTAAGACATACCTGGATCCTGGGGAGGAGGACCGACTTGCTGATGAGTGACTACTGTATGAACTATATATGAATATCATACTGTATTACAGTGTTGTAAGACATACCTGGATCCTGGGGAGGAGGACCGACTTGCTGATGAGTGACTACTGTATGAACTATAAGATGAAGATCTTGACCTTGAACGTGATGAACCTGAAAATGAGCTGCAAGAAAGAAATAGAACAAACTAAAAGTTACATTTTCCCTGTAAATTCTCTGTACTGAAAAGGAAACAAACCAGTTTACCCATTAATTCCTCTAAACTCCTAAATATGCCTAGGTTGTTTTTCATTTACCAAACATTTCTGAAAAATAGTAAAAATTATGTTTGGGGGGAAAAAATCTGATTTTGCCTTGTTGAAAGAGGTTAATACTAAATTAAAACCACTAACATTTAAATGATGTCAGTACATGTGCATATTGTGGAGGAAAACATTCCCTTTTGTGAACAGTATAGGGACTGCAGACTTTATTTATTTATTTATTTATGATAAAAGTACTGCACATGTAAAAAGTATGGCATTTCTTTTATCATTTTTTTTATTTTTAAATAAACAAAGGACAACAACATAAGGGTTGAAATATTCCTGATCATGGAACAGACAGATGAAGTATTTCTCTCAAACAATTGAAAAACCGGCAACAAATTGTAAGTTGTGAAACCTATTCATAGCACCATCAATAGTGTCCCATGTATCTGCATCAAAACTGATGATGTTATCAGTTTCGCAACATGATTACGCTACATATATTGATGACACTATCCTGTTGTGAGTAGCATTAGAGCACAGGATATCTTGTCACAATCTTAAAGGTGACAGAGGAGGATGAGAGGATCAATTGAAACAAGTATAAAGAGCAATGGTTAAATCAATCTTTGAACATGGAAACAAAACTAGTCCATAAGTTTCTTTGAACCTTTGAACAGAATTCTACCATAATTTCAATTATAGAAATGAACTTGAAAAATTGTCACCCATAATCAAGTCTACACTATACCTAATCCAAAAGGATGAATCAGGACACAGTTAAAACTATATACCCCCAACCAATGAAAATGATGAACCAGGACACAATTCACACTATAAAACCCTGCCAATAGGAATGATGAACCAGGACACAATTAACACTATATATCCTTTGATGAACCAAAGGTCTCCTACAGCTAGTAATGAAAGACTTGTTACCTTGATGAGAAAGAAGAAGAATAGCTATGGGAACGACGAGCTCTCCGTCGTCCTCGGGAATGACTTCGGGATGTTCTCGGTTTCCTCTTTGGTGACTTTGACCTGTAATACGATAATTGGATACAATCACTACAAATATCTACATATTTAGATATTAAGAACATCTACTGTAACTACTATAAAACAAACATCCAAATATATGGTTTACACAGAGAATTTTTGCCACAAGTTAACTTTTGCCTATTTTGCAAATTTTACCAACAAGTGGAAAAACTAGGTTGATTCCAGTTCGTAAGAAAGTCGGAATTTGTGTGTTAATGTAAATAATGCTGGCTTAAGATAAACATATTTATACAAAGGTGAAAATGACTGGGTGAATGTTTCTCTGTTGACAGTAATAAAAGAATGCTAATCAACAGACATGGTTCTTAAGGGATATTAAAGAGTCTTTGTCTTGCTATTTAACTCCAATTCAATTTTCACATTAATATATTTCCAATCAATACAATTAATTATTCACAAATTTGTTTACTCCAGGTCATCACATTTTGAATTGGAGTAAACAATAAACAAGTAGATAAATAATTTTTCTATAATCACCTTCGCCAGGGATCATGCCATGAGTCAGCAGGCCGGGGTCGGGGCTGATGATGTTGGTGCTGGTGAATTGGTGGTTCAGGTCGTTCATCTTCCCACTCTCGTCTACGATTATCGCGGTGACGTTCAAACCTGTACCAATGAAATACTTATAAGGCATGATTATGTTAAGTGATCATAGCATTTTATCATGAACCAAATGAAATTTTTGTTTCAAGCAGGACTGAATTATCACTACTTACACAAATGTATGTATCACTAATCTGTCTCACTAGTGCAGACCGACAGTACTTCACCTTATGTGACAGTATCATAGGTGTTCAGACAAAAATCTTTTCACTCACTTCTTTAATCTGTCCATTTAAATGGGTTGAGTGATTGTATGTATAGTTAACTGACCACAATGTCATCTTGTACACAAGGTACATCAGTGCTAGTATGCTTCACACTGATCATTTGTCTGATGAAGGTGACTGTCTAGTCATCGAAACGTCACACTTAAACCTTCTATTAGTTATGCTAAGACTTCATATCTCGTACACTACATACATCAGTGCTAGTAAGCTTTACACTGGTAATTTGTTTGACAAAGGAAAATGTGCTGTCACTGAAATATGACACTGAAATCTTCTACGGGTTGTGTTATAAGAATTTTATAAATCACAAATCCTATTACCATATAATAATATGATTATATATTGGAAAGAGTGTACACTTCTTTCATCTAGCAATAAGCTCATGCGTTGTAATAAGCCCATCCATTTATATTGTTGTTCAGCAAAGTTACAATATTTCTATTCCAATTAGCCTTGTAATAAGCCCACCCATATATACAGTTTATTCCAATTAGCCTTGTAATAAGCCCACCCATATATACAGTTGTTCAGCAAAGTTACAATATTTACCTTTCAATTAGACTTGTAATAAGCCTACCCATATATACAGTTGTTCAGCAAAGTTACAATATTTATCTGTCAATCAGACTTGTAATAAGCCCACCCATATATACAGTTGTTCAGCAAAGTTACAATATTTATCTGTCAATCAGACTTGTAATAAGCCTACCCATATATACAGTTGTTCAGCAAAGTTACAATATTTCTATTCCAATTAGCCTTGTAATAAGCCCACCCATATATACAGTTGTTCAGCAAAGTTACAATATTTACCTTTCAATTAGACTTGTAATAAGCCTACCCATATATACAGTTGTTCAGCAAAGTTACAATATTTATCTGTCAATCAGACTTGTAATAAGCCCACCCATATATACAGTTGTTCAGCAAAGTTACAATATTTATCTGTCAATCAGACTTGTAATAAGCCTACCCATATATACAGTTGTTCAGCAAAGTTACAATATTTCTATTCCAATTAGCCTTGTAATAAGCCCACCCATATATACAGTTGTTCAGCAAAGTTACAATATTTACCTTTCAATTAGACTTGTAATAAGCCTACCCATATATACAGTTGTTCAGCAAAGTTACAATATTTATCTGTCAATCAGACTTGTAATAAGCCAAATCATATATACAATTGTTCAGTAAAATCACGATATTTATCTTCAAATTCCCTAGCAATAAACCCACTCAGCAAAATCACACTATTTCCTTCCAAAAAGACTGGTAATAAGCCCAACCATATATATTGTTGTCTTGAAGAATTACCAGTAATTCCACTTTCATCTCCAGTGCTAAGCCCCTGCCCCAATTTTGATAAGAAGTTATGTGTTGACCACCTCCTCTTATTTTGAAAGTGAGTATTGATGAATAATGAATTGTACCATAATTACACAAAATGAAACACTGACCTTTCTATGTGGTGTTGTGGAGGTGGAGATAGGTTCCTCGGTGAATACTTCTCTCGTTCTCGTACCTGTAATGAAGTAGAACCTTTATACGAAATGAAATTAATTAAATATCGAGACAACAGTCTGGAACAGATTCTGGAAACTACAATGAACTAGAACCCATAAACACATCAGTGCCCAGTTCAACTGGTCCAGCAAAGTAAAACACTGGGATGAGATTCCATACAGTTAGCAAGTACAGGTAATGTACGTGTTGATGGAGGACTAAAAAGGAGAATTTTTATCAAGTTTTTAATGAAACAGACAAATCATTTGTCTTCCTTTACAAAGGGTTCTAGAAGGAAGAAACTGTTAAACAACTCGCATTGGGGTCTGGACAGGAGATTATGCTCACATTGGGGTTCAACCAGGAGACTATACTCACATAGGGGTCTGAAGGGGGCCGATGATGATGTTGCTGGGGCATGGCAGGTTGTATCCAATCTGGTTCTCGTGTCCAGCGTACCTCAAAGTTCTCATACTGACCAGACTGCCAGTTATGGTGCTGACGTTGATTCTGATAAGGTTTGTCGTAATACTCGTCATCATACCTGTCATACAAAAACAAGCCATGTATCACACATCCTAAATATATCATAGGTGCAGTCTGCTGCAAGCCATCAGAGCCGATATTGTAGTGTGTTAATCATCAGAGGTCCATGGAAACTGATTAAATTACGGATAAATGGATGACTCACAATTTCATAAATACACTTACACTTGATCGTAGTAGGGATCTTTTGGCCCCTTATCAAACTTCAGTCTGTCATTTTCTTTGTTGAATTCCCTATCTTCCTCAATTGATAAATTCATCTTTTTGTCTTCAAAGTTGGCATCTGTTTCCTTCCGTTGACTAGCTTTCTTTACCATCTGAAAATGAATTATGAATTCAATATACTTCTGTCACTCATCAATGTCTTATTACTTTTGTTTCCACCATATGCTGATATATGCAACACTTTGGCTGGAAAAGGACTTTTAATCTCACATCAATTTACAGCTCTACTATTTAATACCATTTATTCTACTTTGTGATTTTCTTCGTCATTTAACAGTGGCCTGTGCCAGTGTGAATGAAAAATAGTGCAATATTTCTCTTCACCAGTGGGCGAAATTTTATCTTTACTGCTCAGGATGACATGTAATTGGCTTCTCGAATGTTGTTTATAGGAGTAGAGACTAGATATTACAATGACACTCATGCCGCAAAATGACCTAGGTTGTTTACAGGATGATACACCCTACAAACAATCAAGCATACAACGGCTAATGATAGAAAACAGGTACATGTTTCTGCATATATTGGGACAGCACTTCGTATATATCCTTGTAATACCAATTTCATTAATTACAATTTATCATTCAAAGACTAAGGACTGCTCACCTCCTTTGCATGTCTCAGACCTCGTTCCCATGCTGACTCAGGTTGTGGAGCCATAGGAGGAGGAGGTAATTCATCAAAAGATCCCTGAAAGAAAACTTTAAAATCTGAATTTGTTCATAGTTAAAGCTTTACAGCAAAAGATAGGCTGGGTGGGGGGTTGGGGGATATTAGGAAAAAGAAAAAAATTTAAAAGAGGGCAATGTTGTGCTCATGACACAAAATTTTAACGAAGGACAATAACTATATAAATAATGGGTTGCAGGTCTCGACTTTGGTACACCAAACATCGTGTTAGTATAATCAATGTATACAACAAGTTTCATTACACTAGTTTAAATGCATGCAAAGTTATGGTCTGGATCCAAAAATCCAAATAATGTGCAATATCTCAGTAATTAAAGGTGTTCAGGCCTTGAATTAAATATACTGCACATGATCTTTGTATGACTACTGTTTCCACCAAGTTTCATCATCTTAGCTAAAATGCAAGCAATCTAAAGTTCTGCTCCTGACTTGAGATTTTAACAAAGGACAAACACTTTGTAATTAACGGGTTGATGCCCTGACTTAGGTGTACTGCACATTATGTCAAACTGACCAATATAAACACTAAGTTTCATTATGTTCTGGGTACAAAATCATAACTAAAAGGCAATAATTCTGTCAATATGAGTTTACAGGCCCTGATCATGGAACAATGCACATTCTCTTAATATGACAAATGTAAACACTTTCACTATTATAGTTTAAATGAAAGCAAAATTATGCTCTTGGCACAAACATTTTAGCAAGGGCAATATTTAAAGACGGACAATGTTGCAATTACATGAACATGCTCCCCACGAAAAACTTTGAGTAGCATAAAAATTGATCACCATGATAAATTTTTGATATTCAAGCATTAGACATTGGTGAAAAACTTAACAATTGCTCCAGTTAAGAAAAAAAATATAAAGTACAGAATCTTTGTGAAATTGTGGTCAGGGCTTTGCTGTCATGTGCAAGAAACAATTGATTACCTCCCCTTGGTTCCATGGGCCTTTTCCAAAACCCTTTTTTGTAGGACTATCAAATCCAGGTCTCTCTATGAGTCTGTAATTTCCTGTTAAACCATAAACCAAAGATATATTTTATATAACATCTTGAACAAACATAACAGATTCTATCTACAATAATTAACACTTGCATGAGAATTTGTAGTGATAGACTGATACATGAAAGCAAATTAAATGTTTTTCATGTCTCCATATTAACAATGAAATATAAAACAAAATGTATTTTAAAAAACTAGAACATGATCGAAAATGAGAAATGATCGAATGTGAAAGCGAAGTGTTACATGTTTGGAAGTTGAGTAGTGTAATTACTTTTGACAAATGTCAGTTTGCTGGCTGATTATGTCAAAAACTTTTCTGCTCTGAGTGAAAACAAAAAAAAAATTATTCACTCGTGTGTTCTTGTGTAATCTAACAACTCCACATAACAGACCCAGATAGAATTAGAATCTCTCACCTTTATCATTGACACCTGGGTGTAGAAACCTGCAGTTGTTTCCCCAAGTACACTGGCCGCGTGTGTAAAAACGACATATTGGTTTGACAAAAGGTTTCCTTGCTCCTGGTTCTTTTATCTCCCCTTCTTCACAATCCTCATCCTTGTGAAATGTAACACAATAACAGATAATTATATAGAAACTACTATCATGTTAAATGATGAGTATAGTGCTGTGATCAGTAACAGTTCAAAACCTTTTTAAATTAATAAATCTATGTCAACATTTTTCTGTAAGTAACTATGAAAAGATATGCAGCACACATACACATAAAGGACAAATTTCTTCATCTTTACATGACTTAAAGTTCAGGAAATAGGGTAAACGTAACACAAAGTTACAGTTGAAAAATAAATAAATACTCATTCAAATAAATCTTAAGACTATTTTTAATATTGCCAAAAATGGACACCTTGAAAACAACATGAGTAAAAAATCCATACCTGTTTCATAATTTTTGGTAAAAATACCTACATCTTTTCTACTTGTAGCTATGCTAGGAACAGCGAAAAACTGGACCATTGGGAAAAAAGTTCCAACAACATTGAAATTATGACCAAAAGAATATGAATCTGTCATGCTTGTCTTTATACTCACATCATCCACCTCACCATCATCCCGGTCAGACAAAGCTTCTCCCTAAAACAAAAGTAGCAAGCAACAAAATGAAAGAATTTTACAATAATACGACCATGAAAGACATTAAACCATGAAATGTGAATATATGTTCAGAAATAAATTAATCTGCAAACATTTTGCACTTAAAATAATATTATGAAGATGTTCATGATGCAAACAAAACACAGTCTGTCTTCGATCAAATGTAGCCTATATATGCATGTATTAAGAATAATGAAATGAAGCAATTTTGGAACTGTCTATGAATTGTAACAAGCTCAGACGAAAGACAAGGACTGGGCTATGCTTCAGAATGGGACAAATTTTAAGTATGAAAAATAACAAAAGGCAATAACTCCTAAATTATGCAAAAGAGAGTTATGGTTCTTGTGTACTGCCCTTCTTCTTGTTTAGATCTATCTACCTATGAAGATTTATGTTGATATTTCTTGTAGTTTTTATATTTTGCTCTGCACAAAATTATGATGGACAGACAGACAAACAATCAGATGGACGGTTGAAGTGGCAACAACATGCTCTCCCTTTGGGGGCATAAAAAGCTGATACAACATGCTTCACTGAAGTGGTGGTCTAAATATCCACATATACTGAAAATGATGATGTATTTTCATTTGAGAAGTGAAAATTGCTTTGCTCAGAAACAGACAGGAAAAAGAAACGACTCACATCTTCCCTTTTATCATCTTCCTCATTGCCTCTATCATCCATTTTGTCCTTGTTGGTGTCATCTGTCGATTTGGGAACGTCATCCATACCATCTTCATCATAGTCCAATTCAACATGATCTTCTGGAAGACTAGACTGCAACTTAAGCTGTCCTTCTCGGATTTTCTCCCTCAAATCTGTGAACTTTGGGCGTTCAGTTTGCGTCTCCTCTTTCCGGCTGACCACTCTAGTGTCCACCATATTCCTGACTGGAACAGCCTCCTCTTCATCATCGCTGTAGGACTCCTCCTCATCAGACACATCGTTGTAGATGTTCTCATTTTCCTCTTGTTTATTGACTTCCTCCTTCTGTTCATCTTCCGTTACTGGTGAAGCTGGATTATCGGCTTCAACCTCTCCTTCTTCCTCGTCCATGTCACTCTCTGGTGAGTCTATATCCTCTGTTTCCTCTGGAGAATCGATGTCCTCTGGTTCTACATTCTTCTCTGCTCTGTCTTTCTGCATTTCTAGCCTGTTTGTATCTTCGCTGATGTGACTTGGTGTCTCCTTTTCCAAGTCAAGAGTGTTCCATTCCTCATCCTTGTCACTATCCCCTTGTTCTACACTAAACTGACCAGTAGTGCTCTGAGAAATTCTTTGATCAACTGAACTGTCAATCGACTTCCCATAAGACTCTGTTTCACCCTCAACAGTTTCTTCCACATCATTCACACTATCTCTTTCATCTTCACTTATTGGAACAGATCTACTTTCTTCATCTTTTTCATTTTCATAAATGTTCATTTTTTCATCATTCCTATCACCTTCATCATTAATTTCTCCATCAGAACTAGCATTTTCATCTCCATCTTTAAGTTCATCTTCATCATCACCAATTTCTCCCTCGGAACTCATGTCATTTTCTTGTCCTACATCAGATTCTCGAGATACATCCTTTATATGTTCATTATTTACTATGTCACTGTCAGTGGCATTTTCATTGCTATAAACTTCACCAGTGTCCATTTCCCCCTCGTCCATCACTGGGGTATCCTCATTATCAACATTATCACTACAGACAAAGCTAGTATCATTAAATTGTTCTCGTGAGCCAGCACTTTCCTCATCAAAGTCCTTAGTGTCTTTACCTTCATTTTCATCATACAATGAGGAACCTATAGAATCTCCTTCAGTGTCACTAATTTCCTCATTGTCATTAACACTGTCTCCTTTATCTGGTTGTACTTCTTTAATATCATTATAATCATCAGTTGGGTAATTATTTGTCACTGAATTTGTATTATACTCTGAATCTCCAGTCGGATTTGTATCAAATGTTGTAGAATCGGGTAAATTATCACTATTCTCCTGTATAACATTACTTTTATCCCCTGGTAAAGCTACACTAGCCTCCTCTTCCAACTGTCCACCAGAATCTGCCTCCTTTTTCCATAACTCTTCAAAAGATTCCTTGTCAAGAACTTGCATTTCTTCTTGGCTAACATCATCGTCATCACCATCAAGCTCTTTTACATCACCTACACTGAAATCTTCATCATCTTCATCTATTTCTCCAATCTCCTTGTCACCTGTGATGATGTTTACTTCCCCAGAGCTCTCTACTAGATCTTGACTTTCCTCGTCTATTTCCTTATCTTCATCTTCCTGACTTTGAATATCTGCTACAATGTCTCCATGCATATCATTCTGATTCCAAATTTCATTGAATTCCTTGCCATTTTTTTTCGTGTCATCCTCAATAGATTCATCATCTTCATGAAAATCTTCCTGACTTGATACATCATCTGCATTCCTTTCTTCTGAAACATCTGCATTTCCTTCCTCTAACACTTCTTCCTGGCTCTCACCATCTTCTGCATCATTTTCCTGACTTTCATCATCATGGTCAGATTCTTTAGTTTCCTGTCCCTTACTGTCTTCAGAACCCTCCTCCTTGTTCTCAGACAATTGATCAAATTTTTCATCAAATCTACTTGCTAAGTCGCTTTCTTTCACTTGGTCTCCATCCTGATGATCTAATGTGGATGAGACAGGATCTTCACAATCACTAAAACGTTCTCCTTCTACAGATGAACCACCGTTTTCCTGATCACTGAATTCTTCAACATTGTTATCTTGTTGATCCGATTGTCCATCGTCATCCTCTTCTTTGTTTGCTAATGTTGCTTCGTCCCCTACATCCATTGTTTTAATTTGCTGTTCTATCTGTAAATCAAAAAAAAAAAATAACAGTGAAATTATTTGTTTGCCGTAAATAATGTAATTACCGGAGGAGTAAGTATTTTTGGTCAAGAGAGAATTGAGATAGTGGCAGTTATGAGTAATTTGCTCTGCTGCGAACATCAGCTCTTTTTCAAATTAATTACATCAGGAGTCACAATCTCCTCCCCCCCCCTCTTTGACTTAATTAATTTGTTCAAAAGATGCAAAAGGTAAGAACTTGCAATAAGGAAGAGTGAAAAGATGTTATATATATATTTTCATCTGTACCTCTGTGCATTTGCTAAAACAGGATAGCCCTGGGGAGACTATTGAGTGAACTTGATTTGACATGCTGATTTACTTGTACCATTGCCGAATGCAAGCATGCAGCATGGCTGTCGCGACTGGGTAAAAAACTTGGTAGAGTCGCACCAAATTTAAAAGAAACTACAACTTTTAAGATGTTTCTATACAACCATTAGATGCACTGAATAGAGAAGGTGTAAGTGATAAGAAAACTTTACAGGATATAATTAAGAGCAGGGAAACAAAATGCTCTTCATTTAGGGACAGCTTAAAATATAAGTACAATATATACCTAGATTAAAGATTTTAATGAACCAATGAATAATACCTATATTGTTTGTAATTTTCACAGCAGTACAAAAGACAGGTCACATGGCAATATTGAAACGGCTATAGCTACTTAATGAGTAGAAAGCCTCGATCACCTGACATCTTTTGCGCATGTTTCATAGTGGCTGGTCAACTGAAGTGGACTGACAGAATGTATCTCGTAAAACATGATATTTTGAATATTTATCTAGTGACACAAGAGAATTGTTGCATTTCTGAAAAGGGAAAATGTCTTAACCAGCGTTGTGTGTTAGTATGGAAATGCATGCAATCATATTTTCCATGCAAGATATCCCATATACCTAGTAGATCGATGTGAAGAAAATGTATGTTTTTTACGGATTCACTAATACGATCGTGACATCCCACAGGGTAGATTCATTTTTCTATGTCACGGTTTTCATATTATAATTCTATGAACTTTCTAACACATATTAATAATAAAAATTGAACAAATAAAGAAACTCAGAAACCAGAGAATTCAATCATGCAGTTGTCAATTTCATAATTATAGTCATGCTCTTGACATATCAAAACGGATGATTCAATGGTATGCCTACAAAATCTATTATGCACAGCTAGTGCATGATGGAAACCTCTTGCCGGGTAAACATGAATGATAGTCTAATTTTTACCTGGACGAAAGCGATCAATTCCGATCGCACGGCTTCAGAAGGCTAGATAGTTGAACCATGAATGGCTTTCAACCACTTCTGGTATAGGTTTCGTTTCAATTTCAATGAAAAAGCATCTGTAAGTTCTAACGGTAATCACACTTCATCGCATAGACGCCGCCATTGCTATAATTTCATTGGTAGGGCGAAGTCATATGACATTTGATTCACTCGTTAGTCTCTAGACTTTTCCTTTTTCTATCTTGTGCCTCCGCATCAAACGAGAGGTTCCGATTCACACTAAAAACAACATGGACGTTGAGGAACTCTTGACTTTCCAGGTAAGAAAGAATAAAAGCAAAACACGTGCTTTTGAAGAGACTTTCCCCGATTTCATTTTAATTTATATTTCAATTATAACATATAGATGTACATTTGAATCACGATTGTGAAATCCCAAGGAAGTCTCAACATTTTAAACATCAGTGACTAAATTTTCTACGTTTCAGTGTCGTATATAAACCGCGTTAAATTATCTCCCTTGATTAATAAATGTGTAACAGAAAAGGGGCAGGCCTAGTTTGCCTCTGCCATGGATTGAACCCGCGACCGCTGGCTTATTGGTCCGTCGCTCACTGACTGAGCTAAAGGGAAATTCTCTCTACTGCAATGCTAGGATACGACGGGAGCATTCATAAACAATTTAAATTAAAAAAAAAAACTGTAATTCCATGATCACTTCATCCGCCCAACGATGCCTCGTAACAATCTTGTCCAGGTTTCAATTGAAGCGATCTACAGCTTCAAATGTAACAGAACAGGAGTTGTGTGCCTCCAACGTGATTAAACTCGTAATTAATGACTGAAGAGTCAGTGTGCATGCTCTGCAAATCTATCTAAATGTAGATTCCCTCATAATGAAGGCTAGAAGGCGGCTGTATACTTTTAGAATCTGCCACCGATCTACAAGCCCATAACAATGTCATATACATATAGTGGTAGTCGTTAACATAATCAAACATCTGTATATTGTTACAGTTTTAAGTTTAATAATTGTCGGAGTATGCAATATGTTTTAGGGCTGGCTTCAATCTACTATCACATTTCTTGGGAACAATTGGTAGAGCCATGCATTGTCACTCAACTTGGTTTTGATTCCTCTTGTGACACTGAGCAGGAATGGGTTTGTTTTTTTCTGTTCTATAATACATAATTATTAAGTTGGCATCCATTTAAATCCCATGGGTTGTGGTAATTCATTGAGAGTCTTGGGTTGAAAGATTTCATAAAATCTTCAGAAAAAAAGGTAGGTAGTGTAAAAGAAACAGGGAGGTGTGACTGTACAATTAGTGCTAAAGATGGTATATGTTACTCGGTTGAAGCAATATGCATGGTTGAGGTAGTTGGATTATCAGGCAGGACACCATATGATTCTGTTCTCGGAGGGATCACCTCTAGGCTTTGTTGTGTTTTCTCTGTTCATTTGCATATTTATTGAACCTTTGAGTGACTGTTAGTACTGAGAGTGTCAATAATATTGTGATAGATTTATACAGAACTTATCTCTAGATCTAATTTATATGTGAACTGCTAATTTTGTTTGGTAGCCAAAAAAGCCAGCTCCAACAGGGAAGCGGAAGGGCTTTGATGACGAAAATGGTGACACGGGTAGAGAGAAGAAGAAGAGATTCTCAGATGTAGATAGTATAGATACAAGTGTAATGGAAGCAGAAAGAGAGAAAATATTACAAATGATTGAAAATGAACCTGAGGTAAGTATTGTTTAGACATTTGTAAAAATAGGGTGAAATTTTATTGTAGTAAAACCAGGTATCCTGTACATTGAAAGTTGGAAAGATAGAATTCAGAATTCTAAATAAGTTTTAACATATATAGTGTTAAAGTATTGATGAAATATGTAGTCCAAAATCTTTTCTGAATTCTGAAAGTCAAGGATATTTGATTAGATTCAATATTTAAATAATACATGTACTGATAAAGATGTAGTAACACTAAAAAACTTATCATTTATGGTATAATTAACGTTGTTAGTGAATGAGTAGGATGAGTCAATGCAGAATTCATTTACCATCCATCTGTTGTCTAGTCATAAAACTACTGCAGAGGACATGTACAAGCAGCAGTCTCTGCAAAAATGCTCAGACCTAATAATATCCTATAAGAACAGATTGACCTAGTTTTGTTTGATCTGGTTTAAAAAAAAGTAATTACAAATTTACCTTAACATTATCTATCTCTTTCATGATTTTGAACTAAAAGGATAGATGCTTGAGGGCAGTAAAATGGTAGTGGCCTAGTACCTCAGTTGAATGAGGTATTTGTCGTGGCTAAAAGTAATTTTTGAAAATAATATTTTCTTTAAATTAAAATGATCTGATCCACTAGTTTTCATGTTTTTGTGCACATTGTTTTCCTTATAAGCCTGAAGCATTAGATGAGACAAGCCTGAAGAAAATGCTCCTCACATTTGAAAAGAAAGTTTACAAAAACCAGGAACAAAGAATTAAATATCCTGATTTACCAGAAAAGTAAGTATGATTTGATACTGTTTTGTAATATTGATTTGCCAGTTTTAATTTGAATTTGCCCATGTAACATATTTGCATATGTGACTGATATTATATACCCACGAGCAATTTTCATTGGCTATTCAATTCGGAAATCAATTGTGATGTCATAATATGGACAACAACATTATGTCATGTATTGAGCAAATAACTGAATCCATCTTCTTAACCTGTCAAAGTAACATTTTTCAAAGTTATGCATTAAAAATGTCATTAAATTTGTTTTCATTCCATATGGCATTCTATGAATTGAAAACTCATGAATGATATGATAGTATATATTTTGACTCTTTGACACATATTAGTGAAAAAAAAAAATCATGATGCAACAATAACTCTAACATATTTTCTGATGTTGATAACAATGTGAAAAAGGTTTTAATTTAAAAATGAAACCCTTGTGATGATTTAGGTATTAATACATTTACTAACAGAATCCAGCAACAATAATTATGTAAAATCAAAGCAGAAAGGATTGATATTTAATAGTTATTTTGTAGGACTCTTACAAAATTCTCATGAAATGAAATAAATTACAAGAAAAATGTTATATTCCATTGAGTGTCTGAGAACTGTTGTTTGTTGTTCAAATCTCCCAAAATTTCTGAAAATGTGTCATACTCATAAGATTTTAAATTTTGTATTGTTTAGATTTATGGAATCAGAATTAGAATTGAATGATGTGATACAGGAAATGCACGTGATCGCCACTATTCCAGACCAGTATCACATCTTAGTGGACCTGAACACTGTTACATCCCTGATGCAGTTAGTAGCACATGAAAATACAGGTAAGGAAAAATTGGCTTATGAGAATATAGATGAGAAAAAGATAGATCTTGAAAATACAGGTGAAACATTAGTGGGTCATGAAATGACAGGTGAGACGATAGTGACTCATAAGAATATGGATGATACAAAAATCGATAATAAGATTACAGGTGAGGCGATAGTGGTGCGTAAAAATACAGGTGTGACAAAACAGTAGTACAGATGAGAAAACATTAAGCACTGGCCCTGTATATGGTTCATTGGTATTAATAAGGGGCAGCAATATTTGGATAGGGAATTGGGTTACATAAACTCGTTTGAAGGTTTGAGGTGCCTAGTTCAACTCTTCCTACTCTTGACAATTTGTGTCTCTCAGAAAACTTAGAAGTGGACCAAATTGGCTTTGTGTTGATATGGTTATGTCCTTGGGCAAGACTCAATAACATGATTGCTCTGGACAGCATATGACATGCATCCTGTATGATGTTCATTGAAGTAGCCACCATCTACAAGGAGACCCTACCTCAAAATGACCTTGGCTGCTCACAAGGCGGTAATTCCAGCATGAAAACAAATTTTATCCATAATGGATCAATTATGAAAACAATGGGTCAGTTGATTGCTGTGGTAGTTGGAGTTACTGTAAGTTGTATGTTACTATTTTAGATATCTCCATTGCTGTAGTTGACCTGATACAGGAACTAACTGATGTTGATACTCTGAATGAAAGTGAAGAAGGTGCAGCTGCTCTCATTGATTCATTGGTGAGTTTCTTTTTGACATAAGTGACTTACCTACTGACTCTCCAGTGGGTTGCTAAATGACTTCTCAACTGGCAACCTTCTGACAGAAGCATTGATGAGTAACTTTTTGACTCATTGGGGAGTAAATTATTGACTAATGAATGAACACCTAAATGACTCATTGGCAAGCTACTGACAGACCAATGGTGATATATCCATTGACTGATCAGCGAGTTACTGATTGATTCATTGGTGAGCCACTTACTTACTCCTTGTTGAGCTACTGACTGACTCATTCACGAGCCACTGATTGACTCATTGGTAAGTTACATATAAAGTTATCACAAGTTACTGATTTAGTTATTGACAAGAGACTCATTGATTCATCAGTGGGTTCCTGGATGTCTCTTTGACAAGTTGAGGTTGTTGTTCCTTAGCTGTGGAAAAATTTTGTCTTTTTTAACGTAAAAACATTTCAAAATGATTGACAGAGGAAACAGCTGGCATAGAAATGTATTATTAGAAAGGATACATTAATACTGTGTATGTTCAAAATAAAAATTTAGTGCACATAAGTCTGCCACTCTCGTAAAGCTTATCAAATGTTGAAGCATCTACTCCACAAATATTATAAGGGAAAAGGGTTTGCTTTGACTATGGAACCAAAAAACCTAACAGTGTTTTATATCATGTTTATCATGGTACATACTAATTTAGACAATCTAACATATTTGTTTGTTTCTGTCCAAATTTGTGAAAAATGAATATCGTGTTGACAGTGTTGATGAATGATTATCTGTTGATATTGTAAGAAAGGAAAATTTGAAATTTCAAACTGTAAATGACTGAGAGAATATTAAAAGTTTGTTTTATTACTGCAACAATGACAGTGTGGCTATAGCCCCTGCAACTGGTCATGATATGTTGGTTAGTAGAAGATATGTTTGAAGCATAAAAATTGCAAGTGCTATTACCGGTAAACATACTAACTTTAGAACCTGAGGACTGACAGCACTATTACCGGTAAACATACTAACTTTAGAAACCTGAGGACTGACAGCACTATTACCGGTAAACATACTAACTTTAGAAACCTGAGGACTGACAGCACTATTACCGGTAAACATACTAACTTTAGAAACCTGAGGACTGACAGCACTATTATCGGTAAACATACTAACTTTAGAAACCTGAGGACTGACAGCACTATTACCGGTAAACATACTAACTTTAGAAACCTGAGGACTGACAGCACTATTACCGGTAAACATACTAACTTTAGAAACCTGAGGACTGACAGCACTATTACCGGTAAACATACTAACTTTAGAAACCTGAGGACTGACAGCACTATTACCGGTAAACATACTAACTTTAGAACCTGAGGACTGACAGCACTATTACCGGTAAACATACTAACTTTAAAAACCTGAGGACTGACAGCACTATTACCGGTAAACATACTAACTTTAGAACCCGAGGACTGACATTTAACTGTTCCTTTTCTTGATCGGTTGGGAATAAAATGAAGCTTGTTCATTCTGTTATAAAATGTTTAGTCATTTAAAAAAAAAATCTGATAGACTAGAGTAAGTCAATGGTCCATGACATTGATATTGAGGAGAGTTACTGCAAATGCTGTTTTATTGTCCTCTAATTAGCCCATATCTCATCTCTCTTGGTCTTAGTTAATGCAGTTCTGAATCAGTCCTCCTATATAAATCTACATATATGTGAGGTATTTTTTTGAACAATCTTTGTTTTCATTTTCAGCTTGAGGCACAAATAGTGGCATTATTGGTGCAGAACATGGACCGTCTAGATGAGAGCATTAAGGAGGAGGCGGATGGTGTACACAACACACTAGGTGCGTCACGGGGTCTAGTCTTTATAATATGGTATCCATGTCTGTCCATCTTGTACCATCTTAAATAGGTTTCATCACTTCAGAGATGACATTTTTACTTTTCTTGGGATTTTCACAAAGTTGACACAATGAAAACGAAATCCCTAATGAGATATTGTTTTTGGGTTCTAATGTCAGGGTTACTGTTTACAGATGTTTGTCAGACATTGCGTTGATGCTGATTTTCAGAAAGCAATAGTTTTTTTCAGCGTAAGTTTTATTTAGGTATAAGTGTCATGAAATTCCAAAGTTCCATTTTTTTGTAATTCAAGAGAGCAACTTAAATTTTCAGACTGGCCAATATGATTCATATAAAATCTCATTGGCTAAAACATTTACAGCTACAAATTAAATACAGAGATCATTGGTTAATAGTTTTGTTGTTATTCGTGTCTGAACAGTTTTGGGAACTTTTGTCACAATTTCCATTGTAATGTGATAATTTTTATTTGGAGTATGTGGTGTAACCCATATCTGTTCTCACCTCTTTGCATCTCGTCATGTCATGCCCCATTCCAATTCAATGTCTCTGACACTCCGGCCACTTCATTTCTCAAAGGGTATTAATCAAACTTTGTGAAGAAGTCAACTTTGAAAAATACCCCATGAAAGTTCTTATTTAGGGTTCCAGGGTCAAGATTGCCATTACTACTTATAGAAATTTGTTGAACATTGCTACTTACTTTTGGAGTATGGCATTCATGTCTTGCAGACATTTTCAGTTGTTAAAGCATATGTGACTTTAACCATGTAAAACTACTTTTTCTCTGGTGTCAGTGATGGCTCAAATTATTTCTATTGTGGAAGATGCCTATACAGATATATGAAAATTACAAAATTTATTGAATAATGGGGCTAGTGCACCACCTCATCTACATTTTGACATTTCTTTCTATCAATTTTGGTTTACTAGCTCCACATTTTAGAAATTAGGCGCTTAGCATTACAGACGAGTCCTAGAAGGATGAAACAATTGTATGATGCAGTTTAATTCATTAATTTGCTTGACTGTATCTAATTCTACATTTGTAGTGATAGTTGCTACTTTCAATTCACTTGTGATCATGTATATTTTGTACAAATATCAAGTCCGTCAGAAATATTTTGCTGGAGAATTTCTCTACAGATAATGATATGGGTTTATCTTCAGCTATTATTGAGAATATGATGGAGTTCCGACCACAGATGTCAAGTGATGCGTCCCAGCAGGGGCTATTACAGTGGCTTCTTAAAAGGATAAAGGTATATATTTTTTTCCAGAAAAATGGATCTTTCTGAATAATACATGTCACATATATGATTCTGTTGTGGATCATTTGTTAAAGAGCCAGACCCACTCCTCGACTGATGTTATTTCATATAAAAAAACAATCATGATTTTCTATTTTTCTTGGGTAGCAAAAGTTCTGACTAACCATGTAATACTGCAATTTTAAAGTAAATCGCTACCAATTTAACATAATAAATAGTTATAAAAAAGAATTTGGAAGGACTCCATGCTAATTCATAAATATACGGGAAGTCCTGCCCTCTGACGCATGCACAAAGAATTGTAAATAAATCTGCCATCTTCCAATATCTCCGGTACCCTTTCAATTTAAAATTCAAAACTTTATACAAGTCTTTATTTATATATTATCTGTTAGTATACAACAACATTTCCAGTCAATAAAATATGAAAAAATAGCTATAATCTTTAAGATTAGTAAATTCACCCTCCTACACTAAGTTAAGAGTAGTAGGCTGGCCAACTGGTTTATTGTGGAGTAGATATGAAATGACCTTCTAGAATTTTAAAAGTCACCTACTTAATGTTTAGATTAAAATGTGGAGTAGGTTTTTGTGATGAGCAGTTGGTAATTTTGTATTTTTCAATTTGATTTATTTACTCTGAAATGAGATAACACGTACTGATGAAATTTATTAAATGATTTAGTTTGATTGACAGAATTGGGGAAAACTTTAGCATCATTTGTTGATATTGCTTTCAGGCTAAAATGCCATTTGATGCTAATAAACTCTACGCTAGTGAAATACTTGCCATACTACTACAGAACAGTGAAGGTAAGTCATGTATATTCATACAGTTGTTGTAGGGGCTTAAACAAAATTCATGTCAACCTCAAATCTCCCGACAAGTATAATAGTTGTGCCATCCAGTGTTTGCATTGTTATGTTATGAAAGCTATCTTTTATTGAGGTTTTGAGTTTTACAGGTTTGTAATTGGGCTGTAATACCTCTGTCATTAGATATTCAAAATTTACAAACTTTGTTTCATATCTGAGGTTGTTTTGTCCGATTCCCACCTAGTTTAAGGTCTGTGTTGTTTGGTTCAGTTCCCTTTTTGGGCACTTTGTTTTTCTCTGGTTTAAGTTTTAAGGTGTTTAGTTGAATTTTCACCTGGGGCAATTTGTTTTTCTCTGTTTTAAGATCTGAGCTGTTTGATTCGATTTCCACCTGAGGCAGTTTGTGTTTCACGTGGTTAAGATCTGAGTTGTTTGGTTCGATTTCCACCTTAGGCAGGTTGTTTTTCTCAGTAAATTGAAATCTTACCTTGTCATGTGCTGTTGTGGTTGTGTCCTTAACCAAGATACTACACTCCATTTGCTCTGGATAGCATGTTTGTCTGGGCCTCATGTATGTTGTTAAATGAGGTAGTCACCAGGTACTACAAGGAATGACCTTGGTTGTTCACAAGATGATAAACCAAACAAAGAACAAACTTCTAAACATTTTTGTGTTTAACCAACTACAGATGTTTCCGATGTTCTACAAACTAAGTGTTATAGTACAAGTTTTATTGTAGAATATTGTGTCTCTTCGTTCTATAATGGAAAACTATTACAATGGGTATGAGGATATTGGATATGAAAATCTTAACACCATCTTTTGTTATCAACTGATACCGGGTCTCACAAATGCTTAATTTTTACAAGCCTTTCCAGGGTTTTACAGACACTTCTTTTTTGCAAGCTTCAAAGTTTAGAAAATATGCAGGGCCAGTTCAAGGTTAGCTATCTTAAAAAGCTGATATGAAATGCTAAAAATGTGGTATGTCATGACTTAAAGGTATAGAACACTACAATAATTATCGTTGTGCTTCTACTAGAAATCGACTTCCAATTATAGATAAAGGTTTTGAAGATTATCCTTAACTGTACTTTTTCTTTATTACAGAAAATAGAACCATGTTAGGCGATATAGATGGTATTGATATACTTCTACAACAGCTGGCGGTGAGTTTCTGCTTAAAATTTTCACCATGGTTCTAACTAAAGGATTATAAGTGAGTCTTCATGTGATTTAAAAACAAGTCTCAGAATTTAAGGACACCTAAGACCAAGTCTCACATTATGTGTTGTGATGACCTTTTGTCTGACATTGTCCTTCAAGCATTAGTAAACCTCTGTCAGCTTCTTTTCTGAAACCTCCTAACTACTTACATGGGTAAATGAACTTAAAACTATGATGGGTAGTTCCAAAATGTGTTGAATTGAAATTTCAAGACCGAGATAATTGACAGAATATGGAAACCCATGGCATAATCAATTACTCTTCATGCAAGGAAACACCCTAATGTACTAATATTGTGAATTTCACAACCCCATGGTCTCATATACGGAAAGGTTAAAGTTAATTATAGTTGATGATGATGATGATGATGATGATGATGATGATGATGATGATGATGATGATGATTTTGTTATTATAACAGGCCTACAAGCGACATGATCCTAGTAATAAAGAGGAGGTTGAAATGATGGAGAACTTCTTCAACTCTTTATGTTCCTGCTTGATGCAGACTTCCAACAGAGGACGCTTTCTCAAGGGGGAGGGGCTACAGCTGATGAATCTAATGCTTAGGTACATACAAGTGTTAGGAATTGGTTACCATTTTTGATGGATCATTGGATCATCTGAACTGATCGATTAATAACTGATTATGAAAAGGACAGACAACTCCATTTTTACAATGATAAATTGGTAACATCATACATAAATAACGAGTTTTATGTACTTCACGCTTGCATTCTTGTAAAGTCATGAAGAATGGACGCTGCCAAACTCATTTGAAAATGATATTTATAAAGCACTTAAACAGCATTATCACTTCATAATGTTTGTTGACAGGATCGAGATTTGAAACTTTTTGTGCATACAATTGCTGCCTTATTGGTTTGTCTGTCCTTTTGTGTCTGGAGCATAACTTTGCCCACACTTTAGTATGGATCATGAAACTGTGTATACCTTTGCCATATAAGGGGTTGTGCAGTTAACTAAATTCAGGGTCCTCCACCTCTTACCCTTTAATTACAGAGTTATTGCTCTTTGTTAGATTTAACGTCCAGAACATTACTTAGCTTGCATGTAAGGTAGGATAAGAACTTGGTCTGTATACATTGCTCACACTAAGGCGATGTGCTCTGTACCAATTCAGCACCCAGCACAACTTTGAATTGCTTGGATATAAACTAGGATGGTGAAACATGGTAGATACATTGATCATGCAAAGACAGTGTGCAGTGTACCAAATTTCAGGGCCACAGACCCCTCAATTACAGAGTTATAGCCCTTTGTTAAAATAACTTGTCCAGAGCATAGCTTTGCTTGCATTTAAGGCAGGGTAATGAACTTGATGTATACATTGATCATACAAAGACAAAATTTAGAGTAACAATGTTTGGGCCCAAAACCCCTTAATTGCAGAGTTATTGCGAATCATTAAACTTTTGTGTCATGAGCATAGCTTTATGTGCAAGGAAACTAGGAACATGAAAGTTTTTGTGTATATTAAGAGAATGTGCTGTACACCAAATTCAGTGCCTGCAACCCTTTAATCACAGAATTTTGGCTCTTTGTTAAATTTTGTGTCTAATAGTCATTTAGGGGAGCATTCATCAGTTTCACTCGTGCTCTTGTCTGGTAAAGACAGGGAAACATGAATGTCATTTTTGTTTTACAGATGATAGAACATGAAAGATTGTAGTCGGTAATTAGGTAATTTACAAAACCAACCAATACTCACCAATGTTGATTAATCGGAACATCATCAGTACATACAAGAATCATTATATGTAACAGTTTTGCAGTAAATTGTTGTCTAATTGTACAGACTTCTTTCTGATACAGTTGAAATTCATTATCTCAAAAACTAGAATATCAATGTCCTTTTTTTACTCAAAATGTTTTTTTTATGCCCTCTGATATAAATATTTGTCCTTGCCCACTGTCAAAATCACCCTTAAGACATAATAACATGTATTGCAGCTTAAACTTACTAATAGGCAACTGTTTTATCTTGGCCTCATTGACAAATTTAAAGTATAGCAAAAGTTTCCCCATGTACAAATGAAAACCTCATCATAAAGCTACACTTTTTGGTTATTTCAACCAGAAGGTAATTGTAGAATATTCACCCTTTTTGTGTTAGGAAAATAACTTATATGAATTTTATTTAAACTAATATCAATTTCATTTCGAAACAGAAAAAAAATGTTGTTTGATAGAAGAAATTAAAAATACGAACAGATTTTGTTTTTCCAATTCCCTTCATCTATAGTAGATTATATTTGTTTATGTGCAGTGCTTTAGGGAAGGAAATGCTGAACTATGTTATGAATGGCTTTGATATACAAACTTTGTATAACTAACCTGACAGGAGACATCGAAACAAAGTTTTACCATCATCTTCTGAAGATCAGTAATTAATTACTGTTAATTAGTAGTTTGGAGGGTCTGGTCATGTAATGGTAATACAAAAGTACCAAAAGACCAAGTGAGCTAATGCTGTTGTCTGTCTGTTGTCTGTCCATCATACGGAGTCAACTTTTTTCTTTAAACAACTTCTTCTTAATAACAATGGACCAAATGTTTTGATATTTGGCTGGTATATTCCTAGGATGAAGCATGACAAAGTTTGCTAAAAGAAATGACCTTGACTTATATTCAAGGTCACAGGGGGTCAACTTTGTTAAAACATTTTAATGACTTTTTCCTCATGCACTAAAAGGCCAAGAGACATGATATTTGGCTGATAAGTATATATGCCATTATACCAGGTGAGCACTGCAGGCTCGGCTCATTAGGCCTTTTGTTGTTTTTACCATAAAAACTGAGCCCAAAAAAATCTGCAGTTTTTCAGAATTATATTCATATCAGTAATTAACTTCTGTTGATCTAAAGATAAACAACAATTATGATACTTGCTTAACAATGGAATAGTAAATTACAATAAACTCTTTTTCAATAGAGAAAAGAAGATGTCACGGAATTGTGCTGTCAAAGTATTGAACCATGCCATGACTGGGCCAGAAGGGGCAGATAACTGCCAAAAGTTTGTTGACATTCTTGGACTGCGTACAGTTTTCCCACTCTTTATGAAAGCTCCCAAAAAGGGACGGGCTGGACCTCAGTCAGAGGAACTAGAAGGTACAGAACATGTATACTAAAACAGCACACAAGAGGAATCAGTGTAACTTTCCATTGAATTAGAAAATACTACTCCTTTTGAACAGCTGGAGATAATTGTGAAAATTTACATAATTATAAGCTCCCTTGTCTGTGGGAGGAGAAAATTTAAGAAAATGAAAATTGACCAAGGTCAAGGTCACAATTTTGCCAAAAAATAGAACATATTCTTGTAGAGAAAGTTATTCCAATTATGCACACAATGAGATCTTTTATGATATGCAAGTACCGTACTTAATGTAGTATTTTTAAGGAGTAAAATTCTAAAGTGAATTCTGCAGACATTTGACCTTGACTTGGAAATAACCATGTTTCACTCAATAAACTTTATATGATGATGGTGTAACTGAAAATTTACAATTGTCTAATGATAACAAAATCAAACTCTCTCACTTTCAGAACACATATCCTCCATTATTGCCTCGACATTAAGGAATTGTCAGGGTCAACAACGACAAAGGTTACTCAGTAAATTTACTGAAAATGACCATGAAAAGGTAATTTAAAACTAAAATGACTGAAAATAAAATTCATAATTATATGAATGCCATAACTACAAAAACACTCATTTCTTATATTATTCTTTACAGTTTTTACCATACTGGTACAGGAATTGCATTTACATAATCCTGATTCACAGTCCAGTTGTCTCTTAAGATACATTACCAAATTTTCTTAATCTTGAATGTACAGCTGAAATGCACATACTGTTGAAGTTCATTTACATAATCCTGATTCACAGTCCAGTTGTCTCTTAAGATACATTACCAAATTTTCTTAATCTTGAATGTACAGCTGAAATGCACATACTGTTGAAGTTCATTTACATAATCCTGATTCACAGTTCAGTTGTCTCTTAAGATACATTACCAAATTTTCTTAATCTTGAATGTACAGCTGAAATGCACATACTGTTGAAGTTCATTTACATAATTCTGATTCACAGTTCAGTTGTCTCTTAAGATACATTACCAAATTTTCTTAATCTTGAATGTACAGCTGAAATGCACATACTGTTGAAGTTCATTTACATAATCCTGATTCACAGTCCAGTTGTCTCTTAAGATACAAGTAACACATTCTCTTAATCTTAAATGTTCAGCTGAAATGCACATACTGTTGAAGTTGATTTTAATTTTTTGCCTTAGATCTATCTATTTACTTCCCTTAGTATCTTTGTGTTATAATACATCATTTGAAAAATAGAGAAGAAACAACTTTTTTTTGCCTTTTCTCAAAATATCTTTTTTATAAAAGAAGAAGTCAAGGAAACAAATGCTGATAATTAGTAATACAGAAGTTTTTAAATGAAATCATCTTTTCTCTGTAGGTATTATTTTTTGAGGCATCTATTTTTCACGACTTCATTCTATCCTTGAAAAAATAGAACCCCTAACATAAAGAGTAACTTTACTATATTTGAAATAGATGTAGAAAAACAGTCATTTGCCAAAACATAATTTGGACAATGCTGTGAATTTTAAAATATCTAAGTACAACAGGTTTGATAACTTCCTGATTTTGTGAGGTGAACCTTACTGTAAAATTTTTATGGGGGTTACTGTTAATCCACAAATTTATATATCCAGTATGATTCACAACCAGATTATGTGTACCGCCATCGATCCTTCTCAGGAAAGATAACTCTCACAACAAGAGAACAAAGACGTTCTTTTAGTTTAGAATGGGATATGGTGGTGTACAGAGTGGAAAATCAAATATTTTTATGGAAGAAATGAATTTTAGAAGAGAACGTGGAAGCTTGGTCAAATGCTTTTTGGAGTTCTTTAAAATCCACATATTATTAATTCCCTTCTTTAGTAAACAGTACTACAACATGACTCTTACCCAGATATGATAGTACAAAGAATGGTAGTAAGAAGTTTGGACAAAAGATTGGTTGAACAGCTAGATACACCAGTAATAAAACACTACTTATATGTATTGTTGTGAAATTTAGGAATCCAATATAAACAGGGGAGGTCTGTATCTTTATCATTAAAAAGCAATCTGAATGATTGTAATACTGAAGCATGAATAGCTAATATTTCTTGTTTTGAAATATGACATAATGTTTAGGTGGGGTTTCTTTCATTATCATGCAAGCCTAGTTCATGTAATAAGGTCTGCAGACAAGGATCAAATCATTGGACACCATATATACAAGTAGAGTACGTACATGTCATGTCAATCATTGATACAGAATCAGGATTGAGAATACATAATTTTACAGAATGTTAACAGTATGTTTTTGTTTCTTCAACAGGTAGAAAGATTACTTGAGTTACATTTTAAATACTTGGATAAAGTGAGGTCATGTGATGAACAAATTGAAATTGAGAAGCAAGTAAGTTGTTGATGTTGCCAAGTCATGTGTAGGGAAATTTTTTTTCCAACAGGGTACACAGATGATTTGTACATTCTAACGTTTCTATCATTAAAAACTTGTTTCATGCTTGTTTCATAACAATGTGGTGTGTTTTTATTTTTATACAGTTCCTTCAACTATGTCATGTACAATTTATGTTTTACTATCATCATACAATTCATGTGTTAGTTTCAACATACAATTTTTGTTTTGTGTATCATCATGTAGTTTGTGTTTTATTTCTTCAAACAATTTGATTGTTGATATCTTTATACATCTTGTGTGTTGTTATTTTCAGCTCACTCGACCCAAAGGGCCAGGTGATCTTATGTCATACCGAGGCGATTTTCGTCCATTTTTCCAAAGAATTTTTTATACAAATTGCATGGTTTGACCAAATTTGGTTAGAAGCGTCGTTGGAATAAGAGGAACAAATTTTGTATAAATGATAGATATTGGATCCCCAGGGCAAAGGTGTGCAACCAAATCAGGAAATAAGGCAAATTCTTTAAAATCCTATTCCTCTAGTAGGAAAGATTGCTTTTGCTCAAATTTGGTCTGAAGCATCCTTGGGTAGAGAGGAATCAATTTTGTATTGCCAGAAGGGCAAGGCCAAACAGGAGAAATTAATCTAATTGTTTAAAATCCTATTCCTCTTGTAGGATGATCTGATTTTGCCCAAATTTGGTCTGAAATCATTCTTTGGTCAATGGGAATCAATATTTTACAAATAGTGGGTCCTGGCCACCTGGGGCTGGAGGGATGGATCCCACAGAGTAAATTCTTTAAATCCTTCTCCATAAACGGGAATTATTGGAGTTTTTCATAGTATCATCACAGGAAGAAGGGGAATCAACTTTGTATAGAAACTGAGCCTTGGCCAAACGGGGCAGGACCTGAGGGGAAGGACACATCAAGGGAAATACTTTTTCTTTAGTTTAAACTAATCAATTTCAGCATACTAAACCAGATGAGTGATACAAGCTCTAAAGGCCCTTTGTTATGTCTTATATATGTCTTTCACATAATGTCTTCTCATCAAAATAAGGAAGGAAATTAATATTGACTGTTGTGATATTGATATTTCATCTGCTGTAGAAATTAAAAAGTAGCGGAGAGGAGATAGATGAAGATGTAGAAGATGAATTTTACCTGAGACGATTAGAGGCCGGGCTGTTTACGTTACAGTTAGTGGATTACATCATGCTGGAAGTTTGTGCATCAGGCTCACAGTCAGTAAGTATGGCTCAGAAACATGTCAGACTCACAGTCAGTAAGTATGGCTCAGAAACATGTCAGGCTCACAGTCAATAAGTATGGCTCAGAAACGTGTCAGACTCACAGTCAGTAAGTATGGCTCAGAAACATGTCAGACTCACAGTCAGTAAGTATGGCTCAGAAACATGTCAGGCTCACAGTCAGTAAGTATGGCTCAGAAACATGTCAGGCTCACAATCAGTAAGTATGGCTCAGAAACATGTCAGGCTCACAGTCAATAAGTATGGCTCAGAAACATGTCAGGTTCACAGTCAGTAAGTATGGCTCAGAAACATGTCAGGCTCACAGTCAATAAGTATGGCTCAGAAACATGTCAGGCTCACAATCAGTAAGTATGGCTCAGAAACATGTCAGGCTCACAGTCAGTAAGCATGGCTCAAAAACATGTCAGGCTCACAATCAGTAAGTATGGCTCAGAAACATGTCAGGCTCACAGTCAGTAAGCATGGCTCAGAAACATGTCAGGCTCACAGTCAGTAAGCATGGCTCAGAAACATGTCAGGCTCACAGTCAGTAAGTATGGCTCAGAAACATGTCAGGCTCACAGTCAGTAAGTATGGCTCAGAAACATGTCAGGCTCACAGTCAATAAGTATTGCTCAAAAACATGTCAGGCTCACAGTCAATAAGTATGGCTCAGAAACATGTCAGACTCACATTCAGTAAGTATGGCTCAGAAACATGTCAGACTCACAGTCAGTAAGCATGGCTCAGAAACATGTCAGGCTCACAATCAGTAAGTATGGCTCAGAAACATGTCAGACTCACAGTCAGTAAGCATGGCTCAGAAACATGTCAGGCTCACATGTCAGGCTCACAGTCAGTAAGTATGGCTCAGAAACATGTCAGGCTCACAGTCAGTAAGTATGGCTCAGAAACATGTCAGGCTCACAATCAGTAAGTATGGCTCAGAAACATGTCAGGCTCACAATCAGTAAGTATGGCTCAGAAACATGTCAGACTCACAGCCAGTAAGTATGGCTCAGAAACATGTCAGGCTCACAGTCAATAAGTATGGCTCTGAAACATGTCAGGCTCACAGTCCATAAGTATGGCTCTGAAACATGTCAGGCTCACAGACAGTAAGCATGGCTCAGAAACATGTCAGGCTCACAGTCAATAAGTATGGCTCTGAAACATGTCAGGCTCACAGTCAATAAGTATGGCTCTGAAACATGTCAGACTCACAGTCAGTAAGCATGGCTCAGAAACATGTCAGGCTCACAGTCAGTAAGTATGGCTCAGAAACATGTCAGGCTCACAGTCAATAAGTATGGCTCAGAAACATGTCAGACTCACAGTCAGTAAGTATGGCTCAGAAACATGTCAGGCTCACAGTCAATAAGTATGGCTCAGAAACATGTCAGACTCACAGTCAGTAAGTATGGCTCAGAAACATGTCAGGCTCACAGTCAGTAAGCATGGCTCAGAAACATGTCAGACTCACAGTCAGTAAGTATGGCTCAGAAACATGTCAGGCTCACAGTCAGTAAGTATGGCTCTGAAACATGTCAGGCTCACAGTCCATAAGTATGGCTCTGAAACATGTCAGGCTCACAGACAGTAAGTATGGCTCAGAAACATGTCAGGCTCACAGTCAATAAGTATGGCTCTGAAACATGTCAGGCTCACAGTCAATAAGTATGGCTCTGAAACATGTCAGACTCACAGTCAGTAAGTATGGCTCAGAAACATGTCAGGCTCACAGTCAATAAGTATTGCTCAAAAACATGTCAGGCTCACAGACAGTAAGCATGGCTCAGAAACATGTCAGGCTCACAGTCAGTAAGTATGGCTCAGAAACATGTCAGGCTCACAGTCAGTAAGTATGGCTCAGAAACATGTCAGGCTCACAGACAGTAAGTATTGCTCAGAAACATGTCAGGCTCACAGTCAGTAAGTATGGCTCAGAAACATGTCAGGCTCACAGTCAGTAAGTATGGCTCAGAAACATGTCAGGCTCACAGACAGTAAGTATGGCTCAGAAACATGTCAGGCTCACAGACAGTAAGCATGGCTCAGAAACATGTCAGGCTCACAGACAGTAAGCATGGCTCAGAAACATGTCAGGCTCACATTCAGTCAGCATGGCTCAGAAACATGTCAGGCTCACAGTCAATAAGTATTGCTCAAAAACATGTCAGGCTCACAGTCAATAAGTATGGCTCAGAAACATGTCAGACTCACATTCAGTAAGTATGGCTCAGAAACATGTCAGACTCACAGTCAGTAAGTATGGCTCTGAAACATGTCAGGCTCACAGTCAGTAAGTATGGCTCTGAAACATGTCAGACTCACATTCAGTAAGCATGACTCAGAAACATGTCAGGCTCACAGTCAATAAGTATGGCTCAGAAACATGTCAGGCTCACAGTCAGTAAGTATGGCTCAGAAACATGTCAGGCTCACAGTCAATAAGTACGGCTCAGAAACATGTCAGGCTCACAGACAGTAAGTATGGCTCAGAAACATGTCAGGCTCACAGTTAATAAGTACGGCTCAGAAACATGTCAGGCTCACAGACAGTAAAGCATGGCTCAGAAACATGTCAAGCTCACAGTCAGTAAGCATGACTCAGAAACATGTCAGGCTCACAGTCAATAAGTATCGCTCAGAAACATGTCAGACTCACAGTCAATAAGTATGGCTCAGAAACATGTCAGGCTCACAGTCAATAAGTACGGCTCAGAAACATGTCAGGCTCAAAGTCAGTAAGTACTTGTCTGTATGCATGACTTGTATCAAAGTTTTCCAACTATTAACAAACGGTGAGATTTGTGCTGTATGTATTCAACAGTAAATCCAGGGGATTGAATAATATATCTGACTCAAATTGAATGGACAGTTTTATGTCACAAACAATTCAAATTTTTTGGTGAGATGTTTCATTGCCTTACTATCACCTTACAAGTATAACTTTGGTAGTACAAGACACAGTAGGTAAACTTTAACAGGATTTAATAAAGAGATCCTTCTCTTGTGGGGCAAATTATAGGTTGCAAAAAAATGGTGCAGGTCCACTGATCATTTAAAATAGAGTTTATACTATATTTGTTTTTAGTTCATCCTGAAGTTTTTCCTTACAAACCTCCACATTACTCTAAATGTTTTATGTTCCAGGTAAAAACAAGAGTCATGCAGATTCTGAATATGAGAGGGGGATCAATCAAATCTATCAAAAGTATTATGCGAGGTAAATTGTTTATATAATAATCATCAATCTAACACAGTTGGTATAAAATATGGAAACAGGCTTTATCAGCCCATCCATTTGTGAAGAAGTCTTCAACCCACAAAGACTACAACAGCCCAGGTTTGAAATCTCCAAGGGAGCATCTCAATTCTTTATATCCTGTTCATGGCACCAAAATCTGCAATGATAAGGAGTAATAAAAAACTGTGGTGGCAGGATTCAAACAAGCGACCCTTCTGTCTTTAGCCAGACACTTTACCTCTCCACCAAAGGGAAATTCCCACAAGCTAAGGTTAATGAGGTGATCAGTGCTATCAACTTCTACATATGTATATATATAGTTTAAGAAGGTTTGGCTTGTTCCTATCAGAGCATGGGTAATTATGATATCTAGCAGATAAAAATTCCCTCAATGATACTGCTGATACAATGTGTGACCTCTGTTTCAGCAACTTTCATAGGAATGTCCACACTGAGAAGTTTAGAATTGTGAATGTCTAGAAAACTGTTAGTTGATAATTTTTGGAATTCCCTAAATGCATTGTTAAACCTTTTAGGTTTGTTTACAAACAATATCTCTGCATAGACCTGTAAAACCAAGACAGACATGCACACATTTAGTTTAATAACGCTGATCTTCAGCTTGTTTGTGCTAAATGATAGTGACATCTTAACTTTGGATGGCAGCTTCAGTCTAAGAAGATATTTACTGGAGAATCATATATTTTTGTGGGGCTCAGTTTTCATGACTTAAAAAAAAATATCACTACTTCATGAACATTTGATTTTGTGCCGCTCAATACTGATTTTAACAGCACATAGAAATATGAATTAATGGACTTCGAGTACCCACGAAATCAAGAAAAATAATTCCTTTTTAAATTAAATTAAAATTAATGACTCCACAGTACTTTAAATATATATCATCATAATGTACAAAATCACCTCTGAAAATTTATATATGAACCTCTTTCAGAATATGCTGGCAATATTGGAGAAGCTCAAGACAAAGAAGCTAGAGAAGCAGAGCAGAACAGAATTCTACAGCTTGTTGATAAATTTTGACAGGTGTTCCTAAATTAACATTGGAAATGCTTGCTGAAAATAATGACAGGTGCTTCTACATTTACACTGGAAACACTTGCAGATAAATTCTGATAAGTCCTCAGTGATTTACATCAGAAAAACTTGTTTAAGGGGACAAAATCCTGAAATTTGCTTGAAGGTCAGATAGGGCAGTCATACAGCAAAGTTTTCATTAGAAACTTTCTTGTGGAGAAAGGGCTGTCAGCAGAGAGATACAATACGAGGATTATTCCTCCAAGCATCCACTGCAATCTGTGGCAGTAAGTTGTGATGTTCTGGGGATGATGAAAGATTCCTGCAGGTAGAACAATTCCAGGGGAACAAATCTCTTAGTAACACAGGCATCTTAGACCATTAAGTCGTTTCTCAAGTGTCAGTGAAATATTGTTTCTTGTTCCTCCTGTAGTGAAGAGTCTCTTGGTGATTCTTGAGGTGATGAAGTCAACAGTGGATGTCCAAATCTGCTGAAGTCGTCAAAAATACAAGCACCGATAAACATGATACATGTTTCAGAGAGGCAAGGTGTTGTACAGAATTACAAGTTCCAAAGTACAAGTTAAAAGATTGATCTATTTGTCAGCGTTAAGCATATGGCCCAGTACAGAACCTTGGCTTGTTGAGTCAGAAGGAAAAATATGATTCTTCCTGTTTTGTGAAACATCTTTTACTTATTAGGGGCATGCATCATCAGGTCTATAATTATTCTGTCATGATGAACCAAAGAGGCCATTTTTGTTGATCAATTTGACCAGAATTTTTTCATTTATGAAATAAGGACCAACCTAACTGATCTAACGACTGATTTTGCTTTCTGATAAGTCTTGAAAAGGCTTTCGGGAATCTGTATTATTATTGGAAGGTCTGTCCCAATTCATGCCTGAATATGTTTTAAATAAGATGTAGGCCAAGCAGTCACTCCATTTAAATGAAAGTGGCCCCCTGTTTTCCACTCACATTTTATGTATCGTTGATGATTGTGTTTTTGCTTGTGGTCCTGTAAGTATAGGAGATCAAGTATTGATAAATGGTACAGATATTTATATGGAAAGAAGTATAAATTGCAATTTCATGACAAGAGAACAACTAATGCTTTATCATCGTCCTGTAATTAGTCCATACATTTCGGGCTCTATAGCTTACTGTTAACATGAATATTTTAAAGGTTGTCTTACTCTAGCACTTTTCATGCTGAATATATTGCAATAAAATATGATTGCATTAATTGCAGTTTCTGAATGTTGATTATATAGTAATTTTTGTGGACTACCAAAAAAGTGATAATGAGCTCAAATTTGGTTGGACCAAATTAAGCTCATTTACAGTAGTGGCTGGATAGATGCAGTATTTACCATTATAGAGAACTGCAAAGTTTATTTTATGTTTAAATGGTAAGACAGTGTTTAATATAGGCAGCTAGATATATAAAAAGGTTTTTTTATTATTAAACATCATGTGAAGGTTCTTGTGTACTGAAATATTGTATTCTGTCATATTTATCCAACAATAAACTCATGTTTGGTAATAAGCCCACCCAAAAAAATTTGAATTTTCATGAATGTTAACTTTTGCTTATTGTCTGCAATAAGTCCATAGTTCCATTTTGACCCAGGAAATTGCAGGAAAGAACTGGAAAATGTTTCGTCCAGTAATTTGTGTTACCATTTATATTATTTCATGTCCTTCTCCTCCTGATAAAAACACTATTAATATATTGTTAAGTGTGTTTTTACTGTCCATGTTGTTACATCGATTGAAATGAAATTAGCTAGATGCCTCTTGTACATGTGTATACAATACCTGGACTCATCACTGAAAATTCACTCATGCTTTTGATTTGATGATTAAATTGTATACATAAATGTACCTGGAGATAAAATTGTATGTGAACATTTCAACAGGACATATTAAAAGGCTTAAAGTTCTATTCTGTCGTCATTCAGTATTATCTTTATCACATCTGTATATTTCCATTGCTGCAACTTCATGTTATACAGTGAAAACAATTTTGCCTGTGACAAGATTTCAAGTGCCTTGGTTTTGGGCTGTTTAAGAGTTACCTAGATGTTGACCAAATTCATGAAAACATTCTTATGTAAAGGCTGTGTGAAAGTCATGTTTGACCAGGAGGACATAATTTAATATTAAATAAATTCAAACATAATATCGTAGAAGTTTCCATTTTGACTAACTTAATAATTCTTTGTTATAATTATCAGATGCCACTTCTTACGCACAAATCAAAATGAAACATTAATAGCTTCCTTCTCAAAGAACTTGACCTGGAGTTTCCAGCAAAGCTTGTCGAGCAATATATGTAATATATAAACTTAATTTATTTTACAATTGCAAAAAATTCAGCTTATATTGATCACTCTTGTTGGCTGGGATGGAAGTGCACAAGGGCTCTTATTGTAGGAGGAAACTGGAGTAGCTGGAGAAAACCTACGTGGTCCGGAAGGTGGCCCTATACCTTTTCAGGTCCATTTCAGGAATCAAACCCCGGACAGCTAGGTGAAAGGCGAGTGCAGTACCATTGTTCCACCTGACCACCCATGTAGCCCAATGCTTTTCAGGCATTGCTTAACATTATTTTGGAGTCCCATCATGGGTTCCAATGTGTCAGAGGTCATTATTTATTTCAATGCCTCCACTAGGATAAGAACCAACGACTTTGGTTTACTAGTCTGACGCTATACCAATCAAGTTAGATATAAGTTCTCCCTAGTTCAGTGGTACATTAACTGCAGTTATAATTTACCAAGATTACATTTGTATTGTGTCAGCTGATCTCCTTGACATGGAAATTACCTAAATGACTTCATAGAATGTACCTATATATAGATCTAAACACAGGGATTAGAGTCAACATCTTGGTGCTAGGTGTAGATCAGGGTGTTCCGGATATCCCTTGCTTGGATACCACCCGGTATGCAGGGCAATTGAGGAATAGGGATTAACAACGCAAGTATCAACCACAACAAGTTCGGTCAGATCTACAGAGACAACACAGACTGGTCAGATCTACAGAAACAACAGTAAGGTCAGATCTACAGAGATAAAACAGTTAGATAAGATCTACAGAGACATAACAGTAAGGTCAGATCTCCATATATAACAGTTGGGTCAGATCTACAGAGACAACACAGACTGGTCATATCTACAGAGACAACACAGACTGGTCAGAACTACAGAGACATAACAGTCAGGTCAGATCTACAGAAACATAACAGTAAAGTCAGATCTCAATATATATCAGTTAGGTCAGATCTACAGAGACATAACAGTAAGGTCAGATCTACAGAGATAAAACAGATAAGATCTACAGAGACATAACAGTTAGGTCAGATCTACAGATACATAACAGTCAGGTCATATCTACAGAGACATAACAGTAAGGTCAGATCTACAGAGATAAAACAGTTAGATAAGATCTACAGAGACATAACAGTAAGGTCAGATCTCCATATATAACAGTTAGGTCAGATCTACAGAGACAACACAGACTGGTCAGATCTACAGAGACAACACGGACTGGTCATATCTACAGTGATAAAACAGTAAGGTCAGATCTACAGAGACATAACAGTAAGGTCAGATCTACAGAGACATAAGTCAGGTCAGATCTACAGAGACAACACAGTAAAGTCAGATCTCCATATATAACAGTTAGGTCAGATCTACAGAGACACAACAGTAAGGTCAGACCTCCATACATAACAGGCAGGTCAGATCTACAGAGACATAACAGTCTGGTCAGATCTGCTGAAACATTACAGTCAGGTCTCTGCTTGTTTGTTTATTGATCTATTGTGTATTGCGGAACATGCTTTGATTGTAATGGGAAGTACTGCTCAAAGGTTGCCAAAAGTACTAGCTAGGCCTATTTCATTGTGGTGACTGAAGTGGAATTGAAACTTTGCATTGGCAAAAAGTGCATGGCATGGTTGAAACAAACTGTGTAGTAATAATAGATTTGTGAAATCTGTTATCATTTTAATGAAATAAATGTAGGATTAACATAATATAATGCAAAAACATCTGTTCATGAGATTTTAACAGGTCCCAGTTGTTGAGTTTGTTTCAGAAATAACCAGTGGTATGCTGAATGATATTGGGAACATTACCATTTCATGGCTATAGATTTATTGAAACCGATTATATTGATGTTTCTTAGTGTAAAGATTGCTTTAAAAGTCCTTGTGTTTTCTTACCACCAATCAATTCTTAATAATAATATATACTTTTGGATATCTGCAATAATGACAAAGTAAAGCATGAAACAAGGTCACTATGCTAAATTTGGTATTTGACCTTGAACAGTGATCTTGATATACTGTCTGGGAATAATGCAAGCGTCTTTAAAATTCCTATCAGTTATGAAATATTACCTACATTGGTACAAGAGATGATAGAGCCATCATTTGAATCTGACCTTCAGATGTGACCTTGACTCTGACAATGGATGCAAACATGTTATGACACACTATCTTGTAAAAAAGGCATAATTATGAGGGGTATGAATGATAAATTTCACCCATAATTATTATAATCAGGAAATGACATTGAAATAAGAACCTTGATGTTTATTTCCAAATCAACAACACAATAATACTTTATCAAACACTTATATCCAATTATCCTCCCAAAAGCTCTATGGTCATGTTAGGACTGGATTGTCAGCAAAATATGACCAGATGGGGTATCTTAGGCGCCTTTAGGATTTCATTTCAGTGTAGTAGTGCTATAACGTTCACGTCATATCATGTTAATCCTACTTTTATTTCATTAAAATGTTAACAGATTTCACAAATCTATTAATAATACACAGTTTGTTTCAACAATGCCATGCACTTCTTGCCAATGCAAATTTCAATGTGTGGTATTCAATTTTGGAATGGCACTGATAAGATAAGAGTTGACATGAACTACCACAAGGGGCTTACATGATCTTTCTTCTGCCTCACACAAAAGCAACCACACATACATGGAAAGATCATTTTAATTGTTGATAATAGGATATTAATATCAAGCCAAACCTCAAAGAAGACGGCCTGGTTCACTTGAGAAAGGATGTGTCTATAGAGGTCAGTAACAGAACGAGGCACAACAGACAGCCAAAGGAAAGACAAAGATTTAAATTTATTGTCCCTGTCCCATTCGTCAAACTGTATCTGTGAATAATTCATTTCAAAGTCACTTTTTCTCTGAAACAAAAGACGGGACACTTGTCTTATTATTACAATTTCATTGTAAAGCACTGAAATCCTTTTTATGGAAGTATAAACAAAATGAAGCTAATCCTTTGTATTTAGGAGAGAAAAGATCAAACTTTACATCAAACATTTGTAGATCATATGATGCAGCAAGATCATTCTGGAATTACTGATAATTTCTTTATAACAATGATATTGTTTCTTCTTGTATTAAAACACCAAACATGAATTTAAATCATAATTTTTATTCTTGAAGTTGTTTCAGATGCACCTTTGGTGGTACTGCAAACAGTTCATGATACTGTCAGGAGTCTATTTCCAAAACAATGTCATACAAACAAGAAAACGTTCACAAAATTCATAAAATAAACTATTAAATACTGTATTCTTCATCATTTTCCAATAACAAGAATATCATCCTCAGGGAAGCTGTGTTGAGGTACTTCCAGATTGAGTGGTGCTGGTCCTTTTCGGATTCTGCCCGAAACATCATAATGGGATCCGTGGCATGGACAATAGTATCCACCATAACTTCCGGAGTTGGCTACCGGAATGCATCCTAACAAAAATAAGAGATGTGTGGAATATTAAGAAATGAACCAGAAATATTTAGTAATGAACCAGAATAGTTAGTAATGAACCAGAATAGTTAGTAATGAACCACAATGTTTAGTAATGAAACACAATATTTTGTAATGAACCAGAATAGTAAGTAATGAAACACAATATTTAGTAATGAAACACAATATTTAGTAATGAATCAGAATAGTAAGTAATGAAACACAATATTTAGTAATGAACCAGAATAGTTAGTAATGAATCAGAATAGTTAGTAATGAACCAGAATATTTAGTAATGAAACACAATATTTAGTAATGAACCACAATGTTTAGTAATGAAACACAATGTTTAGTAATGATTCACAATATTAAGTAATGAAACACAATGTTTAGTAATGAAACACAATATTTAGTAATGAACCACAATGTTTAGTAATGAAACACAATATTTAGTAATGATTCACAATATTAAGTAATGAAACACAATGTTTAGTAATGAAACACACTGTTTAGAAATGAACCACAATGTTTAGTAATGAAACACAATGTTTAGAAATGAACCACATCATTTTTTAAAATTTATTTTTTGTAAATGAACTTTCAACACCAATGTTTGTTGATAGTCAACATTGGTCCAGTAACTAACACTTCATCTGTAGGAGCATCAATTCTAGGATCGTAAAAATGAAATATTCTCATCGCGATAATTTCATATCCATCAATTTGAGATCTCTGACGAACTTCAAGCAGTAAATAATGAAATATTATGTACTTGAAAAAATAGAAAATAAAAGTGAAGTGATTCATAATGAATTTAAAAAAAGACATTGCCTATGGTTTCAATTTTGAATCTCTCTTTTTGCTATTTCAATATATGATACACAATTCAGTACAATTGGTCAAAATGGCTGCTGAACATATTGCCTCCTGATCACCATGTTGTCAATGAATTTTTTTATTTCCATTTCTCTATATTAACAACAAAAAAAAAAAAACATGCTTATATCTATATATTTAATTAATTTTTATTTAATCATTTTTCAACAAACTCCTGAAGTACATTAATACTGAGTGTATCGGTATTGTGATACATATGGTATTGGAACTAGAATGTTATTGTGTAAAAGAGATGATAACAACTAGTAACAAAATTTATGAGTGACATCTCAATGACTGCACCTTAATCAGATGAAGATGATCCTGATATATACCCAATTAGATTCTGGGCACCTTATACATTGAAGGCAACAGTGAAGTCATTCAAGTATCACTTAAAATCAAACAAAACTGGTTGTAATGTAAAAGTTTAGTATTTACCTAAATGTGTGCAAACTCCGATGACAACAAGCCAGTCCTCTCTCTGTGTTCTGTCTGCATCATGTTGGGGATCACGTAGCTCTTCCAAATTAACGCTCCTTTCTGCCTCAGATTCTGCTGGTGTTCGGTGTCGGACAAAGATTGGCTTGGAACGCCACTTCACAGTGGTGCTCTTCCCCTCAGGAATTTCTTGGAGATTGACTTCTACGGTTGCCATGGCAATAGTATCTTTAGCTGGGGCAACGTATCCCACAAGACTTCTGACTAAATGTTTGGCTGCATAAACAGTTCCGACAGTGCCAACTGTAACAAAGCAGAAATAAATAGCTACAATTATTGGGATACCAATCTTTTATTTACCATCAAGAAATGTTTTCATACTTCCCTTACCCCATTTTGACATCTAAACCTGTTTTATCTGAAAATGAGTTTTGAATATTTTAAACAACATAAAAAAACTCTTGTAACATTCAAACTTGCTGGACAACATCATAAACTTTGAACTGAAGACAAACTCTAATCATTAATCTATAGCTCAAACCTGATAACTCAGAATCACAAACAATCCCTTCCAGAGTGGTTATAATAAATTGGTTCCTGATAACTATCTCCCTGAAATTTGTTAAATCCTAGACAGGTAGTTTGCTCTGGTAAAGATAGAAGTGGTCATTTACTTTTAGAAGCATTTGAATTTACTTGATAGTCACATAAAAATGTGTATCAGATTTTTTTTTACATGTATCTACTTTTTGTGAATTTAGCAACCCTTTCAAAATTGCAAATTTACATGTTTTCTTTTAATTGTAAACGCATGAGTAATACATCTATAAAGCTGATGTACTTACATGTAGCGGAACATTTTCTAGTCATGAATACTTCTATAATAACCAAATACTAGTCGGCCGGGAAGTAAATCTCTAATCTAGTTTGACTGGTCAGTTAGATCTCCAATTGATGTTAAAATCTACACTAATATCCATTCTTATGTATTCAAAGTTTTCAAAAGAGGCATTCCAAATTTCGGAGACAATGAAATTGAAAAAAAAAAAAAAAAAAAAAGAAAAAACAAGTAGAAACTGCATAAGTCATATTATTTTGGGGATTTTCGCAAAAAATCCACATTGCAAAAATACCCCAATACATGACATTTAAGTTTACTGCACTCTTATTTGTGTTTTCTTACCAATGATACCAGAAACTTATCGGACTTTTGCATTTTGAGTCCAAATTCGAAAGATTCAGTGATTTTAAGGTCATACATAAAACATTTAATAATTTGCCGGTTTGTTCTAGGAAAGTCCTTGGATATCAATATTATCATTTCACAAATACAGATATCCATACAACAAAACCTTGTTAAATACCTGCTGTTGTTACATAAGTGAACATCTTCCTTGACTCGTTTGTGTCCTTTGCTGAAACAATGGCGTTGGATGTACTGTCTCGTCTGTAAGACCCAAAGGCAGGTGTATTCATGTCCGTGTGATTCATCCTGACTGGGACTATACCTGTAGAAATAGTTGTATGTATCAGCTTAAAGAGAACACTGATTTTTGTCTCACTTTGAACAATAGTAGCAAAATTAAAATAGGCAATATAGTGTGACTTTTAACATTTCATCTTCTAGTTTTACTGTATGTTTAGCATTAATGCTTGTAAAGTATATATGAAAGTCTAATTTTCATCAAAGTTGGTATATGTTTAGATTAAACAGTGGGCACTCCAATATTTCAAAATAACAACATTTTTACCTCATTTACTTTTGACATTTTTTCTCAATTCAAAACATTTCAGAAAAATATTATATCCCAAAATGTGTCTGATTGAAAATTTCCCAAAATTTATTTTAACAAAAAAAGATCCTAGGGGATCTTGGTGCCCACCATTGAATGATCTTTATAATGTCTATGAAAAACTGTTTTTTAATTATCTGCTTTTTCCTTCTTTCCCCTTCTCCTCTCAATCATTTGATAACAAGGGTGTCTTACATATGAAATATGTAGAAGACATAACAAGAACTTTCTGAGAAATAATGATAACAAACTGCAACTGTCAAACTCCAATATGGTCTCCTAAATTCTTCCATTTTTTTCTTGGCCAGACATAAAACTGAAGGAGCTTTTATTAAATTATAACCATTTCATCAAACTGAAGTCCCTTTCCACAGTATATATGTATATAGTATGGCCAAAAATAGGGCACAGGTATATTTAGGCTCACATATAACATTTGCACTAAATCCTACCACTGAATACAAAGTTAGTTATGTAAATTGTTATTTTAACACAAAGTTGGATAACAAAAATTAACATATTCTATGCAATTATATTGTCCCATTGACTATTGGATCAAAAGATGGCGCCCTTTTTTGTTTCAAATTTTAAGTAAACTTTATGTGTTTCTACTGCAGAATAGCCCTGCATTTGTGTAACTAACCGATTACACAATGTTAAATATCCTTCAAATACATGACTATCACCCATATGAGGGGTTGTGCCCAAGCTGTTTAATGGTGCGATACTTCGGATTACTTCGGAATCCATTCAACACCATGAAAATGCAAATAATGAACACATGACACAACTGAGCGAAAACTATGCTGTTTTAGTTTGAAGTTCTTATTTTAACTTACATAATCCCTCCCTTCCCCAATAATCCAGCTTGTTTCTTTCAATAAACATTTGATACCCGAACAAGTATTAATGTGTCGGAATTTGATTATTATTTCATTCTGAAATCTTGCTCAACTGTTAAGTTTGAATGTCTGTTCGTTCAAAGAAACCAAACTTTACACTTACCACCGGTTATGCTTTTTGTTGCCCATTGAAGATTTTTCGCCATCGATAATGTTGCTACTGAACTTGAAACTGATTCTGTTTTCCTTACAATCAAAGGTGGATCATGATGTACAACAGCTGTAACAGCAACAGGTTTCAGACATAAACTTGAAACCTGCTTCACAGCCGAAGCGAACTGATTCTTAGGAATCGCCAACATTTTTGGTGTCCTTCTCGGGGACGGAAGGTGAAAGACAGTTTACGAAAGTCGTAAATATTTCGGTAATTTCATATAGATTTGGCCTTTCATTACCTAACATTCTTTGCGAATACTTTAAAGTTGTTTTAACATATTGTGTGTAAAAAATATGCAGGTATGTATATACTATCTATTTACGACAATGTGGTTATTTTTCCGCGTTGCACCATGGGAGCGTGCTTTTATTCAAAATGGCTTCGGATACCGAATCAGGGTCAGAATATGAGGTATGATTGCAGGTGCTATTTAGCGTTACTGATGAGCACAAACCGATGTTACAGATGTTTAACTTAAAAAAAGAATAGTTTAATTTGGTTAATCGATGAAGTCGTTTTACTATTACTGCTTGATTCATAAAGAAATTAGACGCAGAACATTTGAAACATTGAACCGCCATGCAACCGGCGGTTGTCACTTTGTAATAATTTGGATTAGTATTTGCATGATGTAACTCATCAACTTAATTATTATCTATTCCTTATTTGTTTTCTTTCAAACTGTTTGTATGAAGTTAAGGGACAAAAGTTCAGGAATGCAGTTATTCTGTACAAAAGAGTTGAATTTTGCAAAAATTCAAGATCGTTAACAAGGGAGACCACCTTTCAAAACATTGCGAGTTTTTTTTTTGGGGGGGGGGGGGGATAGACTATCTAGTTAGATTTATTTTTGCGAGCATGAAAGTCACATGTGTTGAAAAGAAATGTTTTCGTTAAGAAGAAAATTACGTATTTGTTGAAAAAATTAACACGAGTTACTACAATAAATTTACCTGTTTCATTATCGTACCATTTGTTCAAGAGACCTTTCACGAGATATATATTAGCTCCCTTGGCGTTGGCACTCTTCACAACGTAACCAGTTAGTCAACCCAACAATTAATTTTGGAACTCAGATATTTTTGTCATTGACTCTTGATTTTCTACATATATGCCACTCTCAAAAGACTCGAATATTGAGGATCCACTACATCTCTTAGTTATGGGTCTCATCAAAATTTTGGAAATGGTGTTCTGGGTTCACGTAGAAAAATCTACAGGAGTAACTGCCACACTGTGGTATACATGCCATAAACTCTAAATAAATTCTGTTAAACCATAAATGTTGTTGTATGTTTGCTAATATTTAATAGTGTGCAGTGAAATTGTTTTGCCAAATATGACAGAAGTTTTTTTAAATCATGTGTACATGTATATAAACTTTGATATGGATCTGTTTGAAAACAATTTAAATGCAACAAGGAGAAGCTTTTTAAATATAAATGAGCCTTCAAAATTTTTGAGTAGGATAAATTGATAAAATGAAATCTTTTCCTTTTATGTAGTTTTCTTAATATACATGTAGTTTTAAAACTTAATTGCAAACTGGATTCAGTGTTATACATACTGGTTAATATATATTAGCTTTTTAATGTTGATATTAATGATAAGATACTTTGACATTAATTAGTTATTGAAAATAGAAAAAGATACAAAGTTTGAAACTTTTAAATGCACAAATTCTTTAATTTTATGCATGATGGTTATAATAAGAACATTGAATATACTGCTAAGCTGACCTGCATATTAGAATTGATGCTATGTGCTTTTGTTTTAAAGGTTGTGAAAATCCTACAGCAGAGGCGCAGACGAGGAATAACAGAATATCTGGTACGATGGGGAGGGTTTGGACCACAGGAAGACTCTTGGGAACAAGAAGGCAAATTAACAAATTGTGCCAATCTTATCAAAGATTTTGTAAAATCAAGTTTGGTAAGTGTGTTTTTTTGTTAGCAAAATGTTATTTACATTCAGCATAAACTTTTGCAAAATAAGTAAAGATATCTTTTATTGACTTTTATGATGTAATATTTAAATAATTTAGTTATTTCACATAATTTTTTATCAGTATGATGTCATTAAATATTTCCAAATTATTTTTAGACCCCTGCTAAAAAAACAACAAAGAGAGCTTCTAGGTCTCGATCCTCTTCACGTTCGAGGTCCAGGTCAAGATCAAGAGGAAGAGCATCATCAAAGAGTAGAAAGTCTCCTTCAAGGAAAAAAGTTGCTACTCCTGCTAAGGAAAAAACAGTGAGTGTGCGGCAGTCAAGGAGGTCCACTGTAGACGCAGGTGTTGTACAGGAAACCACAACTAAAACTACGGTATGTTTTCTTTATAACTGATAGGGGATGAATCAAATGGATCAGTCAGTTTACCGGATTCTTGTAGTTCTAACTGATTTTTTTAAATGATATACTCTAAGAATAGAATGTTTTAATACTTTAATGCAGCAAACTTGTTTTCAGAAAAACTCTTATCATGGGTGAAAAAATAGGCCTAATATCAAACATGTCCCAACCAATGTAAACTAAAAAAAAGTTTGAAATAAAATTTGCTGATTACCGAAATGCTTATTTAAATGTAGAAAATGAATGGTCCTATGATACACGACCTGGTAGCAAAATCTCTGCTACTTCAAATAGTGATACCTTTTCTAAACCAATTTTCAACACACTAGTTTGTAAGCTAATTGATAGAGCTTTGAAAATGGAAGGAGTCTGATATGGAAGACTTGTAGCTGTTGATTGTTGAGCCAGAAGGAAGTGGACATGAATTACAAAAAATACCCAAGATATTTTGGCAAACTCTGCATCTCTGTCATGGGCTCTTGAAAGCCCTTAAAAGAAATATAAACGAAGATTGTCTTTAAAAAGAAAAATCACTGATCAATTCTTTAATAATATTAGTGTTATTACAAACAATTTTGTTCTGATTTATCTTCAATATGTTTATACAGATCAAATAAAGGTTTCCCTCTTAAAAGTTAAGCTGCAGTAATCTTGTTAATCATAACAAAGGTTGACATTTGCATTTGTTACATCAATGACAGAAAACAGTGGAAGAAGTGAAGCCATTGAACAACGTTGATGAGGATATCAAAACAACAGTAGTGAAAGAAACCTGGACAACAAAGACCTCACAGACAAAGTCAACAAGTGACAGGAAATCACTAAAACCTGCATGGCAGCCACAGCTCCCTGAGTTCCTCCGCCTGAACACATCTGATGTACCTGTTATGATCATTTTCTCCTGTATAACCATCATAACACTGTGTTTTCTGCTGGAAAAATATGTTGAGTAAGTATTCAGTTAAAACAAATTCTGTTTTTGCATATATATCAAGCATATGACCTTTGGAACAGTGTTATTTGGGCTTTGCTGAAATATGCATGTAAGATTTTGATCAGTGATTCAGAAATCAAAATCTCTCGCCATAGATCAACAATCTGTACATGTAACTTTGTGCATCGGACATCGGAAATCAACTTTGTTTATCAGGATAGCATAGAAATGATACTGAAAGTGTATTAAATGCATACAGTCAATAAAAATAATGATTTTTCTTACCGTGATGTCCCTTTATAATGTTGATGAAACTTGGTGAATAGTCCTTAAATTAAAGCAATTGTAAGCTTGTGGTTTTAGGAATTGCAGTGGCTGCTTGATGTTTTTCTACCTTATGTAAATTTGGAAAATGTTGCTGACTCTTTCAAAATGTTCTTGGAAAACTTTGTGAATGTTATGAGATCCAAACCAGTTGTGATTATTTCGGTCTTTGCTGCAGCAGAAACAAGACAAAATTGTTTTAATAGGTTTCTGTATTTAGAGGTTGTGTTTAGGTGTTTGTTATTGGTAGAATTATGATTGAAAAGACAAGTAATTTATATTGAAGAAGAATTAGTCAGAATCTCAGAAACATACAAATCAAGTGTAATTCTTCATATAAGGTTGTTCACGGAGACATAATTTACAAACCAGAGACTTGAAAGAACAATGTTTGGGAAAAAGATATATAGCAAGATTCCAAGCCTCTTAAAACCATTGATTTATAAATTGGCAATATTTTAATGCAAGGAACAATTATCTATTTTGCAATGTATTATATAATCATTAATGAATGATTGTGGGTATTCACTTCTTGTTTTCTGTAAGTGGAAACTGATTATATAGTATGGAACACCAATAATGCAGAGACAAGAAATAATCCAGGAAAAACTTTATGATTCAACATTTTCTTAATGTTCGCAAGAGCTGTTCCATTTAACCATACCCAGGATTCCAAGTTTTGCTTAGAGCTAAAAGCTTTTCTAGTTAAACATTCCCTCTCCAGGACTCCATGTTCGCTTAGGGGTAAGGGCTATTCAATCTAACCCACCCTAGGACTCCCAAGTTTTGTTTAGAGTTAAAAGCGTTTCTAGTTAAATGTTTAATCCTCTCCAGGACTCCATGTTTGTTAAGGGGTAAAGACTATTCCATCTAACCCACCAAAGGACTCCAGGTTTTGTTCAGAGCTAAGGGTTATTCCAGTAAAATATATAACCCACTCCAATACTTCAGATTTTATTCAAGATGTATAAATAACTGAATTGAACAAGACGGTAATCAGTGTGTGTTTAGATTTGAAAATAAAAGTGGTTGATTTAGGTCCTGCTGATAATACAACTTCAAAACATGAACTAGTTTTATATCTGTCATTACAGTCTGAAAACTTTTTACATTTTGTGTGATTCCAGTTTTGAAGCAGTTTGGAACAATCTTGCAGCTTGGTGCGATGGAGTTATTGCCCAAATCCAACGTCTAAGACCTGGTGGTGCGACCCCCACTGCAGCTAAGGATGCTTGAAGTGTTGGAAGACTGGACAGTGTTCTGTCGTTAATATCCCTGCCCACCTAAACTGTACAGAATGAATGCAATAGGCAGCATTTTCTCCTCTGACTACAAGTACTGAAAGTGTCTAAGTGCCATGGAGAGAGATTAAGCATTGTATATTACGATGTTGTGACAAATTTATGTACATTACACACATGCTAACCATGCCCTCTATTATCCTAAGTATGTAGTGTTTTTAACCAAATATTGTTGATATTTTTATGCATAGTATGAATAATTTTACTGAGAAGTATTAGGTTGAGCTACTTTTGTCAAATTTATCCTACCACAATAGTTACATAAACAGTATACCGGTCAAACATCATTTGATAAATCCTTAAATTTTCTTCCTGTAGATTTTTTTTTAATTTTTGTGTGCCATGTCATGAAATTGTTAGTCAATGTTATCAGGATTTTGTAAATCTTTGTAAAATGTTTGTTAAATATTCAATTGACTGTGTGTCACGACAGGGAACCATGTGCTTTGTGTTGTCATCAAGATGTGGATGAAATTATTTTGTAAAAGTTTTTAAGGTTTTTAAATAGGGATTAATTGAGGGATTGAACAATAAAGTGCGATAGATTTGCTATTCATTCACTTTCTATTAGATATATGGCTGGAAGCTGGTCTTATGTCAATGTATGTATATCACAGCTAAAAAGAAATTGTAAAACATTTTCGTTTGGTAGGAATGTTGGACCTAGTGTTGGACTACAATCTCACAGAAGTTTACATGGAAGTGTTATATTTGAATTTTATATCATTAGGTAAGAACTGTCACTACCAAGCCTTTTTAAGTACGTATAATGAACAAGTTTGGTTTCAGATGAAAAGCCAGATTTGGTATCTGATTCTCATTTTAAATAAAGGAAAGAATAAGACAGAACAATTATCTGTGAAGGAACTTCCAGAACACTTATATATAGAAAACAGGACAGGATATATGACATTAGAAAACTGTTTGGGACCAAAATGGGATGAAGTACAGAATTTTAAGTAGAAGGTGTTGGTTATCTTAACATTTGGTGTGTGTAGATATTTAGATTAAAGGAAATCTGGGTAGTGTTATAGGAATACACAAATTCTTTACTAACGGGTATTAATTTGTACCTCAAGTTTGGCTGATGGGGTTATAGTTATCTGTCTGCGTAGGTAAAGCAGTAGATTTTCACTTGTAGCTTTCCTGCTGTACACACTGCTGTGACCAATCAAATTGTTTTATTGTTGACTCTAGTCACAAATCTCTTCTTACAAATCCAAGAATTGAAATATTCACTTGATGCATTAGTGTGAAAATTGAAGCATTGGAAGAAGTAGATGATGTCTAGCTCCTTATGGCTGTTATAAAAAGGAACATTTTATGTTATAATTTGTGTAAAATCATTGTTTTTCTCATCATTTCATTTTCATTTGTGTAAAGAAGCTGAAGAATGATTTGATAATGTACTCCCTATCCATTTATAGCTGTTTGTAATAGCAGTAGAAGTGCGATAAATTGATGACACCAACAGTAGGAAAAGGATATTTTAGAGTTTTAAACAAAGATACAAATAAAAAAAAATTAATGGATTTGAATTCGAAACGCATCTTTTTCAGAAAAAAAGAAGTGCTTACTGTTTGCTTACAAATTACATGAACAATATAAATTTTTGAAATGTTTCCAATACATGGTTGGTAATGCTTCAGTAGCAATTAGCTTGATTTTTCACAAAAAAATTATTATTAAAAAGAGTACAAATGAAATTGGAATTGGCAGCATCATTTTTTCATTTCATTTTAAACTGGTTTAACACTCAATGGCATAATGTGCTGTTGTCAAATATTTGAGATAATTTTCAGATTAATATTTCTGCTCTATCAGATTTTGATTTATGAAATGAGTATCAGAGTGAGAAACCTCACACAAAGCTACTTTGATAGAACATCAAAACTTTAACTGTCTGAAGCTGTTGGAAAAAGCTTGTGATGTACAGTTGAGATCATGTGTAACCTGTTATATTTAATTCTATGACTGTTATTTGATGACATTGTAATCATGCTCATTTCCTTAAAGGCAGTGTTAATCACCACAAAGTTGTGAAAGAATAACAGCGAATTCTTTTCTTTTTAATTTTTTTTTCAAATTCTCATTTTATACGAATTTTCATTTTAGATATTTGATAGTAATTGAAACAATTAAAAGATCAGTTTTAGATCCTTCATTTACAGTAGATCTACCTATATAATCACCATTTATCATGATCTTTCATTCATGACTTGTCATTGTGACACTTGGTTTTACCATTCCAAACTTTGTAAGTATCGGGATGAAACATTCAGGTTAACCATATTCTGCCGTTACGTCATCTGTTTGTCTTTGTACTTTGTATGATATATATTTTTACCATTTTCCTGAAAAGATTGAAAAAAAATACAGAATAAGTTTTAAAAGAAACTTGCAATAAAATACAGACAGAAAATGAAAATGTGTTTTAAGTGTTGTGTTGAGATGAAGTTTCATTGCATTTTAAACGCCATATTATTATCATCGAGTGGTTCTGAATGCAGAAAGAAATTGAAATGCAATGGGAATAGTAAATAACAAATCGCCTTTCAAAAGCAAGGGTGATTTTGAGGCACTGTTTCCTTACAGCAGCTGGTAATTTCCTCTCTGAACAACATACAGGAGGCATATGCCATCCAGAGCAGTGCAAGTGAACTGTTTTGTGAAGGACAGATGAGTCCTTTCTCAGCTTCCTGAGAAACAGGTAAGGAGCTTCATACCATGTACTTCAGATCTTCACCCAAGGAGGCACTTGAGAGAACCATTTATATGTAATATGGAGAGATCTAAAGTGGAGGAGATATTTACTATAAACAGCAATAGGTTCAGTGGAAAAGAGCACCTCATGGAGGCACTGCCATCTGGAAGTTAGACTTTCACTTTGCGTGCTCTTTTAAAGGACTTATTTTAATCAAGAGTACCACTAGCGTTGTTAAAAGAGTTTGAACAACTTTGGAAGTTTTAATTTGCATTCTAGATATGTAATCAGGTGTGAATGACCTCCCTTCGAATTTAATGTTTCTTATACACAGTTCAACCACTCTAGCCACTCATTAACGGATTTTTTCCGTTTTACTATTGACTATTCAATCAGTGATTGAGATGACATGAAAAATCACAATTCTAAGGCAAACAATATATATATATGTGTGTGTGTGTGTTTCGGATTTCCCGACCGTCCCTCTTTTTTTGCCTTCGACACTGTTTTCAACATTTTGGCAGTATTCTAGTAAGCTAGAAAATAATGAAATGCTGAAGAAGCCCACAGGCCCATGCTAAATATCCCTACCTGTGTTTTATTATACCAGGAATGGGGTGGGATGTCATTTCATCAGAATGGTTTACTTTACATCGTCGATATATATTGTATACCGTTTACATCCTTATATTTACATTTCCGGTGTGTATCTTCTACATAGACCTACCAACGAAATCGACGTTTACACTTCGGTAAACCTTACGCGTATGAATACATTGGCCTTCAGTAGCCGCATCACTGTAACACTCTTACGCAATTAATGTCAATGCGCAGTGATTTTTTTTCTTCAAAGTTCTAACATTTAACAAACCTTTATTAAATTAAATATGTTGAATAAGTGTAAGTTTAATGGTAAAATAATTTTAATTTTTTGTTGTTTATTGGTATGTAAACTAACGCGCGTCATTGAAAATATCTGTAAAAAAAATGCAGTTTACACACCAGTAAACAACAAAAAATTAAAATCATTTCTTTAAAAAACGTGACTGTTGTATTTTTAACAACACAGTCATCATTCCAGTGAAGAATTTGATGTTATGATTTATTTTGACCATCTCGCTTTGTTGTTATTGGTAGTGGCGACAATGCAACAAAACTGCCCCACCAATGCTACAATCATTTGGTTTTGACACTTTAACTCACGTGATCGATGGAGTAGACACGTGTTTGACACAGGACAAACTCAGTTTATCGAATCGGTTGGTGAGTTGGAGGAAAGACGAAGGTCAGCCATATTATCCTTATATATTTAACTACAGCTTCTGTGCAAACTGGTCACACAACCATTTTAGAATACTGTATTTGCCGCAATATTATTCCGTCTTCTTTGAATAAATCGTTGATAAACATTGATACCCGGCATGCATTGCTAGGTATCGTCATACTTTCCATCATTATGCCGTGAGGGGTACCTTTGCAATGCTACGAGAAATTCAGGTTTATATTTCGCGGTATCTGCACAGAATGTTCCATTGTCTTCCACACCCGCCAAATCCCAAAACTATACCCTAGATTCCTGTCAGGATCATATCTGTGTTAAGGAATTCTGTTATAAAAGAGTTCCATTGAACACATGACAAGTAAGTATGCTTAAAAATATTAACTGGATTATGTTGTGAGCAATCCGCGAGTCGGATGTATTATCGCCTGAAATATAAAAAATATTTTCTTGATCCGAATGTTTAAGAATAGTCCGACCAGGCTTTCTCCATTCATGGATGGGTTGTTATATCTACCTGTTCATGGATGGGTTGTTATATCTACCTGATCATGGATGGGTTGTGATATCTACCTGTTCATGGATGGGTTGTTATATCAGTTATATCTACTTGTTCATGGATGGGTTGTTATATCTACCTATTCATGGATGGGTTGTTATATGAGTTATATCTACCTGTTCATGAATGGGTTGTTATAGCAGTTATATCTACTTGTTCATGGATGGGTTGTTATATCTACTTGTTCATGAATGGGTTGTTATAGCAGTTATATCTACTTGTTCATGGATGGGTTGTAATATCTACCTGTTCATGGATGGGTTGTTATATCAGTTATATCTACCTGTTCATGGATGGGTTGTGATATCTACCTGTTCATGGATGGGTTGTGATATCTACCTGTTCATGGATGGGTTGTTATATCAGTTATATGTACCTGTTCATGAATGGGTTGTAATATCTACCTGTTCATGGATTGGTTGTTATATATCAGTTATATCTACCTGTTCATGGATGGGTTGTTATGCCAGGTATATCTACCTGTTCATGGATGGGTTGTTATAGCAGTTATATCTACTTGTTCATGGATGGGTTGTAATATCTACCTGTTCATTGATGGGTTGTTATATCAGTTATATCTAGCTGTTCATGTATGGGTTGTAATATCTACCTGTTCATGGATGGGTTGTTATATCTACCTGTTCATGGATGGGTTGTTATATTGTTATATGGGTTGTTATATCAGTTATATCTACCTGTTCATGGATGGGTTGTTATATCTACCTGATCATGTATGGGTTGTGATATCTACCTGTTCATGGATGGGTTGTTATATATCAGTTATATCTACCTGTTCATGGATGGGTTGTTATATCTACCTGTTCATGGATGGGTTGTTATATATCAGTTATATCTACCTGTTCATGGATGGGTTGTTATATATCAGTTATATCTACCTGTTCATGGATGGGTTGTTATATATCAGTTATATCTACCTGTTCATGGATGGGTTGTTATATATCAGTTATATCTACCTGTTCATGGATGGGTTGTTATATCAATTATATCTACCTGTTCATTGATGGGTTGTAATATCAGTTATATCTACCTGTTCATGGATGGGTTGTTATATATCAGTTATATCTACCTGTTCATGGATGGGTTGTTATATATCAGTTATATCTACCTGTTCATGGATGGGTTGTTATATATGTTCATGGATGGGTTGTTATATATCTATATCTACCTGTTCATTGATGGGTTGTTATATATCAGTTATATCTACCTGTTCATGGATGGGTTGTTATATATCAGTTATATCTACCTGTTCATGGATGGGTTGTTATATATCAGTTATATCTACCTGTTCATGGATGGGTTGTTATATATCAGTTATATCTACCTGTTCATGGATGGGTTGTTATATATCAGTTATATCTACCTGTTCATGGATGGGTTGTAATATCAGTTATATCTACCTGTTCATGGATGGGTTGTTATATATCAGTTATATCATGTTCATGGATGGGTTGTTATATATCATGGATGGGTTGTTATATATCAGTTATATCTACCTGTTCATGGATGGGTTGTAATATCAGTTATATCTACCTGTTCATGGATGGGTTGTTATATATCAGTTATATCTACCTGTTCATGGATGGGTTGTAATATCAGTTATATCTACCTGTTCATGGATGGGTTGTTATATCAGTTATATCTACTTGTTCATGGATGGGTTGTTATATCTACCTGTTCATGGATGGATTGTAATATCTACCTGTTCATGGATGGGTTGTTATATCAGTTATATCTACCTGTTCATGGATGGGTTGTTATATATCAGTTATATCTACCTGTTCATGGATGGGTTGTAATATCTACCTGTTCATGGATGGGTTGTTATATCTACCTGTTCATGGATGGATTGTAATATCTACCTGTTCATGGATGGGTTGTTATATATCAGTTATATCTACCTGTTCATGGATGGGTTGTTATATATCAGTTATATCTAGCTGTTCATGGATGGGTTGTTATATCAGTTATATCTACCTGTTCATGGATGGGTTGTTATATCAATTATATCTACCTGTTCATGGATGGGTTGTTATATCAGTAATATCTAGCTGTTCATGGATGGGTTGTTATATCAGTTATATCTACCTGTTCATGTATGGGTTGTAATATCTACCTGTTCATGGATGGGTTGTTATATCTACCTGTTCATGGATGGGTTGTTATATCAGTTATATCTAGCTGTTCATATATGGGTTGTAATATCTCAGTTATATCTACCTGTTCATGGATGGGTTGTTATACCTATCATGGATATATCTACCTGTTCATGGATGGGTTGTTATATATCAGTTATATCTACCTGTTCATGGATGGGTTGTTATATCTACCTATTCATGGATGGGTTGTTATATCAGTTATATCTACTTGTTCATGGATGGGTTGTTATATCAGTTATATCTACCTGTTCATGGATGGGTTGTGATATCTACCTGTTCATGGATGGGTTGTTATATCTACCTGTTCATATCTTGTGTATCATGTTCATGATGGGTTGTTATATATGTTCAGTTATATCTACCTGTTCATGGATGAGTTGTTATATCAGTTATATCTACCTGTTCATGGATGGGTTGTAATATCAGTTATATCTACCTGTTCATGGATGGGTTGTTATATCAGTTATATCTACCTGTTCATGGATGGGTTGTTATATCTACTTGTTCATGGATGGGTTGTTATATCAGTTATATCTACCTGTTCATGGATGGGTTGTTATATCAGTTATATCTAGCTGTTCATGGATGGGTTGTTATATCTACCTGTTCATTGATGGGTTGTTATATCAGTTATATTTACCTGTTCATGGATGGGTTGTTATATCTACTTGTTCATGGATGGTTTGTAATATCAGTTATATCTACCTGTTCATGGATGGGTTGTTATATCTACCTGTTCATGGATGGGTTGTGATATCTACCTGTTCATGGATGGGTTGTTATATCTACCTGTTCATGGATGGGTTGTTATATTTATATTAGGTATACATATCGTATACATTGTGTAAGTAGTTGTGAGAAACGACAATTTTTCTAAGGTTTCTTGTACTTAATACAGATTGAATATCGGTGCAACTAGCCAAATGGACTGATATATGTAGCTAAAACTGTACGTAATACTACGTTAATTAAAGGAGTTATACAGTCATTACCAAAGTAGCTATGCACGTACACTAAATCTCGGGGAGACGGTGCTTAGCGTCTACTCGGAGTGCAAGCTACGAGTGACGGGAGCAGTGTGTAGTGGTGTGTATAGAAATTTTGCTGCGCATGTACCAAGCAGTATCCTGGAGATGCATGGACCTTCACATATCAATAACCAGCTATGTTATGTAAACATACATATTTTTGATGTACGTGGACAGACTAGGTTAGGATAAAGTACAGTATATAAGATGTCCGAGGCTTTTACCCGTATTGATTACATCCTCAATTATGTCTACCTGTGTATTGTTACATGTACCTGGCCAGTAGACCCCTGTGTTCAACATGGCTGCTCTGGCATGACATGCAGGTTACAGCAAACCTCGGGGACATAAGTTAACCAATAATGTCTACTACATTGAGTCTGAAAGGACTATGATCACATTGCATTAAGTTAATGGCAGGAAACAGGATACGTGTCGTCACTGGATGTATACGAGCGCCGAATAGACAGATTTCGACGTAAGAAGTTCCTCCAGAAAACAATTTTTTTTTGTGTTTTCTAATGCGTAAGTATCAAATCTTATTTATTATTTCTAATTATTGAAAAAGGAATGAGTCGAGTAAATGAGGGATAAGATTATATGGACAAGCTGTAGCTATTATTCTTGATGTTTTGTATATGCTAGAAATATCCATATTTGTGTCATTTAAATGAAATAAAACCATTGAAAAACCTCATAATACCACGTGAATATGATGCAAAATCATAAATTTGGATTCTGTTGTGAATTCACTTTTTAAAGTCGGTAAGAAAACTTTGGTCCCTAACAAGGCAGATGGGGTCCAAAGACTCTCACTCATCTTGTAACAAAGCTAGCCGAATCGACGTTTATGGGATTGCACATCATTATCACATAATGTCCTGTCGATTGCATAACCATCTCTGATCCAGGCGGCAGTAAAGTCCTTTTATCGTCACATATACTTTTTCTAGTTGGTGTATATTTTTTATTTTCATTTTATTTTTTTTGTATAAAACGCGTTTATATCATTTGTCGAAGACATCGCATTTTAATTCCAGTTCGAAGTAAACCGTTCAAAATGGTGAAATATTAGATAATCTCTTTGACGATAAATGAATTGTTGTTGGCTATTTTGATTTAAGTTTAATATAAGATTTTATACTCTGAAGCCTTGGCGTAGGAATTTCTACGAAAATTAAATTTGATCACTGTATATTTACAGGATTCGTTATCTATAACAAAGATGTCAGACCAGGATGAAAATAATAAAAAGTCATGGCTCCTTTATAATTTATTAAACCGGATTATAGGGAGCCAGGAAATGGTGGTAGTCAAAAGAAGAATGACAATTATGGGAGAGCTTATCGCCAACGCAGATAAAACATTACCTGTTAAACGGTTTAACACAGGAAGCAGGAGCGAGGGAAGTGCAATTGTAGGTTCGGACAAAGACTTCATGTTCATTTATAAAAACGTAACTGTTATATGTCCTAATCAGGACACTGGTCTTCCACAAAGCAGTGCAGATACGTCAGTTTTATTGATGAGAGATACTGCTGACAGCCGACCTGGCTACGTGACCTTGCAATTTCTTCATCGGGGAGGGAAATGTCCTTCACATTTGATGGCTTCCGTTGTTCCAGTTTTGGATCAACTCTTCGTTTCAAGTGAGGTATATCAACGTATAGACAGAGACATGTACAGTAATTTTCTGCAAATAGCCTTTGAAACTAATGGTCCAGCTTCAGCTTTAACTTATAAAGACAATAAAGAATCAATTAGTATGGATACCGCAAGTTCTCTCCACTGTCCTTACTGGCCTAAAGAAGCTAATGAGTGGGTGAGTAGACCTCGCTTACATGAGTGGCCGGATAAAGCTTTGAGAGATCAGATAGTACAGGGTGGCTGCCAACTCGTTCCTGTAGGAGATAAAACGTCTGATGACTCATTCTTACAATGGAGGATTTCATTTGTTACTGCGGAGAGGCATCTCATTTATTCTCTTAGTCATGTCCAATTTTTAGTGTACGGACTTCTCAAGTATTTTATCAAACAGATATCGGGAATATTGAAACAATTACAAGGAGATACAGATATCCTTACATCATATATACTAAAAACAGCCGTATTCCATGCAGTAGAAAATACACATCATTCATTGTGGCAAGAGAAAAACCTATTTTACTGTTTCATGCTTTGCATGAAAATGTTGATCGGTTGGGTGGAGACAGGATATTGTCCTAATTATTTCATTCAGAGTAACAATATGTTCCATGGCAAACTTAATGTCGAAAATCAACAAAAACTTCTTCGTTTTCTCATTGATATTCAAGAGAAGAAATGGGAATGTCTTTCAGTTAAAACAATCACATTGCCAACTATAGGGCAGATAATGCACGACTCAGGAAATCTGCCATGGGAATCAGCACTGTTTCCACCAACAACATTGGAAAGAAAGCATGATTTACACGTATTCCGTGAATGCTGTGTACTTGACTGCGGAACAAAGGCACTGCCTGCGTCACTGAATCTCCTGTCTGGGTCGAAGTCAGAATTGGATGATTTCTTTGCTTACGTTACAACAGCAGTAGGATTATCAAATAAAGGTCAGGAAATATTCGGTGAATACTTTTCTGCAACTGGAAATAAAAATAAGTACAAATATCTCAGGAGATGCAAAACACTTCTGAAACCTTTTGCAACAGCATGTACAAGTTCTGGATTGCTGACACTTGCAACTTATTATTACCTGACTGGAAATAACCTAAAAACACTGGCAATGTGCAAACACGTGATCACATCGGACAAACTTTATCTCGATTGTCACTCGGAGAAACAGGACAAAAAGTACGAAGATCTGCATTGTGGACGAGGATACACGCTGCTGAATAAATTTCGGGAAGCATGGTTATCAGACATACATTTTTCATTGAATGCTCCATATTTTTGTCCGTCTCGTATACAACCGGAGTTAACACTCAGAAGTGTTACACTTTCGATCCCTCCTCTCCCTTACGCTGTGTTTTTATCTTTCCAGTGTTACCATGAACTAGGCGAGACAAGGAGACGTGATGAAGCATTAGTTCACCTCCGGGCCGTTAAGTACGACGAGGAACAAGGAGGTGATAGACACTGGATAGTCCACAACCTGTTAGGGATCTGTTACGAAATGATTGAGGATAAACAGAGGGCACTCAGATCATATAGAGACTCTCTAGGTGTTCTGTGTATAACCCAATATAAGAATCAAACAAAGAAGAGGATAGAACGTTTATTAAACTCGCAAAAACCTAAAGAGTAATTATAACAAATCACTTTCAAACAGCAAGCTCGTGTTTGAGGGTACGCACATTTTTAAAAATCCATCATCCCCTCTGTAAGTGTTGTGTTCGACGCCTTTCCTTAAAATTTGTTTGAATGAATGGCCACAAAAGCTAGAAAGAAATAAGGACAATTTGACTAATAATTTGCTTTGTGAAAATGAAATTAATGCTGTACCGTATTTGCTTAAACGAACTATCGCTACGATCTTGTAGGCCCGTCTTCCTCCACCTTTAAATTTCTCTATTTACTCTTTCTAAGGAAGAGCTGTAGAGATAATTCTCCGTCATATATAGAGTTTCCCACTATCCGCAGCTCTTCAGACTCACTTTCATTAAAGCACCAGTAATAAAAACAACAAAAACAAAATGAAAAATAAAGATCGCGATTTTTACTTCATCTATTATTTTGACCAAAAAGGCTTCTTGATGTTGAAGAAATGGAGGGATCCCTTTCGCAAATTTCTTGTGTGTGGATGCCGGTTTTCATTGGTCTATAGTATCTGATAATCAGATTTGGATACAATCGAAGAAGGGCCTACAAAAATTGTCTTCCAAAAAGTTATTTGTTGATGCTTTCGTATCCATGTTGATTTTAATAATGACCGGAAAAGTAACTTACGGTCACTAATTAAAATTTTAGATTGAAAAAATAATTTAGCGTCACCATGCTACATCTGCTTTCACATATTACACGCAACGCTTCGAAAATGACTTACTCCAGTTAATCATCGGCCGTAACAAGACATACATCAAACACAACATTAAATTTATAGAAATCCAAACAATTCTGAAAGATCCATTTGGTTATTGGTTTTGAATTCTAAGCATTGTACTGTTTGTTTATGAATGTGGTTATCCCGATATAACGCTATCAACTGACGACCTTCAGGATTTTGACAAATAGTTATATGACTTCTAACAAGGAAATTTGGTACTTTTCCTTCAAGAAACGAAGTTCATCAATTATTCGATCAATTTCTAAAATGTTATACATCTACACAAGACTTGATGTAACTAAGGTAGAAAGTAAGAATTGTTCTGGAATATATAACTCGCTTACATATGTAGTTTCAAAATAATGTAATCGTACAGCTCCTAGGTCAACGACATACTTCTTCCTTTTTGATTATTTTATTAAAATTGAATTTCAAATATGTTTTCTATATTTTTAACAAATGGTTTAATAAAGTAATGAAAATATTTACACATACGTTATGATGTGATATATTAATGTTAGTGTAAATGTTTTATTGACTATATATATAAAATTGAATTTCAAATATGTTTTCTATATTTTTAACAAATGGTTTAATAAAGTACCTTTTGAAAATATTTACAAAACTGTATATAAACTATATATTAATGTTAGTGTAAATGTTTTATTGACTATATATATCCAATTTATGGCGAATAATGAAACATCTACATTTTTCAGTAAACCGTATCACGCGGTCAATCATACATGTACCTTTTGAATAAATACAAAACTGTATATAAACTTTGTAACAGGTACCATAAGATATTACTATAATGAATAAGATATACTATAGCTTCATCATAAACAAAATGCTCCAGGGTCTTAACGATCATCTGAGTCACAATGCTTCTTGTAACTATACACTGGATTTGAAAAAAGATTTTTGAAATTCCAGTCTTTTTGACCTATTCCATACAATTCACAATTGTCGAAAGTCGAAAATGGTTTACAACGCACTACGGACTACTCACGACGTCCCTCGACAAAAGGGGGTTGCAAAAGGCCACCCTTTGTTTCAGGTGACCTCAAATAATAGAACTATTTGTAGTGGAACTGGTTGATTGTCAGGGACCAGGTATTACTGTTCAGAGGTTGCTGTGTTTAAACCTCAGTCTTTTGTGTTTTTTATCTTCTTCGAACCTGGTCCATGTGACCAACCCTTGTTTCAAGTAGGAGAATACATACCGGAACTGAGTTGTATAAAGTTATGTATACCATCCTGTCCTGTCCTGATGTAATTTATGCTAACATTGTCATTTCTATATCAATCTATGTAAATCTCTATATTAATTGTAGTAATCAGATTGTCTAACAGTTTGTCAGGTTTTTGTTTTGGCACACTATCTAAAGTTCTGTTGAATCAATTGAGTCAATTGCACTCAAACTTTATCAAATGCTTCTTTAAAGAAAGTGCTTTGGTGAGAACGAATTTCAGGTCCTGAGGTCAACGGTCATGGTCACTTACTATAAATGGAAAAAAAGTATTGCTACGAAACAACTTCAGTTATACTTGTATAATTACTTTCTCCGTTGCTTCTTTACAATGCTTGCTCTCAATAGTGTTTCTTGTTCAGAGATCAAAGGCTAAGGCCACCATGACTTTAAGTAGAAATTTGAATATACAGCACACACACACACACACACACACACACACACACACACACACACATATATATATATATATATATATCATCTGAACGTTAAGTGGTAAAAGTTTACTTATAAAATAATAAAACATGATTGTCTGAAATCAAATGAGAAGTCATCTGACCGCAGGTCAAGGATATCAGCTCAGATGTTTATGTTTTTTAAATTCATTATTGGTTTATAATTAAACACCACTTTGTGTGTCTATCTCTGTATCATTACTTTATGCACAAGTTACAATATCTTATTAACACCAGGCCATAGATAGAATTTCTTCACATTCACATCACAATGCCATCACCAAGTTATATAACTTTGTTAGATTTCGGTGGTCATAAGTCAAGGTCACCCTTGACCGCTGCATGAGATAGCTCATGAACACATCAATAGATCTAGAAGAAAAAAAAATCAAAACAAGATCTGAGGTGTAAGTATATTTCTAGATGTGAGCAAGCCATGTCCTGCTTTCTTTGTTTTTCATTTATCATTAGTAGCTTAATAGTTTACACTTTTCATCACAAGGCTATCTTTGTTTCATACCATATAATGTACATTTTATGTGCTTGTTGTAAAGTAATCTTGTATGTATCATTGATCATTGTGTTACATTTATAAACGTTACGTAAAGCATATTGGAAAACGTGATTAGGAGTTGTAATAACTGGTGCTCTATCCTTTTGTTGTTAAGATGTGTTTAGATTTCTTCCTGTCTCATCTAAACAGGATGGGATGGGATTGGTTTATATTTGTATGAATGTCAATGGGTTTTAAATCAGTAATGAACTATTAACTGGCAATATATCACATGTACATGATAGTAGGTTGCTGAGGATTACCTGGAAAATGATATAATTTGCAACATATTCCCAGTTCAGAACTTTTTTTAAGATCCCTTAGCATTTCCGCAATTGCAGTATTATTTGAAACTATTAATTTACATTTTGGCATTTCTTAAACTGTTGAACTGTCTTATTTTAAGTCTGTTAGTTCGCTGCAAGTTTGCATTTTACGTTTATTGTGCGTATTTGAAGCGATTCTTTATATCTCAGTAACCTTAGCTAAAATGAAAGTAGATCTAATTTTATGAAAATACGCAACTACGTCTAATGTCCGGTTTACAGCTGGGTACATCTACCGTTCATGAGATTCGATATTTACACAGTATATGTGTGTGGTGACGATACGCTTCCACTATCGTATATATGTCATGTAAACGTACACATATCGACAGACTAGGCCTGGCCTGTGTGTATCGGGTACACTACATGAGACTATTTTATTTGTGATTCTATTTTAAGGTATGTCTACCTTTGTATTGTTCACCTGTATCGGATAGTATAAACCAGGTACATATAATACAGAGAGATAAGAAACATCCTGTACTTTTTTGTTTTGCTATAAAGAAGACATTCAAGTTAACCTGCCTTGCTTTATTTGTAAACCATTTTCCTACAAAATTACATGACTAATATTTTCAAATTAAACAGTGACAGGAAAAAATTTAATTGCGTTAATTTGTGACAAATCATTTCTATGTGCTTTAGATGGTTATATATAACTTCATAACAGCTGAAATACCGTCCTGTATGGTATACCACATTCAGTCCTAAATATGAAGAAAATCATCTATAAATAAATGGCATTAAAAAGCTGAGTAATTTTCCGATTGACTGGAAAAGCAAGGTTTACGACTCGGTTAACAAACACAATACTTAACGCTAGAGAAGTCGTTTATGGGCCTAGTTTCTTATCCCTCTATATTGTACTTTCTTGTATTTATATCGACTTTCAACATGTCTACTTTATCGTGGCATGCTGGATTACGCCAAACCTTAGGGATTGAAGTTCACCAACAATATCTTCTACATGTAGTCCGAAATGATCGTACAAAACAGTGTATACATGATCTCAAAGATCACTTTGCACGCTGTTGTCAACAGGCATCGGCTTGTGGTTGAATACATGAGCTTACTAGGCATTGATATCTGGTTAATGCTTGTATATGAAGTAGTGAAGTATGAAATGAATATAGATAGAACATTGTGTTGAATGAGCAGTGTCAGTTTGGGCCATACTGCTGCAATTCATTGACAAGCCTGACTTTTGCAGGAAGATAAATATTCGTTAGCTGTATACTGCATAGAGTATGATATTCCAAACATCATGTTTTATGGAGGTTCATTGGAAATTCTGGGGTTAAAAATAGGGGTTATAAAATAGACATTTAGGAGTTTTGTATTGTTTTTCTGCTTAATAAGTATGAAGTCCTAGAGTAATGAAGTAAGTGTTGAAAATAGCAGAGTTTAGGTGACTAGAGATTCCTAGCGCATTAGATATGTGAAGGAAATTTAATATCACAACCTTAAAGGAATGTATGTTATGTAAGGTTTGTATGTGTGTAATTTATGTTATGTAAGGTTTGTATGTGTGTAATGTATGTTATGTAAGGTTTGTATGTGTGTAATGTATGTATGTATATATGTATGTTTATGGTGTACTGTGTATTATGTTTATGTCTGACCACCATGTCGTCTTGGGAGAAGACTTATATAGGCTATGGTTGGCTGTCTATTGATTATTTTTATCAATGAAATATAAATATTCTGAAATGAAATGAAAGGAATAGGGCATCTTAAGACAATATTTTAAGTACTTATTTGCTTTCATAACAGAGATGTATACGAGAATTGAATATATAATTACACGTGTATATTTACAGGACTCTATGGCAGAGGTATCGGATGTGGGAGAGCATGACGAGCAGTCATGGGTCCTTTATCACTTGTTAGACCGGATTGTTGGGAATCAAGAAATGATAACCGTCAGAAGAAAGCTAGCTGTTATGAATGAGCTTATTGTGAATGCAGAAAAATCATCTACAATGACGAAGTTCAATGCGGGTAGCAGAAGTGATGGGAGTGCTGTGGTAGGTTCGGACCAGGACACGATGTACACTTATAAAAATATAGTTGTTTTAAGTCCAGATCAGGCTGTGTCAAGGAGTGATGATATACCGGTTTTGATGATGAGAGATGCTGCTGACAGTAGACCTGGTTATGTATTTTTGGAACTAGTTAAGGGATGGGATTTTTCTAGCAAATTGTCGGAGTCTATTGTTCCAGTTGGTGATAAATTCTTCGTCTCTAGTGAAGTATACAGTCGTACTCACATCGATGGCATCAGTGATTTGACTCGGATAACCTTTGAAACTAACGGTCCAGCTTCAGGTATCAGTTATGAAGTCAGCCCAGGCTTAGTTAATGTGGACACTGTAATGTCTCTCCGTTGTCCTAACTGGCCGAAAGAAGCTAACGAATGGGTGATTAGGCCTCGTTTGCACGGATGGCCGAATAAAACATTAAGGGATCAGATAGTACGGGATGGCTGTCATCTTGTCCCTGTAGGAGATAAAACGTCTGGTGACTCATTCTTACAATGGAGAATTTCTTTTGTTACTGCGGAAAGGAAACTTCTTTATTCCCTCAGCCATGTCCAATTCTTAGTGTACGGACTTCTCAAGTGCTTCCTCCAACAGATTTCTGAAATCTTGAAAGAATTACTAGGGAATATTGAAATTCTTACATCATATATTATGAAAACAATTATATTACATGCGGTTGAAAGTACACACCATTCACTGTGGCAAGACAGAAACATATTTTATTGTTTCATGCTCTGCCTGAAAATTTTGATCGGTTGGGTGGAAACAGGATATTGTCCAAATTACTTCATCAAGAGTAACAATATGTTCCTTGGCAAAGTTAATGGCAAAAATCAAGAAAAACTCCTTCGCTTTCTTATTGATCTTCACGATCTGAAATGGGAATGTCTTTCAGTTAACAGGACTTCATTGACAGCTGTAGGAGAGATTATTGAGATGGTGCGCAATGGAGAGTGGGAATCCGTTCTATATTCACCAGCTGTTTTTGAGAGGAAACGTGACGAAGTGCTGTTCAACCAGGTAGACAGAAGTAATATCAGACGGGATGCACTTCCTGTGTTATTAGAACACTTGTCTGCATCAAAATCAGAACTGGATGAGTTCTTGTCTTACGTTCCGATAGTATCAGGACTGACATGTGAAGGAATAGCGATATTTGGTGAACATCGGCCTATCATTGCAAATAAAGAAAAGTACAAGTTTCTCAGAAAATGCAAGAAATTTCTAACACCATTTGCCGGAGTAAGTACAAGTCCCGGGCTGCTGGCATTAGCAACATATCATTACCACACTGGGAATTACCCCAAAGCACTGGAAATATGTGGTCACATGATCACTTCGGTCAAGATTCATTTTGGTTTTCCCTTAGATTTAAAGGAGGAGACGACCTACAACCAGGTGTGTTGTGGAAGAGGGTACTCGCTGCTGCATAAATTCCGGGAGATATGTGTATCAGACTTTGAGTTCAAGCAAAACGATCTATGCTTCTGTCCACCCCAACTACACCCAGAGTTTAGAAGTTGCGTTCGAGGTACTACACTTCTGATTCCCCCTCTCCCCTATGCTGTGTTCCTGTCGTTCCTTTGTTACCACGAACTTGGTGACATCCGAAGACGTGACGCAGCCTTGATTCATCTCCGGATCGTGAAGTATGATAAGAAACAAGGAGGTAGTTATTACTGGATAGTCCACAATCTGCTGGGAATCTGTTATGAAATAGCTGGGGACACACGAGGTGCACTCAGGGAGTATAGGAACTCTCTCGGTGTTTGAAGTTTGACCCAATGTAACAACCCAGCCAAGAAGAGAATAGAACGTTTACTGCAAATATAAATAAAAAGGATAGAGTACTCTCGATGTAATGTTTTATATATCAAAACTTTTTTTATAGACAGGAAGTTAAAGTACAGATAGCATTGCTTAATATTATTACGCCACATATGAGCTTGTCTAAGGAACCGTCCTTACAAATGAGCTTGTATAGTGTCATTATTACGCCACACATGAGCTTGTCTAAGGTACCGTCCTTACAAATGAGCTTGTATAGTGTCATCATTACGCCACACATGAGCTTGTCTAAGGTACTGTCCTTACAATTGAACTTGTATAGTGACATTATTCGCCACAAATGAGCTTTTCTAAGGTACCACCCTCACAGTTGAACTCGTCAAGTGTCATTATTACACCACATGCGAGCATCTCGGATTTTAAATCACAAAGTCATACATTCGAACTCTAACCGTTGTCCTAACAATGTTAACCTAAAATCAAAATAACTCACCAAAGTAATTTAAGAAAAAGAAAGTCAATGTTGAATTTATTTCTGAAGCATTGGTCATCTAAGCCCTTACCACTAAACGTATGGACTCAACCTGGTGACCACCTACTATAAAGAAAACTATCCTATATTTACCCGCTTCTCATATGATGATTATCTCCCCTTAATTTCATGTGATTTCCTCAAGTCGAGATTTTCCTCGGCTGATATCTCCTCAAAAACAGCTTGTATAAAATTTTCTAAAGGAACAGGAGGAAGGCATCGGCTAGGATGTCCTGAAATTCCTTGAGGAATTTTCATACAAGATATTTTCAAGGAGATATTAGCTGAGGAAAATCTGGGCTTGAGGAAATCTCAAGTTGAGATGTTTTATACAAGTGAGGCCAGGTTAGAGTTACATTCAAGATTTCGAATTGTAACCCTGCTACCAATTACACTACCTACATTTAACTTCATCTATATACGTACCAGTAATTAGCATTACACCTGCTGCACATAAAAAGGCATCAGAATTCACTATAAAATAGGGCATAAATACAAATATCAAAATATCGGTCAATGTGCTATGTTATGTTACTGATTGTCATTAGCAAACTTCCCCGACGATGGAAGGTTTCTAGACATTGATGTTGCATCGTGCTGGCCTTTATTCAAATACCCGTTGAAGAAACGTATAAACCAAACATTTTCTTTTCCGTATGTGTTACAGATTATCAAGCGTCTTTCGCTGTAAGTACGGCACTCGATGCTTTGGTGTTACTGACAACCCCGGAGATGAAATTGACTACCTTAATATCCCATGTACACATGCTGATCACAATGCCATAAAACCCTGGGGGTCCAACCAAAATACCTTGTATTTTTTGTAAGTCAACCTGCTGCACAACGTTCAGGTTAGGTAAGCCAGTAGTATATAGAGTTACGGGAGCCTAGGTCCTCCGACTCCAGCAACACAAGATGATGCATGCTCATTTTAACAGTATGAATTTTTTGGACTATTTGTAACTATATATTGGTTAACTACATACGTCACTCGCTCGAGGTCATATGGGCCCAGGCCACACCTAATGGGGAGGACGATGTGCCGCCACTCTGTTGAAAGTAGTATACGATTTATACAAAGGAATATTGATGTTCAAAATTGCGAACATTGCCACAGTTTCCACCATTACTTGTCAATCAACATAAGTATACACATTACATCCAGTGACAGCTGTATTTCAGAAACAAAGATCGGAACCAGGACTTGGATCACCCAGCTTTAGACAAAATCGGGAAAGAATCCTGACATTCATACAGAAGAAGGATTTTAAAGATTTTACTCTAGTACTTCTAGTGGGCTCCGCCTCTCCTGCCCGAAGGGATAGAGACTCAACGTTTATACGACATTTGTTCTCCTTTACCCAGGAGTGTTTACAGTTTGCGACAGAAACCTGTCGTTCGTACAGAAGAAGAATTTCAAATATTTTGGCCCATTTGAAGTATGGGTCCGTTCTCAAGTCATAGGGGACCGGGACCCATCATTCATACATTTCCTTTCACCAAATAACCTTTCATACCAAATTATGACAGGTTCCAATTATTCGATATAAAAGAAGTATTTGGAAGAACTTGCCCTACGTCTTCCCCCATCCTCTCTCTCTCTCTCTCTCTCTCTCTGTCAACACCTCCAGATTAGGCCTCGTCTCTTGTGCCGAAGGAGCCGAGACCTACCGTTGATACAAAACTGTTTCTTCTTCCCGTTAAACAAAATTGGTAAAGAATCTAGGATTCCTACAGAAGAATGATTTTAAAGAATTTTCTATTTTTCCCTAACTGGACCTGCCCCTCTGGTCGCATTGAGATGAAACACATTATTTATACAAAGATTTTTCGCCTTTTCCGTAGTATATTTCGGAATGAAACTTTGGACTTCTCATTGTGCCTTAATGAAATACAGATAGTAATATAGTTAAAATTTTCTCATTATTTTAAATAGCTTTTATCGATTTTTTGGCGTGTTAACTGCATCAAGTAAGTTTTACAAACTTTTAAATGACTTCTCCAAATAATGTACATAACAGATTTGCAGTTGTAGTCACGTGATGGCAGTGAAATCAAGGATTCGGGGTAGGGGATATATATATACTCTGTAATAGTGACGCGTTATTTCTTTAGATGATATTCTTAAAATTTGCAAAAGCGGTACAAACCTTTTTGGTGAAGTCGGGACGACTTATCTAAATCCCAAAACCCCGCCTCTCTCTCTCACCCATATTTTTTTGGTCAACATTTTTTTTATCAATTTTCTAATTAATTGCAAAAAATACAGCAGGACTAGTTAAACCGATGTTCTTCGATATATCGTTGCAAAGAGAAATAGGCATTTTCATATCCTCCTGTCATACTTCCCTGTAAATGACGAAGACGTATTTTTACTTCGTAAAATATGATGCAATATCTGAGCAATTACTGAAGATTCGTTTATAAATATAAACCCAGCTAACGCATCAGTAAAACTAAACATAGATTTCCATTGCCAATTACCATAATCAATAAGTAGCTATATATGTGTGTGTATCTACACGCATCATGTCGTCTGGTGATTTTTTTTAACCCAACGCAAGTAACCTCCCTTGACTTGTCGACCTTCACCGACGATCTGAAATCATCTGATGCAAGCGGTGTGCGTGTGAAAATATTGAGAGTATTTAATTCGTGTTACACGGCGAAATAAGAGCATACGCCTTTTTAAACACGTCAAAAGAACCAAGAAGAGTTTGAAGTTCAACCTAAAGATAAAATGGCTGACGATGAATCGGTAAGAAACTGAATATAATGATTGCATGCGTTCGCTAGAAAATCCAATATGGCGACGTCCATTGAACATGTGGGTATTTTAACAGCTGGACCCATAATCGTTATAAGACGGTCCTGTACTATTTTTCTGGAATTATCAACCGGTATCCAGATCAATATATCCTGATAGAAGATATTCACCTAATTATGTAATCTACCTTATAATTTAAAATATTTTCTTGAAACGTGGTGGAGATTATGGCTGATCGGTATTTGGACATTTTGTAAAGGTTTTGGAGCTAGGTCAGATCGGGTACACAATAGTCAATCTTTCAAATGTTTACTTGTGAAGACATGATTTGCTCTAGACCTAATACTCAGACCGACAAAATAATTTTGTTTGTGGTAGTTATAAATTAGTAACATAAATCATTCTAGGCCTATATGTGAAATGACTCCTAAAATTACTAAAATAGCAAGAGTTATTATAATCGTGCATGATTCTTGCTATTTTAGTGCTTTATTAGCTGTATTTCACATATATAACGTCTGATTCCTGGGGTAAAAGTGAAAAACATTCCTGATGAGTGCTTGACAGAAATCAGAGGTAATCTTCTCTGCTGAGGAGGCTTGGAAATATAACGGTCACAAAAGCTTACTCGATCAGCTGAGTAAGAGAGACTATATTTGACAAAATTAAAAAAAAAACCATATCATTTTCAATAAAAACACGATATCCCACTCACTACATCACCTGATAGTATTTCCACTCTACTCCTTTTTCTGTCTTTTTTAGTCCACTGAAAGGTTGTAATAGTGGAAGTAAAACCTACTAGATAAATGAAATAAATCAAAATAAAAACTGTATTTGTCATTAGATCAAAATTAGAAAAAAGAACACCCACATGTAATTACTGACAGGTGCCCAACACAATTGTCATTAATAGAGTGCATTGTATAGTACATCAATGTAAATTTTGTGTATAAAGGCAGAAGCTATTGGACTGCCATCCTTTCAGAATATACGCAATTTATAGCTTTATTTTGATTAGGGAGATTTCTTTTTTTTTAGCTCATTGATTAATGTCATTCTAACCAGATCTAAAGCTGGTGAGCTAGATATCTGGAAAACCATTACAACTACAACAAGTGTCCTGGAAGGATCAACTATGAACCAAATGACTTGAGATTAGGCATAAAATACGGGAAACATACTACATACTTATATGTCTTCAGTAATTGTCCAGCTGTTTGAACCAGACATATTTTTTTCACATATCAGCCAACAATGTGGAACAGGTAAAACAATTTGGCTGCTCCATTTTGTGTTTATAGAAGATCTTATGAAATACTTGGACATTGTTGCATCCTCGACTTGTATTTCTGATGATGATGTAACAGTCGTAGGTATCGTTACTTTCTTATTCATCATCTTGACACTAAGAGTCTTTGCTCAATGCCTCGTACTCCAGCCGAGTTCTAGTTTGTCAGTGTTTTGAAGAGCGTATTACCCAGGTTAAGCTGTCAGCCTGTGTATGTTGTTTGTCTTACAGAGTTAAGTTCTGCTATTTATTGTTAAACTCTTTTTGAGATAAATCTTTTTTCATAAAGGACACAATATGATTGACATCCACTCCAATACAGAGAAGTTCCTTATCAACACAGTAGTTCGCTAAAGTTTTCAGGCCTAGCGACCATCTTCAGGCGATTATTTTAATGACTTGGTAAAAACATTATGATATAACAAATATTAACAGTAGGGGCAGTAATAATGTTACTGCTCGAAGACAACACGTTACTTGATAATACCAATGCACAAATTTACTAGTTTTATATATATAGTTAGACATGTTTAAGATATGGAAAGATATTGTGTATACAAGGATCTTTGTAGTCTAAATGTAATGATTTCCTAATCGGAAATTGTAAATCACTTTCCCACTTCAAACAGATTTTTCCTAATTATGATCCAACTGGCAATTTGTTAACAGTGCTTCTAAGATTGACCTAAAATGTAACTAAATCTTTCCAATTCAGATATGAGTGGTCTTTTACCAAATAATCAAGGATGTTCCTGAGATTTTTATTTCAAGAACGGAGTACAGATCTGTTGATATAAAAACATTTTAGCTCAGAGGGCTGTATATAAGTTAATAAGAGCTTAATCTATTTAATGTAGTGTATAGATAGTGAGCCTTTATTCATGAATTATATCAAAATATCTTACAGTTTATGCTCGACTTGAAAAAGAAAAAGAAGAAGAAGAAGGTACCTTTTGATATTGATAGTGTTGAAATGAATGACGGTTCACCATCCCAAACAGACACCCCACCAGAAACGCGTGAAGAACCAGAGAAGTCTGAAAAGGCAGACAAAATTGATGATGGTAAGCTCAATAATTAATGTTCTTATATTCAAGTGGATCCTCACCCATATTTTTTGTCTGGACAACTATGTTCTAGGCTGGAATCATTTGGATGTTGAGTTTTCTGGATTGCCTGGTTTTGTCAACTGGTCAGATGGGAGGTCTACATTTCACTTTATTTTGAAACGATGAAAGTCTTCTTCTATTCCTTAAATAACTAAAATTTGAGATTGCTGACAAAAGTGAGTGTCTTAATGTAACAGGAAGCCATTTCCTACAATTGTTTTTATGGCCTGAATTCAGTGTTCAGATTTTAGCAAATCCAGAATATCAGATGTGACTTTTTACTTATCCTCTGCAGTATTTAATTTTATACTCTGTATTGCAAAAATGTTAAATGGAATGGAAAAGACTGCCAGTTTGTGTACATACTGTCATATATTAGTTTTTCAAGTTTTATCCTGTAAGTGCAGCACAGCAGACCTATAATTATTGCTGTAGGCTTTGAAAGTCTTTTTAAGTCCACAAAATGTTGAACTTTGGGTAATATCGCCGATGAGGGGCCAAGATGAAAATGAATTTATTCATCCAGCATGAGATGAAGAAAATTGTGCCTCCTACTACAGATGTAAATAGAATTCATCTTTGAGAAATCAGTCAATGTTTCTTTTATTTTTTCAGACATGTCTTTTGACTTCACAAATACAAAGAAGAAGAAAAAGAAGAAGAAGGCATTTGACATGGATGATATGGGAGATGCTTTGCCTGTAAGTGTTCTGGTTTTGCAAAAAATTAGGCTGCTATTAAAGGGTTACAATGATAAAGCAGAGGTTAGGCTCCTACTAAAGGGTTGCAATGATGAAGCGAAAGTTTGGCTACTACCAAAGGGTTGCAATGAGGAAGCGAAAGTTTGGCTCCTACTAAAGGGTTACAATGAGGAAGCAAAAGTTTGGCTCCTATTAAAGGGTTACAATGGGAAAGCAAAAGTTAGGCTCCTACTAAAGGGTTACAATGAGGAAGTGAATGTTTGACTACTACTAAAGGGTTACAATGAGGAAGTGAAAGTTGGGCTCCTACTAAAGGGTTACAATGGGAAAGCAAAAGTTAGGCTCCTGCTAAAGGGTTACAATGAGGAAGTGAAAGTTTGGCTCCTACTAAAGGGTTACAATGAGGAAGTGAAAGTTTGGCTCCTACTAAAGGGTTACAATGGGAAAGCAAAAGTTTGGCTCCTACTAAAGGGTTACAATGGGAAAGCAAAAGTTTGGCTCCTACTAAAGAGTTGCAATGAGGAAGCAAAAGTAGACTCCTACCAAAGACTATTTTGATGAAGCTCTTTAACCAGTTTGTAAGGTTTCACTGAGAAATACGAGGGAATCATTCTACCATGGTTATTTTTACACTCCTATTAAAAGTTTTGTCTTGAAAGCATAACATTTATTTCAGCTGTAAAAAACTTTAGCCTCCGTTTTTATTTTAAAATTTCAAATATTGACAAAAGATGAAAGTTATTAAACTGTGACAAAAGTTTCACTATATAATGTTTATATACCTTAACTTGCAGGAGTCGACTGAAAACACTGAAGTTCCAGCATCTCAAGACGTTCAGGATACTGGGGCTGCAGATGACCTGACTGGTGATTTTAATCTTGATCTGCCACAAAAAAAGAAAAAGAAGAAGAAGAAGAATGTTGACTTTGAAGCAATTGAGGAGCCAGAGGATCTAGATGATGGTAGGAAATTTATACAAGTTTTCTTTTCTTACTTGATGGCTTAAACTTTGATACAGCAATCAATGTTTATCCTGTAGTAGGTCCAAGGGCGGATACTTAGGGTCAGGGGGTTGGCTTATTACAGGACCCCAGGGGTCAACACAATACCTTCTACACAAAGTCTGGGGATAGACTTATTACATGAAAGATGAACCAACACATTACATCTTACTTAAAGTCTGGTGATGGGCTTATTACAGGACTGACAAAATACCTCATAATCAGGGTTAGGAAAGGGCTTATTAGAGGACACAATGGCTGATACATTACCTTTTACTCAAAATCAAGGTGCATGCTTATTACAGGACACCAGAGTTGACACATTACCTCTTACTTGGGGTTGGAAATGGGCTTATTAGAGGACACAATGGCTGATACATTACCTTTTACTCAAAATCAAGGTGCATGCTGATTACAGGACACCAGAGTTGACACATTACCTCTTACTTGGGGTTGGAAATGGGCTTATTAGAGGACACAATGGCTGATACATTACCTTTACTCAAAATCAAGGTGCATGCTGATTACAGGACACCAGGGTTGACACATTACCTCTTACTTGGGGTTGGAAATGGGCTTATTAGAGGACACAATGGCTGATACATTACCTTTTACTCAAAATCAAGGTGCATGCTGATTACAGGACACCAGGGTTGACACATTACCTCTTACTTGGGGTTGGAAATGGGCTTATTAGAGGACACAATGGCTGATACATTACCTTTTACTCAAAATCAAGGTGCATGCTGATTACAGGACACCAGAGTTGACACATTACCTCTTACTTGGGGTTGGAAATGTGGCTTATTAGAGGACACAATGGCTGATACATTACCTTTTACTCAAAATCAAGGTGCATGCTGATTACAGGACACCAGAGTTGACACATTACCTCTTACTTGGGGTTGGAAATGGGCTTATTAGAGGACACAATGGCTGATACATTACCTTTTACTCAAAATCAAGGTGCATGCTGATTACAGGACACCAGGGTTGACACATTACCTCTTACTTGGGGTTGGAAATGGGCTTATTAGAGGACACAATGGCTGATACATTACCTTTTACTCAAAATCAAGGTGCATGCTGATTACAGGACACCAGAGTTGACACATTACCTCTTACTTGGGGTTGGAAGTGGGCTTATTAGAGGACTAAAGGGGCAGATGTATTACCTTTTAATCAAAGTCAGGAGGTGGGCTTATTACAGGGCACAAGGGGCCAACACATTATGTCTTATTTAGGATTAGGTGCAGGTTTAATTATTTAAGCAAACAAGGGACCAACACATTATCTCTTGGGGTGGACCTATTACAGGACCCCATGGGTCAACACATTGCCTGTTACCAACAATTAGAAGGTGGACTTATTACAGGACAAAAAATAGCATCACTTTGTATTTTTATTGCACCAGCAATTAGCAGGCATTGGCCTATTTTACAGAAAAGTACAGTTACTACTTTTGTTGGGTGTGTGGTTTTTGCAAACCAATTTAGAAAAGTTTGTTTTAAAAAACACCAGCATAATCAATACAAGAGTTTGTAGATTTTTTAACCATATGGGCTATGCAGATGGTTAAGGCTTGCAAACGATGAAATTTCTTTATATTCAGAAATATGGTGCATGGAAAATTAGGGTATTAGTATTTAAAGAGAACTAAAACGTTAAACTTGATTTACATTGTTGATTTTTTGTTTTAGATGATACCATAGACGCAAAGGATGACAGAGTGTCAGGAAACATTCCTGAGGGTAAATCCTGGCTGGGATCAGATAGAGATTATACCTATGATGAGGTGAGAATAAATCCTGGCTGAGGTCAGGTAGAGATTAAAACAATGATGAGGTGAGAATAAATCCTGGCTGAGGTCAGGTAGAGATTATAACAATGATGAGGTGAGAATAAATCCTGGCTGAGGTCAGGTAGAGATTATAACAATGATGAGGTGGGAATAAATCCTGGCTGAGGTCAGGTAGAGATTATAACAATGATGAGGTGAGAATAAATCCTGGCTGAGGTCAGGTAGAGATTATAACAATGATGAGGTGAGAATAAATCCTGGCTGAGGTCAGGTAGAGATTATACCTTTTGATGTGGTAAGGGTATATCCTGAGAGATTAAACTGTTGGAAAGGTGTATTAGTTTGGTTAATACCAAAGTAGTAATGTGTCTGATTCCAAACCATTTTCCCTTTTGACGATTATCATCCAGACTGTTTGACACAAGTGATGTGTATTTTATTCTGATTTGTTGTTTCATTTCGACAGTTATTATCCAGAGTATTTGACATCATCAGGGAAAAGAACCCAGACATGGTGGCGGGAGAAAAGAAAATTTTCAAAATGCGTCCCCCACAAGTTCTTAAAGTCGGAACTAGGAAAACATCATTTGCTAACTTTTCAGATATTTGTAGATTGTAAGTATGATTTTAACCAAAAAAGGGAATCTACTCTCTGTATAAAAAGGGTTTTGACAATAAATGTTACTCTGTTGAGCACTTAACTACTTGTAGAATAAATATAAATTTAATTAAACATTGTTTAATGAGATGCATTGTCGTCAAGTAATGGATAAAATTTCAACATAGAGCTGTTTCATCCTTCAAGGGCTCACTAATGCTAAGGACCTTTTAAAATACTTAATGCAGAAAGATGTTTTGAGGTGATGTTGACTAATATACAAGTAGATATTTTCTCCTTTCCTATCAGCACTTAAATATGGCCTTGTTTACTTTACAGTTTACACAGACAACCAAAACATGTCCTTGCGTTTTTGTTGGCAGAATTAGGAACAAGGTATGTTTAGTTTTGGAGTAAACACACTGTTGTGACTATATAAGTGCTGTTAGTTAAATTTGTCACTTTCATTCAAAAGAAAACATTTATTAGGCTATAAAGCTGTAAGTAGGATTACCAACAAATGCTATTTCAGTGTCCTGTAATAAGCCCACCCCTGAACTTGAGTCGGAGGTAATGCATTTGCACACAAGCTTTAATGTGAAACAAATACAGTATCACATTCAGGCCAGGTTATAGAGTATCCTTGTGACTAATGAAATAAAATATAGTGAAAATTGATGCTATATGGCATGGAAGAGTTTTGCTCTCAATCAAATTCAGTACATTTACCAACTCTTTTGGTTCTAGATCTTGTGCTGAAAATATTAAGACAAAACCTGAGTTTCACTGTAATGTTGGTAAAAATTTTCAAACTTTTTGAGAAGTTTTCAGGTAGGAAGCAGGCTTTGTATACCTGTTGTTACATTAGCGATATTTCTGTTTGTTTTTGTCCAATAATATACACCTGGTACTAGACATATGTCCATCAATTACAGATGTCAGGTTAGGTTATATGTATTATATCATTGTCCTGTGATACGAAAATTTCTCTACTTTTGGTGCGAGATTGTATGTTATTGACCTCCTGGGGTTATTATCACCAGATATCAATCCTCTATAGGTGATTTGTGTTTTAACCAGTTTTCTGATCTATTTTTTCAGTGGATCTGTTGATGGTAACAACCAGCTTATTATCAGAGGAAAATACAACCAGAAACAGATTGAGAACGTTCTTAGACGATATATTAGTAAGTATTTATAAGTTTCTTGGGATTTTGAGACTTAACATTTTTTATTCGAATGGTGATAACTTTGGAAAATATTTTTTGTAATGTTCTTCATTTCAATCATTCAGGTATTTGCAGTTTTATAAAAAGTTTTATAAAAAAAAAATTAAATAATGATTTCCTTGTTTTTATTCATAGAAATAATGAAATTGTGTTTGATATTCTCAATTACGGGTTTTCAAGGTCTCATATTTGCATAATTTCATTTCAACTTTGAAAAGAATGAAAAATCTGTTTAAAAACAATGGTATTTAGACTTTACAGTCATCACTTCCAAATGTATAGACTTTAACAAAGATGTACAAACATCCTGAAAATGAAAACAAGCAGTTTGTATTGAAATTTGTTGTCCACAGATGCAAAAACAACACATATTGATTATTTTCTTTGCAGAGGAATATGTGACCTGTCATACATGCCGATCGCCAGACACCCTCCTTCAAAAGGATACCCGATTATTCTTCCTTCAGTGTGAAACATGTGGATCTAGATGTTCTGTCGCCAGCATCAAATCAGGATTCCAGGCTGTCACTGGCAAACGTGCTGCAATTCGTGCAAAGACTACGTAAAGTTGAAAAAAAAATGGAGAAATTTGTGTATAGAAAACATACAAACTGGAACATCATTGACAACAAACATCATCAGTGACATCAATATATTGCAAAGGATTTTTTTTTTTAACTAGATATCTAAGTGATTTTTGAATTGTTTGTGTAATTCACTTTCTCAAATTTAAATTATGAAGTTTACATTTCATCCAAAATACCATGTTCTTGTGTTCAATCCAATGCGGAGAATGAAGTTTCATAAATTTGACAATAAATTCGGATAAACTGTGAAAATCAGACTGGTTGATATTTTGTAATGAATGTATGTTTGGTTGATCCAGTGTACACATGGAAGGTAAATTAGACATTGACTGATGCATTTCTATTTCATACTCGTCAAGCATTGCAGAATATTTATAATTACAATTAAAATAATTTCATTTGTTTTGTGGTGTTTGCTTTTCTGTGGCTTTCTTTAAAGAAAAGTGTACTTCAGTAGTTGAAATTTTCCTTTAACTTCTTCTTTGAGTTTATCTATTTATTTTTGTTCTGTAAATCATTATTCTAGACTTGTTGTAAATCTTCTTTTCCCACTGCTCTCTTAAGAATATATTTTTGAAGTAAAGTTGTTGCAGATATTGAATAGAACTAATAGTGTAGAACATTTGATTACTTTGACACATATGCAAGTTAGTACTAAAATGATTTATCTTTCCATCATGTATGATTTATAACTAGGTGCTTTTGTAAACTATGTAAAACATTGCCTGAATGCCAACACATGTTAGAGTCCCTAAAATATGGTGATTTTATGGAGGGAGAAATTCTTACTATCTTAAGTGACCACAACTAAAATAAAATTTCATAAAATCAGTGCCGCTTGTACTATGTCACCATCACCTGATTGTGATAAACAGATGGTCCATTTTATACTAGATTTAGAGGGTAAATTTTTGGGGGCACTGTTAACTCCACCACAGCTTCTGTTTGCTTTATTTACTATCAGTATGGGAAAAATATGGTCCAGATAAGTTGCAGTTAAACTCTTTGTATCACAAGCTATGTTTCCTTGCCAATTCCTTGTTTCCAGGCTCCTCAAATTTACACTCCTCTTTAGTAATGTACTTTATCAGCCTTTTACAAGAGATGCCAGAGGGATTTTGGTAATCGCCAACGTTAGCTCTTAATTTGTTTTTAAAAGTCCCATATTTGACATCATTTGTACTCTTTCCGCAGTTCTTGCTCTTGGATTAATGACATTCGTCGCGAGAAATCGTGATGATGATACTTGTCAAATCAAAGACTGCATAACTTGGAACCAGTGATAAAGATGCATTCAGTACTTCTCAAGAATTAACAATAACAAACTTTCATTGTTAAAATCCAAGATGGATGCCTGTCCGACATTTTGTTTTCAGGCCATCTGAGACGAAGTCGTGTGATGACATTGTTTGGCTTGTACACTTTACTTTTTCATACATTGTGAATTTTTGATATTTTCGACTTCTGAAAAACCCCAGAACTATCTTCAATATTCCAGGAGTTACTTTCGCTCTCTTCACCCCAGGAACATGTGGTAAAATTGAAGGCACAAGCAAAGTAATTCGATTGGTTCCAGTAGAAAAAAAAAATGACCAGTCACAAGCTGATACGCTGAGATTCGTTTGATGTTCGTCTTGATCACAAGGTGACGCACATGGAAGCTTCAATTTTGTCGTGACATGTGTCAGAGGTGCAGAGAGCGAAAGAAATTGTAACTCCTGTAGCAACGAGGATGTCCCAGAACCGGTTTTCATGAAATTTCACAGAAATCTTCCTTGGCCAAAGGTGAAGAAATATTCTGAATGATATGGCCCTAATTCCTAAGGGTCCTGAATCAGTTACTCTTAATGGCTGGAAGGATGCTTTACCAAAAAGTTAAAAAAAATCATGACCTCTGGATCTCTTATTTCTCCCTGGGAAGGGGGTAAAGTTTACTATAGTTTACATTACATTTCATAGCATAATATGTTTATTTTCTATGAAAAAAAATACCGATATGCCTACGTTAGTACTGTAACACTAAGAACTGATATACTTTGTAAATACTTTTGTTACAAAGGTTCTGATTGAATGAGCTGACAGGTTTAAACATTTTAAAGGGACAGGAAATAAAAACGATAATAATCTCACCGATCAATCTTTCACTTTGTCCATACTTTCTTATTTAACCACAAATATATAAAGGAAATAGCTAAAACACAAATCTTGTCCGTGAAGGTTTAGATACAAATTAAAACTTGTATAATTTATCACTGTCTTACATACTTTTTACGTATAACCAAAGTTACAAAACAAATTCATAATTTGGACATGTTATTCAAACGTAATTTACTTACTAAATATACTCATGCTTTGATAAGAAATGTATTCTCATTACATTAATAGCAACTCCTGAAAATATTCGCTATTAAGAGGTTAAGGAGATAGACGTCCTCATACTCGTCAGATCTTAACTATCTCAATATTCTTTATGTTATTTAACTAGGATACTAAAGATAGTGTAAAAGCACTTTCGACGGGTTGATATATAATTATTAACATCTTGATTAATTATTTAGACCAAGTTAATGAAAAAAATGTTACTGTGTCCTACATCATTTTACGTATTATGTAGATTACACAGCAACATCTCGACTCGAAAATAATTCATGAAAAACTAGTTCATTTAGTTTCGCTATAGTCATGCTAGGGTGAAATAAATATTTTCTCATTAATCACCAGAGGTCTAAAAAAACATTTAGCCTGTTTTCTGATCTTAAAGGGTAGGGGAGATAAACGTGATATACCTCTGACTGGTCTCGTACCTACAATCTTCATATTTTCATGTTTCACAAGGATACCGAAGACGTTTTTAAAAGATTTTCGCTGTTTATACTCGGAATATAAGTACAATTTTTGATCTCTTTCTGAATTATTTTATAATTTTATAATATCCCGTCTGGCACCTTTTTTCGTGTATTATATCAAATATGCAAAACTAATTCACAAGTCGGTCATATGTCATTAAAAACTTGTCCATTTTAGTGACGTTTGTTTATGGTTAAGCAAAACATATTTCATAAGGATACTATTTAAAGCATTTAGTACAATTTTCAGGATCAGTAGTAGAAATCTTAAGAACCATATGCCATTCCATGTATTATGACACATGTTGTCACTAAATAGAATATTTCCACGTGAGCGATGCAGGCCTTTTTGACCTCTTGTTCTTATTGGTCCAAAACTGACGAGGATATAACTACGTACCGAAATAAACCTACACGTGAAATCTGAGACAGATCTCGGGATGACCACGGAGAGCAATTTTCATAGAACGTCATTTGTTGGTGCATATCTTTCTATTGTCACATGTAACATATAAGGTCATCATTACCTCCTGGGTAGATTCGTTCTGACGGTGATCCTGAAAACAAAATGTCTAAAAGATGTGTGTCGTCATCATAGAAACTACTCCTTGACATTTCAGTTATTAGTTTTATGATCTCGGGAAAATAGGGCTAAAAATGACAACCATGATGTTCCCCTAACATGCCTTATTTAGCGGATGTCGAATGTAGGCTCTTCTTGGCTCCTAGTTGTGAAGTCTTTTAATTTCTCAGAGAAAACTTCAGGTGTCTGTATAGACTATCCCCGTTGCTATTTACGCATGTAATTTTGAGGTCGATCGAAAGCATAGAAATATTTCTGGCCCTTTTTTCAACCGGACGGAAAATCAGACGAAGAAAAAAAGTAACAAATAACGTTGGTACATATTTTTATTTACCTAATATATATATATATTTATGTACAAATTCATCTCGAATTGGGACTATTTTCTATACGAGTTACTTCTCTTGTGCCGTAGTGCCTGCCAATTTGTTATTTTTCTGAGGACCAAGTAGCTCATACGTGCCTGATATTCTTTAAATAAACTTTAGACACTTAGCTCTGTATTGAAAATGTTTTCGAAAATTGAAATTAGCAAAAACTGCTGATTATACAATATTGTTTAAATTAAAATAACGATGCTATTTCTTTTGAAATGAGAATGATTTTGCTTGAGATTTTGGCGTCTGAAAATCTACTACTATATATTTCAAAATTGATCCTTGTCCACTCCGAATTTTCCCGGGTATCTAATGACGGGACACCATGAACACATAAATGTATAACTATCAACTTTAAATCTACACATCTGTTTCCCTATCGTCGTCACTATCGTCGTCATCATCATCTTCGTTGTTGAAAACAGTCGGGTATTTGTTTCTGAGGAGCGCTATCACATTATGGTGATCTAGGACGTAAAGAGCGGCGAGGAGTTTTCCAGGCGATGCAGCATCACCGCCCCTATGTTTCCATTCCAACAGACCTTCGTGCATTTTCTCCCTCGTCGAACTCACCTCAGACTCAAGCTGTTTGGTATAGGTGTAGGCCTGCTTGTCGCCAATACCTAGTATAAAAACATTAAAAAGGAAATAGTTATCTATTGACTTGAAACTCTCGTCAATTCGTATCCGATATACAGCATCCTGAAAATGGTCTCTCGAATGTCATCATAGATGTTAGACACAAGGATGAATTCATCTCAGTCTTTTTGTATTTCAATTTACATAGGGTTGGATCGGTTCAAATGGATTAAACTAATCTGACATTATTTGATAAATACGTCGAGACCTTGTTCTCTGCAAACTTTGCGCTATTTAATGTACAATGTCTTAAAGACAATGCCTCTGTTTCATGAATTTCCCGTACCACCAGGAAACCCATCATTACTACGGTTCACTGAAATGTCTTAAGATGGCGCCTATTAAAATTCTTCAAATGCAAGGAAATAATCAAGACACACGTACCGATAAACAAACGGGTTATAAGAGATTTCCAGTGAGGGGAGATTTTCCGTGCCATGAAGCTAAAGACAGAGTCGTAGCGAGCTTCCCAGCCATTGCTATCTTCATGAGAAGACAACTGAAGGTTGAGTGTGGATCTGCTGTCCCTGTAGCGCCCTCTATAACCCCATTGTTGTCCGTCGATGGTAAGCATGGACCCATTTACGGACTTGTCGCCCATCTCGCTTATCGGGGCCATCGACCTTACGGAACGTGTTGTTCTGGACCTAAAATGATAAAATTTGTTCAAAGAGCTTAAAGGTGGTCTCATCAGAATGCACCACAAGTGCTTCGCCGTAGAACATCGTCAAAAGATTTGGTTTGTTTTGATACTGTTTAATGTTCCATCAACAGCCATGACGGCCTCCTGGGGTATGAGGAGTGAACACGTGCGTTTGTAGGAGACTGTGATAGTGCTGAACTGAAACCGATTTTATAGCGCTATTACACTGAAAGACTCCCAGCTGGTCACAACATCCATACCGCAATACTGAACATATATGAAACTATCATTTTTATTTAAGTATTGTACGTCTTGACCAACAAAGTTTACCTCAAATGGCGAACACTAAACTAAAGGCCAAAAGGGAAGGCAGACAAGAGCAAAGGTTAGAATCGCTTTCGGTGAAGGGAGTCGATGATCGGAATAGAGAATTACAGTGGATGCAAGAACATTGATATCTCTCTCAGTTAAAATTGCGAATGTGAACGGTGCCCGCTACCACACCGGAAGCTGTAAGCAATAATTGTGTCCGATGTCCTTTCTGTCTAGCTGTTGGATTGGTTATATCGTCTCAATTGTCGTCAGTTGCGCACTTGTTAAACGAGATGAGACGTCCGCTTCGTTAACTGGCAAATAAGTCGACGGCGTTTTAACAGTCGTACGAGATCTGTTGCATATGGCTTTTGTTTGCTTAAAGTGAACTTACCTGGTCCTGACGTTGTGAACTTGCTCAGAAGATACTTAGCATTTGTACATTGGATATTTTATAGGGTGTTCGTCTCCGCACAAATATTCCAGTGAGTCACACACCAAATGTATCAGGTGGTAAGTGAAAATATACCACATTTCAACACGTATGGATAAAAATGTTTGATAAATAAAATTCTGCCACAACAGTTTGGAAATCACTCCAAACGCATCGGTTTATTATTTCAATTGTTATATAAACATAAATTTTATACCATATGAGACACGCTTCACACACTAACTGAAATTAAAACGTGCAAAAGTAGTCCGCGATTTTTTTTATTTTATTTGAGGTTTCTTTTCCTTTTTTGCTATGACGATATCAAACAATTTCATTTGAGTTATAATATTTGTAATGAGTCACAATGTCCCCATGTATTTCTCAGTTGTGCATATAACATTTTATTAAAGTTCGTATCATCACGCCCCAATTGATGACGTTAACAAAACACACAACAGGTCAAGTTAACATTGGAATGGCTTTTTATTGTGGTAGAAATAGGCCACACAAAGTTGTGGTGGTGGTGGTGGTGGTGGTGGTGGTGGTGGTGGTATATGGAATTTTTTTCACTCTCGTAAGGTGTTATCAAAAAGTTAAAAAAAAATACTCATGTTTGTCTAACTTTTGAAAAACAAATGACTAGAGAGAGAGAGAGGGAGAGAGAGAGAGAGAGAGAGAGAGAGAGAGAGATTCCACATACCAAGAGCACTCGTTGTGTAACCTCTATTTACCAAATATATTACCAGTGTAATAACATCCATAACATAATTTATATGACACACTTGTAGTAAGTATAAAGATCAAGCTGAGTTGTGATTGGCTGAATGTGCCCATCATTTTCATTGTGATGTCTTAACTTTAAAGAGTCATATTCATATTGACGTCATCAACAAAGACGGATGTATATAATGAGAATATCACTGTATCTGTCTAATTTAATGCTGTTTTTACACAAAAGTATCTAAGTTAACACAATCTTATCCCTATATGTTTCCATTTAATAGAAAACAACAAGAAAATATCAATGTGCCAACATGATCATCATCAAAACTCAAATTCAATTAATCTCCAACAAAACATAACCAATAGAATGATTTACACGGAGACTCATGAAAAAGTGCATGGAGAACAAGAACCAAACACAAAGACCGCCAAAATTTGAACTCTATCTCTCCAGAAGCTCGGTAAAATCAAATTGAAAATTAGTAGAAACACATATAATAATTAGAAACAAGTATAATATTCTGTATTGTTGTAAAATAATTTTCGTGGTGGTTTTATTCTCTGTGGGTATTCCCAGCCTATGAATTCCAATAACTGTTAAAAATTTACATAGAACTGAAGATGAATTTCCTGATAATTACAATAAGATACTATAATAAATGAAATATCACGAAATAATGTACATTTTTTTTCGAAAAACTGCGAAATTTGAGTCCGACAAAAAAGGATGTTTTCACAGTATGACAAAGTCTCCTTCTACTGACCTCATACTTGGTGCGATGCTGGAGGCGTCACTGAAGTAGAATGACGACATGCCGTCCTGAGCGTACGCGTACTGTAGTGAAGAATGGTCGGTATACAGATGGGAGGCATTCATGCTCATACCCTTCATCTGGTTATACTTCTGTCTCCAGCAGTAGAGTTTTATTAGCACAAGGATAAGCACAAACAACACGATAGAAAAGACCAGCACTAGGACGACCACTAGAGGGAAATCTGGACCACGTATATCTACAATGATAAAAAGTAGATACCACAAAATGTTTATATGAAAACACCACCAATTTGGATTCATAACTTTATATATATATATATTATTTTTATTGCACATCTTTTAAAATCATAACTTCTCAATTTGTTATCTGCATCTCGCTACATATAACAGAAAGCAAGCGAAATAATTTCGGAATTTCAATTGTTCTTGCATGTCAAACTGTGTTTGCGTACATATTACACAAAACTGCACGTGAGCGGTATATCTTACAGACATTTGAAAATACAAGTTTGTGCACGATATTGATGATTTTTAAACGTGAAATATCATTATGGCATGATGGCTTCCTATAATTTATCTATGGCATGACGGCTTCCTATATTTTATCTACTACATTAGAAAAAGTGCTGCTTAGCACTGAAATCGGATAATTGCATCTTCTTAAATTTACATCAATTGTCAAACAAATTATTTCCAACTTAAATTAATCACTCTCGTTCGCCCGGATGGAAGCGCATGAGATGTTATACCGTGTGGGAGGACACCAGAATACCCGGGGAAAATCCACGTGTTCGGGTAGGTGATAATTTTTACCTTTTCGTTTCAAATCGGGGAATTGACCCCGGTCCACTGAGCGAAAGACAAGAGTGTTACCATTGTGCCAGCCAATCACCTACGCAGATAATTTGAGGGTCTGAGATAGCACTGAATACCATCTATCTGTAATTAGCTTCAAATGTACTCACTTTGAGCTCCAATTGTTTTGTTCAGGGCATACTCCTCGGAAGTCCTCTGCATTCCACATACGGTATTGTGAGTGGCGCCACACTCAAGGAGCACTTCGAACGGACCACACGAGCTGCAGCTCTTGCACCGGTCAGTAGCAGACGATACATCTGAGTACATACAACCTGGACGACACGCCTCACATATCGTATTATTGGTCTTGGATCCTGAAGGGAAATGAAATGCTTTAAGTAAATTTCAGTAAGATTTTGAAAAGAATAACAAAAATTACTCAACATATCCCATACTTTGCGACTATAGCGCAGAGTTTACTTTTTACGCACTGAAGTCCAAAAAGGCTTATGACGACAGCTTCTACCCTTGGGGTCGTCAACGGCATCAATCATGTAATAGGAAGAGAGAGAGAGATGAAAAAGTACCTTGCTCCCACCAGGGTTCGAACAAGCAACTCTTCGGTCTCTAGCCGAACACGCTATCTCTCGACGAAAGGGGATTTACCACTAGCAAAGGCTAGTAAGGTGACCTGTACAATCATTTTCTAGTTTGTTTGTTTTAAAATACATTTACACTTGCGTGGCATTCCCCTTATATTGGCCAGAGAGGAAAAAACCATTATAGAGCTGTCAAGATGACGATGGTGCTTCGCCAAAAATGTTGTTCCATCCAAAAGGATACACCAAATAAATCTAAATACAACGTTAATAATCCCCAACCCCCACCCTCGCTATCCAATAAACACATTTGTTCAATAAAGTTGACAAAAATTTTTTTTCCTCGGTAGTCAACATTGTAAAGGACTTTTGGATTGCAAAACATTGTTTAAATCAACCAATGGGAATTTGAGAATTTGTTGATGCTGCTGACAGGATTTCCGGCTTTGTCGGATTGGTTGAGACCACATACATCCATGATCGTCCGGGTTTCCTCAAGATCATAAACTAGACGGTTAACATTTTGTCGGTTCGTCAAAATATCCACTGTCTGGTGTTGGGACCAGAGGGAACTCGGGCTCCAGTCCGGAGAGAAATTAAACTATTTTCCCATGCATTAGATAATTCCCTTCTAACAGTTAAAATTCGTACTCACCCAATCGTGTAACACCATATCCTTTATCACATTGCGTGTGAGGATAACATGCCTCAAAATTGCCCTTTTTCCGTCGACTGTAATAATAGCCTTCAGGACACTCACAAACGGCATCCGACATTCCGGTACAAGGGGAGGTAATTACCATACGTAGGACGGAGCAGGCCACGGAGCAAGGATGACAAGTGTCCGCTCTGTTGTAGACATCAGAGTAGTAATTGTCCGGACACATACGACAATTTGACACGTGATAATCTTCAATACAATCTGCTACCCAGTACGTCCCAGGGGGACATTTCAAGCACGTGATTCCCGTCATCGTCACATAGGTCATATTGGACCAACTCTGCAAGGATAATTCAACACCAGACACGTGTTATTGCAAGGTTTGAAGACGATCAAACATTTACGTTATTAAATTTTACCAAATCTAGAGCTTATACCCATTGTTTACACTTCCCATTTTAATTTTTTAAAATCTTTTCAATTATTAAAATCGTATTATTTTGATAGTTAAATATGAAGAGTCACTGCAGCTTGATAGATAATAATCAGCAATTCTTTTTCTTTCTTTTTCTTTCAAACATATTCTCTACCTGGTTCACTATAAGTACTCACGGGGTCGAAGGCGCTGGTGACAAACATCTCGTGTAGGAGAGTTAAGAACATGAACCAGTGTATCGGTAAATTCATCTGTAAAAAATCTATTTTCTTGATCTGCAAATTCAAAAATTCGGCTGTAACAGTGATCGATTTTCAAATTATTTACACGAGTCCTTTTCAACTTTATTGTTAAAAGATGGGTCCCGCAATGTAAGATTGAAGTTTTTCCAGAAGTTCTATGAGTCCCATCAAAATTCTATCAGTACAGGACTACGGACTCTCATGTAGATTGATCACCACTGTAAACATGTGCGCTCCTTCGAGTGTCGTAGCCACTGGCGTCAAACACTAGAGTGACCAAGATCGACGATCGAACGCTCTCGGTAAGCGAATTAAAAGTACATGTATAATGTTTTTGCCAAACACACTAGTTAGTGTCGTGTCGTCATATCAGTAGATTATTAAGACATTAACGTCAGATGCATGTAAATTACATTATGACGTCACAATGAAGACCATCGATTAGTGAAGAGTGACAAGTAAAGTAATGTTTTCTGTGATATTTAGCGCCGAATTCGTTTCCGTTTCAAACGCAGTAATGAAAGTCGTCACCATTTTTTTATAATTTCAGTTCGCTATCGATTTTTTTTTATGAATTAAAAATCTATGTAAGCTTCTATTCATATTAACTAAAATATTTTTACTGATCTTTATTTAACGACGTGTACATAATGTTTACATGTTGTGAACATCTAAATAATAATAGTTGTGTCAGCGTGTGATATGTAGTGTATACATCGTGTTGATACGTTTTAACACAGGTGAATGGTTAATTATCATAAAACATATTTGACAGATAGAAAATTCAATCTCGCCATCATTGTGTGGCACCAGCGATTCATCCCGGCCTTGGTGTAACACTGATATCAGATCTATACCGACACGTGTGTACACGGGACACATTATTGTTACAGGTATAGATAATTGTATTATTGTCTCCTTAGATTTCCTATTGTCATCTTAGGTCAAAGTCACATCAAGCTGTATTAGCGTGTTAATTATCTTTAATTATTCGGTAAAGAGTTTACAGAAATTCGAGAATTAGTCTTTAATCTGAGGGCGATAAGTCTGATTCAGACGAAATATTAATATTGTCCTCCATAACGAGTAAGTAATATAACATTTTAAGTAGAAGAATTAAACAGATCAATAAACACTGGGTTATACAACGCGCTTTTTCATTATGGATTCCTGTGAACATAAAAATAAAGCATGTTCAAAACCTATCGTTTGTACACGCATATCCCCCCGATATCAAACTAAAATATCCCCTTCATTGACACGTGTTTCCACCTGATATCAAACTAAAACATCCCCTTCATTGACGCGTGTTTCCACCTGATATCAAACTAAAACATCCCCTTCATTGACACGTGTTTCCACCTGATATCAAACTAAAATATCCCCTTCATTGACACGTGTTTCCACCTGATATCAAACTAAAATATCCCCTTCATTGACACGTGTTTCCACCTGATATCAAACTAAAATATCCCCTTCACTAAGACGTGTATCTGTTCCGGACATTAATCTAAAATATCCCCAATATCCCCTTATTAACACGTGCATCTGTTCCTAATATCAAACTGAAATATCCCCTTCACTAACACGTGTATCTATTCCGGACATTAATCTAAAATATCCCCTTATTAACACGTGCATCTGTTCCTGTCATCAAACTGAAATATCCCCTTCACTAACACGTATATCTGTTCCTGTCATCAAACTGAAATACCCTCTTCACTAGCACGTGTATCTGTTGCTGACAACAAACTGAACTATATATATGATACATTTTCACTAATATTTGTACCCATTCTTAAATTCAAACTTAAATAAATCTGTTTGAATGAATACAATTCTGGTGAGAGGAAACACCACAATAACTTAACATGTACTGCTTAATCAAAAGCAATTAGACAAGACTCGATATGATATGTATACAATAATAATAACAAATTTTAATGCTATCCATTTTTGATAAAAAAAAAGTTACCTTCATCTGCCCATTTGGCATGCGTTGGCGTCAGAATCAGAAATTATGAGCCGAGTTGCATACTGACGGCGGAAAAGGGGTTTGGGAGTTTTAATATCTGCCAATCAAATTCCATCTAAACTTAACCCTCCAACACTTGATCCCTGATTCAAATTCTGGAAAACGATTTAAAGTTAGTAGGAGTAGATTCAACATAACTCACCTTACGAGGTAAACTTAACGCTGCCACTTACAAATCTGGCTCATGGTTGTGACATGTCCACACCGTTGTCTTGTAGTATACGGCGAGTCCTTGCTAAGTGAACCCTATCATTCATACGCAACATTTTAAGCATGAATTCATATTAAAGTGTACTTTTCTGAATCTCGACAAAAGTTATATATCAAAACACAATATCTATGACAGAGTATTAACGCGTGTGCGGAATTAACTTGTGTTCAGTTACAGAAAGGTCCACCTCTTTCATACCTGCATGAAGACGTTCGTGTTTTTTTTATATTAACTAGTCAATTTTAATTTACTTTTATGCATGAGTTGCTTATTTGACCAAAACGTGACACATTGTGTATTTTTTTAATTGTGTATACTATTTGTTATCAAACGGCTCATTTTACCGCTGTCTTTATGTCGCCATTGGGAGTGTGTTCGATTCATTAACTGGCGCTACTGACTAGATGTATGGGGCGGTAATAGGATAGCGTTATGACCTTGTTCCCGCTAGTCCGGATTCTGATATACGATACTATCAAGTTACTGCTCACCTGGCCTAATCTGTCAATTAACTCCAGGTATAACAGAAAGGTAAACTATCAATAGGAAAATCTCGGATAAGTCCGTCAAGACTCGTGTTTTGACGGAGACTTGTGTTTTGACGGAATTTGCCCTGTAGGTGCTTTTGTCACTGCTGAGAAAATACATTTGTTTTTGTGTTGTTTATTGAAATGGAGAATAGACGGGCACACTGCCAGTCTCTAGTAAATTGTACCTTTTAATACAAAGTAAGATCTATATGTTACAGTAGTGGTAAATAATAAATGAAACTGCGCCATACATATTGTTTCGTCCTTCTATGACTCGTTAGCGATGACAAAGGCCAAACGTTTGAGGTTTAAAAAACAAAGTGATCGAAAGAAATGTAAAAAATCTTGACGTTGAAGTGTACTGACCCCATAATGCAGAAAATTTAAATAATTTGGTTTGAATGATGATTTATTAGAGCGTCAAATACATGTGAACCGTGTCACCATTTGAAACTTCAAATCTCGGGGACGGACAGTTTTGGTTCAACTTGAGACACGCAAACATCTCGAATAATTCAGTCAAGATTTGAGTTTTGACTGTATATACCGAGCTATAACGTTTGATCACAAAGCAATGCGTTAATCTCCTGAATTTTTCAATATAAGGTAATCAGTGAGAATTTTTTCACTGATATGTACATTGTATATTCTCACCACTTCTTCCTTTAGTTTAAACTTTTTTTTGTATGTTTATATTAATTCCTTTATCAATCTTTTATTGTTTTTTTTTATATTAAATCGACTATAGTATTTTAATATCTTAGAACTATGTAATGCAGAATTCTAGCATATTATTACGCAAAAAAAATGCATTTTTTTGTGAAGTAGAATTTATACAATTTTTTTTTCACTCCAATAAAGAGAAAAAATACTGAAATCATAAGATCCTATAAAATGCTATTACTCATAGCTGTTTACTCGTGTAGCTGAAAAATGAGTACATAAATACAACTTAGCTGTAGCTTTAGTCACCTAAACTAATCAGTTTACAGGACAAGAAGTCTTGCATTGTGAAGAAAATGTCTGTCACAAACCATACTCAAAAAACCAAATGTTTTTCCTTCAGTAAATTGTTAGTATAAAACATGATTGGGGGTGGAATGGAGGTTGGGATCGGGTGAGGAGATGCAGGTTGAGGAGATTATCTCGACGCGATTTCTAGATATCTTAGTGTGATTTGTGGCCCTAAGAAGGACCGTTAATTTTTACAAGTCCCGAGTAAATTCTCACTCATCATAATCCGGAACCGAACTAGTAACGGACAGCGTTTCCTTGATATGTTATCAAGCCGTCTGTGGCTTTGATACCAGATTCTGAGTCGAGATAACGGGATTTCTCGTTGACAGTTTATTCAGCTTTTGATATAGCGTATCTTCCCTCACCTCAAATTTCGCGGCTTTTTGGTGTTTAATGAGGATCGTAAAAGAAAATCTTCTACGTCGACAGGGCGGACTCCGGTAAATTAGATTTTGATGTCACAGCACATGTACTACACATGTGCCATGATATACTATAGTTACTTATAGCTACTTATTGGTAGTTTCCAGTACAGCAACTATTGTTCCTCTTCTCCGAACTCGATACTTTATTTTCAAGGTAGGTTTGTCACTTCCTGATGACACTGTTTCGAGGTTTTGCTCTATAGTTTTAAAGCAACTGTTAATTTTTTTCCATGTCAAGTTTGCTCTTGAAAACAACGGTATTTTACAGGTGCCGTGACTACATTTTCTCGACGATGATTCCATATTCTCCACACTCTCAAAGAGAAAAAGTTGTGTCTTATGCTTGTTTTTGACTTCTGTGAAAATATTTTATGTGGAGTTTTCCTCTTGAGCTGTTTCTTGTGACATTGTTCCAAGGTTTGAAGATATTATTACTGTCTTTGTGGTATATAAGTTTTAATCATATCCCTTTTGAAGCGGCGGTAAGCTAGTGTGGGTAACCCTAACTTCTTCAGTCTTTCATCGTGTTATCCTTCGTCCATGGAATTTGTTTTGTACATATGTACAACTTAGCCCTTCTCCAAACTCCCGACACCTTTTCAATTTCGGTATTAGTTCTATATCAGAAAGAGCTGGCAAAATCGAGATGAGTGCGCACTAATGATGTCAACAATGGCAAAAATGATTTTTTCATCCATGAAGTTGATTATTCCTCTAAGAATTGCAAACATGGAATTCACTAAGTTGACTTTCTCACTCGGTTTGTTCAGTATGCCTATACTTTTTTCGTTAAAAGCTTCGCGAATTTGCGTGTCATTCAATCATTACAAATTACATAAGTTTCTTGAGCAGCTGTGAAATTCGGCTAGTGTCGCTATTTTAGCAGTAACAAATGTCATATTCAAGATTGATTTCTGCTCATGAAGTCAAAGAAGCCGAGGGCGTGAATCGATGTGGTTAAAACTAAATGTCTTTAGAAACGAACGCACCTTTAGTTGAAATTGGTGGATTTCCGGTTTTCGAACCAAGGTTACTCACATGTCAGCCTGCGCTTGCTGTTAGCTAGGGTGCTGTTGAGATATGATACATGGTAAGGATACAGTAACGCCCGTTACATGTCTTAACATGATGTAACCTGTCTATACTTATTGCAATACGCGTAAGTGGGTTTCCCTACGTACTCTGGTTTTCTCCCACAATAAGACTCCTCGTGCTAATATACAGGTGTTTACCTAGCCTTTAGTGATCGTATTTATTTAAAAATACTTTTGTCCTTTTTGTTTTCAGAAATAGTGATGTGACTGTTACAAGACGAGAATAGTTTGATTTATCATCATACCAGATTTGGGAAAAAAGATGCTCAGGTGCCTTCAACGTTTGGGCGTCTCTGAGAAATGTCTCATCTTTTCGAGCCAAGCACAGACCCAGGTATTATGACCCACATAAGTGGAATCTAATCAAAGAGGCGTTTACTGACTACTTATGATGTTTTTGTCAAAGTTTGAGAAAATCTATATTTCTGAGATACAAGTAGGCCAGCTGCATCTGTTATTAACCCGACTGAAATTTAAAATTTTGGTAGGTAGTAAAGGTAAAACATTAGAAAAATGGCTGTTAAGTTTTCTGTTCATGCTGAAATATTTTACATTTGGCAAAAATGTTAATTGCATTGGCGAAACTACAATAATTCAAATAGCAATTATAATCAATATATACAGTAATTATGGTAGAATTTTTTTCCCAGTCGAGTCCAGAAAAATATTTTTAAAATCCGATGGTTTGACTCAACTGTGTTTTTGTCTATCGCCTGTAATCGAGACATCGTATATTTAAACTGACCCTATTTTAGTCGATCATGTCTGATAGCAAGGTATTAATGAAAAGAACAAGACAACATCTCTATTTTATAAAAACAATTATTTTTTATCAAAATACAAATAAATCGTAGGTTAATGACAGTTACTGTGATCATCATTGTCACAAGCACGTGGATAATGCATACAAGATTGAACAAAAGACACACGTTACACTGGGTACTTCGTGAAAACAATACTTAAAAATATACATGTACACATATTGTACTCACATTTATAGTATTTGGATCATTGAGACAAATATTCTCCATCAAAGTCTAAACTATTGATTGAGAGTGTGGAATAAATGACAAATCCCGAATTTTCACCCAAATTTATAGCCCCTTTTGACACTTCCACTCAAATATTGACATTTTCACTCAAATAAAACAACAACTCATGGGCAAAAAGTAAACATGAGATGTTTTATTTCAAAAGCTGTTTGATCGCATAGTTCTTGGTTAAATGAGATAATTACCTGTGCACCTGTATAAACAAAAGGATTAGGTGGATTGATACTGTGAAATTACATTGTGCATGTCGGCCTGTTGACACCCTTACAGCTGACCGATCACACTCGTTACCGACCAGGAAAATTTACCTGAGACAACGTGGTGTCTGAATGTTCGACACAAACATGGAATTTTTTGTACGATTTAGAAGGGACAGACCACAAAATATATTTGACACAACCAAAGTATTCGATTCAACAGTGTTCAATTCATCCATGTTTAATTTACTAAGATAAAGAGGAGAAAAAATCGGGACCGAACGAAACATTTGACTCATCTGATGTATTCGATTCATGTGTGTTTGACACAAGTGAATTTTACTGTACAATACACTTCCTTATCCCCCAGAAACATTGTTACAGGCTCCTGTGATTTTGTAGGTATTCTTAATCCTCAGATTTATTTGTCTACAAACTGTTACAATTTTCTAATAAGGAAATTAATTGCGCTATATTTAGCCACAGTAACAAGTGTCAACAAAAAGAGTGATTTTTTTCAAAAATGACAAAACTTAGGCCCTACTAAAATACATTTATATGATTTTGTAGTGTATTACACTCAATGATTAAGTGATAACATAAGTGTCAGATGTTAACATTCATAATGACAGGTTAACCATAGATATCTTTTGCCAAACCATGCAGCTAGGAGTCACACAATTATCATATTTGTTCTATTTAGTTGTCTTTATGATGGGGATCATATATTGAGTTTTTTGGACCAAGAGTTATATTGTTCAAGAAGTGATGATGGAATAGTTTGACCCAAGTTTCTTTTTGTACAAGTTTCTAGGTTGATATTATAGGTGGGTTAATTGTCTTTTACATGTAATTGCAGTGATTCTTTAAAGTTTCACAGTTATTCTATTAAAGATTTCAAATTTTAACTCCAGTTAAATGCAGCTAAACATTTCTGTTTTAACAAACAGCTGATCTTAACTTTAATATGTTCAAAACTTGAAACAATTTTTGCAAAGTTTATCAGAAATATAACATTTTATTTCAGAGTTACTTTCCAGCTTCATGTTTGTACACTTCCTATTGTGGATTTCACATGAAAACAAAGAGGGAAGCTGCTCAGCAAAACAGATCTGTTAGTCAAAATAAAACTTTGAGGGAATCACAGGATCTTTATCACAAAAGAACTAACGTGAAGCATTGGAATCAGGAAGAATTTCAATCCAAAGTGAAAAGTTCACATTCTCTAATTGATGATATATATCATAAACAGACAAGTGGACATCTTCCTCTATACAAGTTAGATGGTTTAGATCCAATACAGTATACTCTGATATATAACAATGTGTCACAAACGGAACACTATAGACAGAAACGCTTTGCTGTGACTAGTGTATTAGCTAGAATCTGTATTTGTTGGATGATGGGGAATATGGCTTTTGTTTGTGTGGTTGACCATCAAGTAGTACCACAACACATACAATATATTGTTGTCGTTTCCTTTATTCTGTATATGTATGGGATTTGGCGTTTTATGAAAATCCGCAGAGCCTACATGGAGTGTATATTACGACTTTACAGAGAAAACCATGGCTTAAACAAGAAGTATGTTATGATCAAACCATACAAGTTTATGTCTACAAAACAGAAAGTATTTTCACAATCAGACATCAAGAAGTTACATCCGGAGAGATATCCAGAGCATTTCAAGATAGATTGGTGGCAGAAACATCACCTAAAACCAGAGAACTTTATCATGGATTCCAAGAAATTCCTGTCACAAATCCTTGGGAACAAACAGTAACAAATAAGAATGATTAAAACTGTTTCTTTTTTGTGTTTTTTTTGTTTTTTTATTATTTTTTACCTTAGAATGTAATTATGGTAAAGGCTATATTTTTAGGTCATCATCAGGTGGTGGGCTGTGCAAATTGCCCAATGTCTGTGGTCCGTCTATCAATAAACAATTTATCGCTATTTTCTTGAAATTTCATGTGGATGTTCCCCTTGGTAGTTAGTAGTGCCCATTTAATTTGGGGACTGATAAGGAAAAACAAATGGCTGACAGGTGGCCATCTTGGATTTTGACAATAAAAAAATTGTTATTGCTATTTCTTGGTAAGTACTGGAGGAACCCTTTTAAAATTCTATATGTAGATGTTGGTAACTAGTTGTGCTGTTTTGATTTTTGGACTGATTTTGGATTTGGCAGTTATTTCTTCAGATGAATGTTCAAATTTCTTATCAATATGAGCAACAACAGAGGAGAGAAGAGAACAGAAGGGAAAGATCCAACAATGGTGGGTGCATGCCCATGATCATCAGATGTGCTATTCAAATTGCCCTTACTCTGTACACAACTATTTTTTTTATAAATTTCTTGAGAAGTACTGGATGGATCTTCTATTTCAAATGAAGGGTTCACCTTGGTTGTGCCTGTTTGAGTTTGGAACTGATCGGAAAAATAAAATGGCAGACAGGGGGTAATCGTGGATTTCAACTTATGGAAGTTTGTTATTGCTATTTCTTGAAGTACAGAATGGATCTCTCAAATTTCATATGTAGGTACCGTTGATCCCAAGTTGTGCCTGTGTGAGTTTGGGACTGATTAGAAAAAATCAAATGGCTGACAAGCAACAATAATAGATTCGGTAGTGGAAGAATATTATTGTTATTTCTTCATAAGAATGTTCAAAATCTGTATAATTATAGGAGCAAAATCAAAGGAGAGAAGGGGAACAGTTCCCACTTTAAAAGAACAAAGATCAAACGATGGTGGGAGCCATCTCAAAAAAAACCCTGATCCAATTTCAATGAAATTTTGCAGAGACCTTCCCTGGCTTTAGATGACCCAAAATTGTGAATAATACAGTGCCAAGGGCCTGAGGGGTTGGGTCAAAAGGGGTCAAATTGACTTGAACTTCAAAAATCTTCTTCTCAAGACTCAGATATGGTAGAACCAAATACTCTTCATGAATGGAAGCATCTTATGTGAATTTCATGGCCCCATGGTCTCACATTTCCCCGAGGTTAGGGGGTAAAATTTACTATAGTTTTTATAAGAAAACTAGATTTTTGAGCATAATTTGTTTAATTTCCATTGGAAATATTTCAGACTTGGTTTGAATTATGAATGAAGGGGTGTTACAGACAAAATTGGGAGAGAATTTTAGCATTATAATAGAAGAAGAAGAATTTCAAAGTATTTGCTTATCTCCCCTATTAGGGTCCTGCCACTCCAGCCCCAGACCAAATGATTATAAAAAATTGATTTTTTTTTCCACCTAAGCCTGCTTCAGATCCAGTAGGGACAAACCTCTGGTGTTTCCACAGAAGACAGGTTTAAAAAGAATTTGTCCTATTTCCCCTAAATGGCTCTGTGGGACAGAGGGCTTACCTCTTTTATTTCCCTTATACTCTGGGAAACAGATTTTGATATGGAAGACTTTAATTGGAATCCACTTGTGCACATATTCATTTGCTTTCAGTATTATCCAAGATATCTGACAGAAAACTATGGAGAGTTTATCTTCTGTTTCATTTAATCTCATCATTTTATGTGGACTCCTGAACTACATAAGCTTTCTATATGTTTGGTTCAATTTCTGCATATCCTGCCTAAATCTGACCATCTAATCTGGAACCCAGGGTAATTAAATCATTGTCAGATCAGAACCCTCACTAATCCAGTTCACTGTACAAGAACCCTTGCCTGATCAGAACTCTGGTTACCTGTTTATGTAAAATCCTTGTGTTCAGAAACTTTAATAAGCCATTTCCTTGTTTAAGTAGAATCCCTGACTGATCAGAATCTCACTAATCCAGTTCTTTTTTTGAGTAGAATCCTTGCATCGTCTGATTTGACCCCTGTCTAATCCACTTCCCTATGTAAGTATCATCCCTGTCTAAACAGAACCCGTCTAATCCACTTCCCTGTGTAAGTATCATCCTTGTCTGAACAGAACCCCTGTCTAATCCACTTCCCTGTGTAAGTATCATCCTTGTCTAAACAGAACCCGTCTAATCCACTTCCCTGTGTAAGTATCATCCTTGTCTAAACAGAACCCGTCTAATCCACTTCCCTATGTAAGTATCATCCCTGTCTAAACAGAACCCGTCTAATCCACTTCCCTGTGTAAGTATCATCCTTGTCTAAACAGAACCCGTCTAATCCACTTCCCTATGTAAGTATCATCCTTGTCTAAACAGAACCCGTCTAATCCACTTCCCTGTAAGTAACATCCTTGTCTGAACAGAACGCCTGTCTTATCCAGTTTCCTGTGTTAGTAACATCCCTCTCTGAACAGAACCCCTGTCTAATCCACTTCCCTGTGTAAGTAACATTCTTGTCTGAACAGAACCCCTGTCTAATCCACTTCCCTGTGTAAGTAACATCCTTGTCTGAACAGAACCCCTGTCTAATCCACTTCCCTGTGTAAGTAACATCCTTGTCTGAACAGAACCCCTGTCTAATCCACTTCCCTGTGTAAGTAACATCCTTGTCTGAACAGAACCCCTGTCTAATCCAGTTCCCTGTAAGTAACATCCCTGTCTGAATAGAACCCCTGTCTAATCCAGTTCCCTGTAAGTAACATCCTTGTCTAAACAGAACCCCTGTCTAATCCACTTCCCTGTAAGTAACATCCTTGTCTGAACAGAACCCCTGTCTAATCCACTTCCCTGTGTAAGTAACATCCTTGTCTGAACAGAACCCCTGTCTAATCCAGTTCCCTGTAAGTAACATCCCTGTCTGAACAGAACCCCTGTCTAATCCACTTCCCTGTGTAAGTAACATCCTTGTCTGAACAGAACCCCTGTCTAATCCACTTCCCTGTGTAAGTAACATCCTTGTCTGAACAGAACCCCTGTCTAATCCACTTCCCTGTGTAAGTAACATCCTTGTCTGAACAGAACCCCTGTCTAATCCACTTCCCTGTGTAAGTAACATCCTTGTCTGAACAGAACCCCTGTCTAATCCACTTCCCTGTGTAAGTAACATCCTTGTCTGAACAGAACCCCTGTCTAATCCAGTTCCCTGTAAGTAACATCCTTGTCTGAACAGAACCCCTGTCTAATCCACTTCCCTGTGTAAGTAACATCCTTGTCTGAACAGAACCCCTGTCTAATCCAGTTCCCTGTGTAAGTAACATCCTTGTCTGAACAGAACCCCTGTCTAATCCACTTCCCTATGTAAGTAACATCCTTGTCTGAACAGAACCCCTGTCTAATCCACTTCCTTGTGTAAGTATCATCCTTGTCTGAACAGAACCCCTGTCTAATCCAGTTCCCTATGTTAGCTAAACCAGTCTACAGCGGACGTAATATTTGGCCCCAGTATTTACCTTCAATATTACAAGGCATAGAAGTCAGCTGTTATGGTGGTTGAACATTCCTCTTACACATTCTCCACTATCCTCCTGGTCAAACCCATCTGTCAGTTTGAGGTTAATTTTTTTAAACCTCTAAACGTTCTGGTGAGATTACTAGACCTTTCTTACACTCGGATGTGCATCATAAGTGGTAGACAAAATATTTTTCTAAAATACATTTCGGCACAGGACATTTCCTTGTGTATTGTCACTTTCTTTTGTCAGAATGTTTGCAAATATCAAGATTACATGGTTTAGGGGTGTATCCTTCTTAAGTTTCCATTACCCAAAATTACACATGTATACTACAATATTACCTATAACTGGCTTGTCTCAAACTAAGTAGACTTATCACCATGACGTGAAGTTGTTTTCCTGAAAGGCAGTTTGATCAGTTGTTTATGATTTATACTTTCTGTTTTTATAATCCAAATCTTGTCAGTTTTCTAACAGATTTCTTTCAAATTTATGTGTTTTAAAACTATGACACAAAATTGTTTTTATGAACAGCATTTTTATTTAATCATATTTCAGAATTTATTTCAGAATTATTGTTCTTTGTGTTTATTTCAAGATCATCAAGATTTGTTTCCACCCATCTCTTGAAAAGTAATTCACCATCAAAGCACACAGCACTATTTTTCCTCTTGTGACTCCTTATTACTGTTTCCATATTTGTAATTTTATCAGAATGCAATAAATCTTTGGATATATATCTAGGATTTCATGGGATGGGTGTATGGTGTTCTGCCCCTCTGTATAAACATGCAGTTCTGTTGATGTTTCAGTTTTTTATGCTAAAAACAAGATACAATATCAAATTTTCTTACTTTAATTCTTTAAATTTTTTTGGACCAAATCCACAAAACTCATTGTACCCGCTAAGTTCCTGGAAACATTCTGGTAAAAGTCGACACCGTGTTTGTTTAATGGTGATATTTCCTGACAGTAACCCATACAAGGATTTCTCCCAGTTCTCCATATATTTAATGTCTGAACCAGTGAAATGTTGCTGTTTTGTCCAGAAAACCAAGTATGGTTTAACAGCAATGTATTTGTCTTGTTCACCATTCTCCTTATAAATACGAAGAACACGTTTTCTGATATCTGTTTGCATTAATGCTATGCCAAATGGGGTAATAACTGACAAAACCGCAGTCAATAAGAATGTCCAACTGGACATTGACATTGGGTATGAGATAGAGAATGGGTCTTGACCTAGACTGATCATTGTATTCCATTGTCGATGAAAACTTTGTAATGTCACCAGTTCTATAAGGCACAAGCAAGCTTTTAATGCAGTGTTGATTAATAATGACCTACGCTGAAGTTTGTCTATATAGATCAAAGAGTAATTGGCAGGAACCTTATCCTCTCTGTGAAGATTTTTTAATTCATCGATATAAGTATCGTCAAATGATGACTGTATGTATCGTGGACTCTGCTTTTGTTTTGATTCCAGTTTTTGTGCACTTGGATGCAGTGTAACTTTTTTTGGAGGCCTTGACTGCTGGTTTACTTTATGACTTTGATGACGACTTGTACTGGAGTTTGCATCACTGGATTTCAATCTAACCTCAGAGGATGGCTTTGTCCAACAAAATTGTCTGTACTCAAAAACCTAAAACAAGAAAGACATAAATACAAAAAAAAAAAAAAAAAAAAAAAAGAGTATGGGTAAAACTTACGAAAATACAAATTTGGGCCCTGAATTTGGTACACTGCACATTGCCATGAATGACCAATGTTTACACCAAGTTTTATGATACTTGAATAACTTGACAAAGTTAAGCTCCGGACAAGATAGGAAGGATGAAAAGATGGATGGACAAGGTGGTGACTCTATTCTCCTGAAAATTTTCAGGGAGCATAAAAAAAAACAATTATTTCCCATCCTGTGCCTTACAAGAGTGTAAAATATTAAATGGTTATACATTTTTTTTCCTGTTACAATTCAAGTATTAAATAATGGCTGTAACTTACTTTTTAATGCAAAAATTTATGCAGAAATGAACAAACAATTTCAAGATATGTCACCATGCAGCAAAATCCTATCTCTGATGATCAGACTTTGAAAGCAAGAAGAAAATGTAACGAAAAGTTAATGAAATTGTTACCTTCAACAAAATTGTAATTGAATGCCATATACTTACCAGGATAAGTAAACAAATCAAGTAAGTTTTTCATTTGTACAAGGAATTTTTTTTACTCTTTTCACCTTTAACAATTCAAAGCCTTCTTCACAAAAATAGATTTAAAATGTTTCTTAACTTTAAACTCCTATGTGAGGGTTCTTGCACAATAATTATTAATAGAAAGAACACAGATTTGATTAAGTTTTTATCCTGGCATCACATAATAACACTAAAATGTGAAATTTTTACCCTGTCATGCCTTCGATTTTGTATGGGAAGACGAGCCACCAGGCGATACATCACAGGCGATAGCTTGCTGAAGCTCAACATTGTTGTTCACACTTCTCTGAAATATAAACACAATATCACATCAGGGTTTTCTTATCATTATGCTAAGTTTGATCAAGAAAAGATACTATCTGTGAAATGGGATCCCAGAGGGATTCTTTGCCTCTAACAGCTGAATCTTTTCTATCTTTCCTCTGGTCTTGCTCTTAATTCCATGACATTTGAAAATTCCTCTGAAGAAAACTGATAGCTTTCACTGTCAAAATTCAAGATGGTCACCTGTCAGCCACTTTGTTTTTCTGATAAGTCCCAAAATTAGGACCAAGGGAAACCAACATGCAAGATTTCAGAAGATCCATTCAGTATTTCTAAAGAAATAGTAATAACAAGAATTGTTTATGAAAAGACAATGTACATCTGACCACAGAGGTAGGGCAATTGAATAGACCACCATCTGATGATAAAGGGCTAAAACATTCCCATTTAACATGGATTTCACTGATGCTCAAACTTGTGAGCCAAGAGTGCAAGATTAGAAATTAAAGAGAAAGAAACTCTCAATTTTAAAGGTAGAATCACCTTATACATTTGATTTATTTGACAAGCAGTGTGAAGAGATCCAAGGTAATCAATGAAGTTGTATTCTCACTTTAGTGAGTTTTTAGTAAATCACATTACAATTTTTTTTAGGTTATTGCAGAGAAGATACAATCATTGCAGCATTTCAAAAATTAACACAAACACGCATTTTATTGGTTTTACATCGTTTTATGTTAACCTTATACGCAGGCCAGGGAAATTGGTCACATTCTGCTGTGTATGCGTGAAATACAAGATTTAGAGTTAAACACACTTTTGCATACAGTGACACAGTCACTTGGCTGGCTTGGTTAATTTCTAACCACTAGGTTCCATTTTGTAATACTGTGTGTTATTGGGGAAGCTCATAACTCTGGTATTTTGTAACAAGGTACCCTGTACCTGTTCGTTTTCCTATTTCGTTGCCATGTTGTCGGAAGCAGTTTCCTTATGTTAACTGACTTTGTAGGATTTTGATAGTGGAATCTCCTGGTAAGAGATTATTTTGGGTCTATAAAGCCGATAATATTCGGGTACTTGCTCTCTCGACTTCTAGTCGACAGCTGATTACTATACACTGTCAGGTGAGGTTCACCTCCTTACTTCGTCTCGTCAGCGAGATGTTCTTTTCTACTTAGAATTCCATTCTGCCTGTGAGTGGGACAACCCCTCTGTTTCCTCACTACTCCGTCCTGACAGTAGGATGAGAGCGCTGCTCTCTTAATACTTTCCTTGCACTGTTCTTTCAGTGGGATGGTTAAACTTTTATATTATATAGATGACTGTAAGCTGATACTTGTACCTGTCAGGGAATGGGGGTTGGCCTTATTTATGTAGGGTAGTTTTGATAGAGTGAAGGTTGTGGGCCGGGTGGTCATTTGCATACATGTACCCCTGCTGAGTTAAGCAGTGGGAACACCTCTACAATGGGAGGGAGATTGATATATAAATGTTGATGTCTTGGTATCCCAAGGCACATCCACAGTATTTTGTGATAGTACTACACATTTGTTACATACTTTGGGGACACTGCAGTGGTTATTTCCTTGGGGCATACTAGTAGTTACATTTTACACAAGTTCTACTAATATTATCTAGCTTTAGCTAGAATCTTATAACATATCTATAGACCAGTTGACATTTTGCTATTACATGCATGTTTATAGTGCTAAATTAAGGGTCTATATTGACCTGTCTGAGATTGTCCATCTTTAGGACTAATGAATATACTTGAGAGCCTCATGTTTATTCATTCGCTGTAAATATCATCATAGTTATTTATTGTTGAACTTTAAATACTTCTTTTGGTGGTCATTTCACTATATGCCATTAACACCATGAACCTGGGGTAGTAGGAGTAGACATGACTGGGTGTTGCTTGTTGACAATATTCGACTTAGAATACAACGCGAGTGGAGGCAGCGCCCTCTTGTGTTGAGGCTCTTAATCCTACTACAGTTATAAGATCATAGGTACTTGTTGGCATGATACTGTATGTACAAGCCTCGTCTGTCAAAACACGTATACTAGTGTTTTGACCGACGAGGCTGGTGTCTGTGTGGACATCAACCGACGAATGTGATCTTTTTTAATTTGTTATAAAGTTTACGGAGTACAAACAACTGCATAACCTCCAGAAGCTTAATTTCAAAAGCGCAAAATCTTTCGCTTATATAGTCTCATTTTACATTTAACAAATTACATTCGTGTCCCCATAAAAAAATCTACTGTGAATGGGCTGTGATAAAATCTAAAAAATACAAGTACAGCAGTGTTAAGTAATACAAAAGTGTTTAGTCTACACAATAATACATTGATACTTTAAATTCAATTACCACAACTTCACGCTCTTCGTCGATTCACATGTCAATGTCACCACCATGTTGTGTAAAACGGCGCGTTCGCTTCGACCGGAAATGTGGCTAACCCGTTTAATTCTCCGTACTCAGAAAAATATCTTCAGTACTTTCTCCGAAGAATCAATCTCGCCATCACCCCTAATTAATATCAATCTCATTCTCACCCCTTGTTAATATCAATTTCATCCTCAGACCTAATTGATATCAATCTAAATCCACGGCATCAACAGATTTAACAATAAATAGTAATATTCTCAAGATGGCTACCATGGCGGCCATCTTTAATGCAACAGCGTATCACACAACTTTTAAATTTGAGGAGTATTAAGCACAAGTACTAACAAATACTTTGTTGGCAACAGTTGGTGTTGATACCTCGTGAAGTGAGAAATTTTTCTCGCAGACCCAGACTAGAAATTGACGGTCGAGATTGTTTCAGTATGTGTACTGTTAATAACAGTGTAACACATAGTTGCTATTTTCACTCCTAATAACTATTTACACATCATGGCCTAACGCTTTACATGAAATTCTCACAGAGTTAAGTTATCATATTCGTGTTATACATGAAAAAAATACTTTCGTGCGACTCGGGTAACTTTTCTCAATGTAATTCTCAACTTTTGTAGTGTTTCTAAAAAATTGACCCGGGTTCGCACTTTCCAACTTGTTTTTCTCAATAACCACAACTTACCACATCTCAGTACCAGAGACCTTATTTAGGTATTTGTCGACATCGCTCGTACTTTCAACTTGTGACTCTTCAATAAGCAGTTCTAATTTTTCACAACTTGCAACTTTCATTCCAAAATTTGATAATAACCCAATTCGCCTATGACCGCCAGCTTTTTATTAGCTTAATCATAATTTTGCTATGTGCATATTATATATATATACACAATGTATGTGGTTTCTACATAAGCATGTGTATATGTGGAACACGTGCATGCCTCCATGTCGAAATCAAACATAGAATATAGGTCACTCTGACCTACAAATGACACAGCAGTAAAGTAATGTCCAATGTGAACACAAATGCCAAGTTTTAATGATAACTTAATGTTTTCGGACGTACGAACGGAGTGGGGGTAAACACTAAACGTTATTCCAATATTGTTTGGGAGCATAAAAATGTGCTTAATTGTGGAAAAGTTTCTTTGTTTTCAGCGCAATGCTTAAAAGAGGTGTCATAAAACATAGCAAAAGCTAGCTCTCTACAGCCGCATCGTTTTTATTTCTGGTCACAGCAACCACAACTAATTGATCATAAACTTATATTTGTCATGGGCGTTACCGTTAATTATCATGTTCGCCCAAAAATTTTATTTTATTTTTGTGGTTTACTAGTGTACAAACTGCATTTTTAAACCAGATATTTCAAATGACACGCATAAGGGAAAACAAACCGGAAATGTAAATGTATATTTAAAAGGGGGACTTTTCACGAAAACATTTTGAAAATACCATTTTGTTTCTGTCTTCATAAGTGATCAAAACGAGTATTTATTTCTTTTAGAATAGTTTGATCAACTTTTATTGTCGATTTTTTTTCCAAATTGTAAATGTAAATGTACTATCTCTATATGACATTAGGTCAGTCCGATTCCGAACATATTCGTTAAACTGTTGAGTAGATCCCCATGATAATTTCACGAGGACATCTGAACTTCTAAATTGAGAAAGCGTGATATTACTTACATGGAGTGACCAAAATTTACATGGCGAGTTTTGTCGATGAAACTTAAGACGCTTACACTTCCAGAACACCTGACCTTTCTCCTCACTAATTCAATGTATTTTTTTCAAAAAAGCCCAAAACCCAAAAACTTACACACAAAAGAGGATCGGTGAAACTGTTGAATGCTCCCAGAAACAACTTTATTAGACACAAGATTATAACAAAGGGCAACAATTCTGTAATTATGGGGTTGCAGACCCTGATTTGGTACACTGTACATCCTATTAGTATGAGAAATGTATACATGTTTCATTTTTCTAGTTTAAACATAAGCAATCAAAAATACACAAAAGTTTTAAGAAAGGACAATAACTAAGCAACTAAGATGGACACGGCATATTGACTTATTATGAAAAACGTATTCACTGGGTTTCATAACCCTACTTTAAATGCAAGTAATTAAGAATTTTGCTCCAGACATCTTATTTTAACGAAAGGCAATACTTATGTAATAAAGGGATTGAATTTGGTACATTGCACATTGTTGTAGCATGACCCATGCACTCTCCAAGTTTCATGATCCTTGCTTACCTTTAAGCAAAGTTATAAACCAGATACAAAGGGCAGACGGAAAGACGGTTGAACAAGCGGCGCCTGTACATGTTCCTCGAAAGTTTTTGAAGAGCATAACAAAACTATGGAAATATTTTCAAAAGATCCAACAACTTATAATATGGAGCTCTGGACAACTGACTAGAGTTGTACATGGGTGGTCGGGTAACACAATTACCTAGTTGTCCTGGGTTCGATTCCTCAAACATACATACAATTGCCTGACCAAGGTGGGTTTTCCCCGGTTTCTTCTCTCCGTTGTAAGACACCCTCACACACTTACATCGGGGCCAACAAGAGTGATAAGTGTAAGACGAAACAATTTGTTTCGCAAACTAACTTGTTTCGAAATATTGTAAATAAAGTTTAATTCTATATGCCTTTAATATACATATATGCGAGCATAATGCCTGCATGTTAGTCAATGAACTTAGCCTAATCATTGTTTATTTCTTTGATGATTTCAATGTTCATTTCTAGCAATGTCTAGCTTTAAAACATCCAATAAAACAACAAGCATCTACCTCACTGAACAACATGCAGGAGGCCCATTACATGCCATACAGAAAGATTGGATTGGGATTCAGTGACTTGACCAAAGATAACAGCACAGGATGGTTCGTAATTTCAGCTTCCTGAAAAGCACAGCCCAGCCCAGTAAGAACGTCAGATCTTCAAACGGTTTAATCAAAGCATATTTATTATTATTTTTCAACAAGATCCCCATGGGGCCTGTACTGCTCACCTTCAGACCAGGCGAGCTAAAAACCACTTAAGAATAACAAGGTCTAGAATATATATATCTAGACATATATTTGAAACACTAATTATTTCATGAAATAAAATGTGTACATGTTTCATTAAATACTGAAATTACAACATACAGTGTAATACGAGCAAAATTTTGACTATGAATTGCAATATTGTTTTTTTTTCACATCAACACCAACACATACTGGTATATTCTTTATCTTACTTCTTTAATAGAAGAATTTTAAACATACTGATCATTAACCTGAGAGGTTATCAGTTTTCAATATGAAGATCAGAGAAATAAAAAGAGATTCATTGTTTGACCTTGATTTACTCTTTGAAAGTCAGATCTTTTCCCTTCTTTTCTCTTCTCTTCTCTGGTTTTGTTCTTAATGATAAGAAATTTAAACAGAAACAGCAGTGATGATAGGCTCAAACACAGACCAAAGGGAACATGCATATGGAATTTGCGAGAGATCCATTCAGTACTTCTTAAGAAATACGGATAAAAATCTTTATTAGGCGAAATCCAAGATGGCTGCCTGTCAGCCATTATCTTTTTCTGATCAGAAACAAAATTAAATAGACACAATTAGGGACCAAGAGGAACATAAACTTGAAATCTGAGAAAGATCTACGCAGTATTCTCAAGTAATCGTGATAACAACCTTTCAAGGTCAAAATCCAAGGTGATCATATTCAAAATCAAATGGGCACAACTAGGTACAAAGGGAAACATACAAATGAAGTTTGAAAAAAGAACCATCCAGTTCTTCTCAAGAAAAAGCAAAAACAAACTTGCAAAGTCAAAATCTAAGATGGCCACCTGATGGCCATTTTGTTTTTCTAATCAGTCCAAAAATTAAATGGGCACAACTAGAGACCAAAGGGCATCTACACATGAAATTTGAGGATGATCTATCCAGTCCTTCTAAAGGAATAGCGATAATTAAAACTGTTTACGGACGGACGGGCCATGGACCACCGACCACAAACGTAGGGGGATTTGTGGTGGACTAAAAAGTTAAACAATTCATGGTACTGCCTCGGTTATCTTACAGAATATACAAATACTTTAAATCAATCATTGTTTCAACATTTTTCAGAACATTTTCTTCAGGTTGGTAATAACAATAGAATTTAAGTTTTTTTTATAACATAACCAGTTTGACGTTTTGTTGACTACACAGTCACCTCATCAGTTTTGAAAAACATATTGTTTATTAAATTATTGTAAGTTGTTTCTGGGAGTTTATACTGAATGTAAAATAACATGAATGAATTGTGAGAACAAACCATTGCTGTTCATACAATATCTCACTTAGTCTCAACTTTGCAAAATATTTCAACATAGAGTACAATCATGTCCTTTAAGAAACTCCACTCATGGTTTTTCAAAATATTTTGGACACCAGATTTTATGGACATATATACATTATGTAACTCAATAAGTCTACATATACTTATTTTAACACTACACAGACATATAAATTGGAAATAACTACAAAACTGCAAAATCAACGAAAATAAAATCCCATTGAAAATTAATGATTTTTCAGGAAAAATAGATTCTTCTTTATAAAACCTTCATAAACATGTTAAAACACCAAAAATATACACATCACATATAGATATTTCATCAAATATATTTCTGTAATACTTACCAAGTACATGATTAAAAAATACCAGACAATAACAATTTTCACCAGCAATTAAAAAAACAATATTCAGCATACTGTTTTAAAAGTCACTGATCAACAATGTTTTAAAACAACACAATATTTCACTAATCATCACAACAGACAAATGACATCTGAAGCACCAAACCAGTTCATGCTATAATATGTTAGTTTTCTCTTATAGATCCTGTTAATTGAATATTTGAAAACTTATATAATTTCTGTATAATACAATGTATACAACAAACAACATTAACATTTATACAAGTAGATGATGCTGTTTAAGATTTTTAGTTTCAATAAATTCCATATTGTATATTTTCAATAATAAAATGAAATCACTAAGGCTTAATACCTAATACTATGAACATTAAGTCAATATAAAAAAGCATAGTACTTATTCATAATTTAGAATTCCACTTCTTATGAAAAAACAAAAACAAAAAAACAAAAACAAAAAACAAATAAAAAACATAACAATATACATATTAGATTGTCAATGTTGCAGGATGATATTACATGACTTCCTATGATATCACATATCTAAATACAAGACACTAAGATTTCACAAGTAACCTGGTTATGGTTCCTCAACAGGTCGTGTTTGTCACCCTGATGTAAACTTGATACGAGTCCTCTATCCTTATTTAACAAGAGAACTAGCATTGATAAATCAAGTTCACAAACAGAAAAAAACAAGTACACAGTGATAAGGTCTGAAGCAATAGTACTGCAGAGCAGAACAATGTACACCTGTCCTATGTCAAACAAAGAATAAAAACACGAAAATGAAGTAACAGAACAAAGGATACTGGATATCCAGGAACTAATGCTGAGCATTCATTATTTTGTTATTATGTTTACCACATTCTCAGGATCTCTATTGAATACCCTGTTGGATCTGTCCAAGATAAACAATGCTTAAAAAACAAAGAGCAATAACTCTTCAAAAAATTGTAAAATCTCATCGTCATTGAAAAAAAGACAGTGTTATATCTTGAGGAAAGTAATCTTCTTTCAAAATAAAAATGCTAGAAATCAAAGGGCAATAACAAAAATCAACATCATAGTTTTAATGTCTGCTATTTAGAGAGATCTCAGGACAAGATTAACATTATAAAAACAACAATGGGCAGTAACTCTACAAAAAAAAATGGAATAACATTGCTGTCAGAGAAAACACAACTTCATGTTGTGATAATTTTGTCTACCAACTTAGAAAGAAATAGACGGAGAGAGATCTCAGGACAAGATTGACATTACGAAAACAACAAGGGGCAGTAACTCTACAATATACATTTATCACATTGCCATTCAGGAAAACTCAACTTCATCTCATGGCGATTAAGTCTACCATGTTTAAAAGTATAAGGTTGAAAACTGAGAGAGAAGATCTGGGGACAAAATTAACATTAACATCTTGAAAACAATATGGGACAGTAACTTCCAAATACAGTTCAATTGTACAGCCATTCACAAAGTCATGGTGATTTAGCATAATAAGTTTCAAATAAAATCATATGATCATATAGGGACAACAAAGAAATACTGCCTGGGTATAATATTTACATGTTTAAACTTTAGCAAAGCCTTAAGGTAGACAAATTGTTATCGTACTTTTGTCTCTCCTTGTTAACGTACATGTATTAGAAACAAATATAACCAATGTAACTTTCTGTCAACAAATTTTCTTTGGTGGTGTGATTACAAATTTCATAATCGAAGCAAAGTTTAGCAGCAGAATAACACATTGATAAACAAACTATGATCATAGTATGGAGTGATAATCTCCAATGTGATTATTAACCACTGTGTTATAGTATAAAATAATACACACTTCATCGCCAACTCAAACCTACAATGTCATACTTATCACTACAAAATTGTTGTGTCAAATCTACAACGTCATACTTATCACTACAAAATTGTTGTGTCAAATCTACAATGTCATACTTATCACTACAAAATTGTTGTGTCAAATCTACAATGTCATACTTATCACTACAAAACTGTTGTGCTTGGGAAATTGTGAAACAGCCAGTCAACAGTAGTGAATATGACTATTTGCCCAGCAGGGAAAGCTTCTTAACTCTACATCTAAAATCAATCTTAGGTGAGAAGGAGAACTCTTCAAAAGAATATGTTTATTATACTCACTTGGATGATAATAGTCCTTAACAAGAGATCCTAGAGGGATCTTGACACCACCATTGTTTGATTTTTATTCGCTATTTGAAAGATGGATCTTTGCCCTACTTTTCTCTTCTCTGTTTTTGCTCTTGATGATAAGGAATTTGATCATTCCTTTACAGAAATAGCAATGATAATCTTTACCTGCCAAATCAAAGATAGTTGCTTATAAGTAATTTTGCTTTTTTCCTGATCAGTCCCAAAACATAATGGGCACAACTACAGACCAAAGGGAACCTACATATGAAATTTGAAATATTTCTATGCAGTACTTCTGAAGAAATAGGGATAACAAAACTTTAATTGGTGAAATCCAAGATGGCTGCCTGTCAGCCATTATGTTTTTCAATGATCAGTCCAAAATCCAACAAGCACAACTAGGTACAAAGAGGAATCTATACATGAGAAAGATATATGCCATATTTCTCAAGAAATAGCGATAACAAACTTACAGAGTCAAAATCCAAGATGGCCGCCAATCTGGTCTTTCTGATCAGATGCAAAATCAAATGGGCACAACCTGAGATAAAGGGTAACATACATATGAAATTTGAGAGAGATCCATTTAGCACTTCTTAAGAAACAGGGATAACAAACTTTAATCCATGATGGCAGTCTGTCGGACTTTTTTTGTTTTTCTGATCACACCCAAAATCGAATGGGCACAACAAAGAACAAAGGGGTGCCTACATAAGAAATTTAAGAAAGATCCATCCAGTACTTTTCAAGAAATAGCAATAACAAACTTGCAACGTCAAAATCCTTGATGGCCATCTGTCAGCCGTACTGTTTTCCTGATCAGTTATAAAATTAAATTGGCACAACTAGAGACCAAGGAGAACCTACATATGAAATCCATGCAGTACTTCTTAACACATAGTGATAACAAAAATTGTTTACAGACAGGCAGATAGACCACAGACCAATGATGTAGGGTGATTTAAATATCTGACAATCGTGGGCTAAAAATTCCTGATCTGGAGGTAAAAGTACATCTCATTATATCACAGATTTTATTTTTACAATCATCTTAATGTACAGCGAAAAAATGAAAAATAACCAGCTACACAGAAATTCAAGAGCATAAGTAAAACTGATGAATGCTCCCTGAACATGATTTTATTGGAAACAAAATTTTATCAAAGGGCAATAACTCTGTGATTAAGGGATTACAGGCCCTAAATTTGGAATGCTGCACAGTCTCTTAATATGACCAAGCTTAAGCGCCTACTTTTAATACAAGCAATGCTCTATCATGACACAAAATTTTTAACAAAAGGCAATAACTGTGCTGTGTGGTCAAGGGCCCTATTGTATGATTGACGTATACATCACTTTTCAATATCCTGGTTTAAATGCAGGCAAAAGTAATGTTCCAGACACAAAATTTTAACAAAGGGCATTAACTGTGTAATTAAGGGGTTGTGTGTCCTAACATTGGTACACTGCACACTGTCTTTGTCTGATCAATGTATAACCAAGTTTATTTATTTTACCTTCAATGCAAGCAAAGTTATACATTGGACATGATAGTTTTAACAAAGGGCAATAATTCTGTAATCGAGAGTTGAGGCCCCTGAATTTGGTACACTGTACATTGTCGTAGTATAACTAATGTATACATAAAGTTTTATGATCCTTGCTTAAATGTGGGCAAAATTATGCCCTGAATATGAAAGTACCCATTGAAAAGATGGACAGAAAGACGAATGGACCGATGGACGGATATGACAGCAACTATATGCTCCCTCAATAATTTTCCAGGAGCATGAAAAAGATATATTTTACAATATAGCTTCAAAAAATAAATGTTAGACCAATAAAGAATACCTACCTCAAAAACATAGTATCATAATATTATGGAGGGAAAAATTCAGCTTTTTACTAAATAATGATGGATTGAAAGAAAGAAGAAGACATGAACAGTCATCAAAAATGCATATTAATCAAATGCTGACATAACATACTACCAGGTATTTGCTGGTAGCAGAGTATGGAAACAACAGTTTATATTTGTTAAAAACTATAGTAGGTACAGAGCAAAATATCAATCACTTCAATGTATATCTAATATATCACAAAGTTTAACAGCTGTAGAAATGGAAATCAGCTCTACAACTATACATGAACACACCTTTGATATTCTTTAAACATATTTTGAAATGAAACTTTACTCAGGTTATCCTAAAATTTAAGATTTCTGTAAGGTACTGCTGATACCATCATGCCGACTTTCCCAGCACAAGCGCTTTCTGTAAGCTGTTGGTTATCTTTGCTGTAACAAGATAAAAAAAAGATGTAAGAAAGAACAATAAGGCAGGTTATACACTTGTACCATGCAAACGAAATATTCATGATCTATGTATCAAAAACAAACAATACTATTACGTAAATGGTGGTATATGTTTTAATGATAAATAAAGCACACTAAACCTTAATGAGTTTGGTTGAAAACTGGCAAAAAACTAACTAAAAACTGAATCAGAAGAATTCTCTGAAAAATTGCCGAATCAAAATGCTGTTCATAGGAAGAAAATAACAAATTGTGATTTTAAAGCTTATTAAGTTTCAAAGAAATTGGTCAAAACTGAGAAAGTAGATCTCTGTTTAAAAAGATGTTCAAAAATGCAAAAATGTTGAATCCAATTGATTTGTACTTAATCATAACTTCTTGTTGTTGTGATTAAGCATACTAATTGAAAATTGAGAGAGGAAATCTCCAGACAGATTAACATTAAAAACCCAACAAGAGACAGTAATTCTTACAAATATTCAAATCAAATTACCGTTCAAGAAAACAAAACTCATGTACACTTGCAATGTCAAAAAAGTTTGAAAGAAATAATTTGAAAAACTGGGAGTGGAGATCCAAATTATAAGAAAATAGAAATCAATGTCATTTCAGATTACCAATAAAATACCAACAGAAATTCTGATACATAATTCATATCTGCATGAATTTCCCCTAAAATGTTTTGCTTAATTTTCTCTATGAAAACAATAATACTACAAAAAGATACAGACTAAAGAAAGACATTTGACCTATATATCAGATTTCCTATACTTGAAAATTCCCCAAAGTCCAAAATCTGCAAAAGATGACTTTAGACATAAAGTCAAGAGATGGTCATGTACCCAACAATAAATCAGCATGTGTGATACAAAATTGACATAAAAAAGATATCAGCTAAGGTACTCATCCATTAATATGTAATTTCTCAGTACTCACCAATCAATTTGTAATTTTCTGGTACTCACTCAATAATAAGTTAGTCTTCGGTACTCACATATTAATTGATTATTCCCTAGTACTCATCCACTGAATTGTTTTTCCCTGGTAATCAACAATTAATTTATTCCACAACACCCACTTATTAATTCCATATTCCCACTACTCATTTATCAATTTATTATTCCCCTGCACTCACACATTGATATTCCTCAATACTCACCAATTAAGCTATTCCCCAAACATGACCTATTAATTTGTTATTCTCCATACTCATCCATTAATTTGTTCTTCTCCATACTCACCCATTAATTTGTTATTCTCCATACTTATCCATTAATTTTTTATTCTCCATACTCACCCATTAATTTTTTTTATTCTCAATACTCACCCATTAATTTGTTATTCTCCATACTCATCCATTAATTTGTTATTCTCCATCCTCACCCATTAATTTTTTATTCTCCATACTCACCCATTAACTTGTTATTCCGCATCCTCACCTATCTTTTTTGTGATTCCCTGGTACTCATCCATTATTTTTCTATTCCTCAGTACTCATCCACTGATTTGCTATTCCCAGGTACTTATCCATTAATTCATTATTTCTTGTTACTCACCCATTAATTTGTGAAATCCTTTGGGTTTTGAAGTCCATTTAACAAACACTGCATACACTGGCAGACTTGTGAACCACACTACGATACCAAGACCGATTCTTGAAGGTGCAGCAATTACACAAATAATTAACAGCATCACATTGACAGCAAGTACTGTAACAGCCATCACCAGGTTAGCCTGCAACAAACAGAACTAAGTTGGGCTGAAGTAGATTTGACTATGTTAGTCTATAACAGTCAATACAAAGTTGTAACAAGCTTACAAGGTCAGTTTGAAAGAGCTTGAAACAATTTTCACTTGGTCAGCTTGGAACAGTTTTCATTAATTTAGCATATAACAGTTTTAATCTACTTTGCTTAAAACAGTTTTAACGAGGTTAGTCTGAAAAAAATCTTCACTAGGTTAGCTTTAAATAGTTAGCAACAAGGTCAGTCTTGAACAGACAAGGAAACATAACATGTGGTCTTATTTGTTGGTTACATTTCATGAATAAATCATTTTGTTTATGAGTGGAAAGCTTTAATATTTGTACTGTGTATAAAGTTCAATTACTGAGTATCATCCAGAGAGACTGATATAAAAACATCTTTATCTGTAGTGAAGGTCCTGCTAATAAAATTGTTTAATCCCACACACTGATGAAGACCTGACATACCTTAAATGGTCTGTTGATATCTGGCTGTGTCTTACGTAAATACAGCTGAGCAGATATGACAAATATACTGAGGATGGTGGAGAAAACCTGAATAAATTCCATAAAGGTTGTCAGTCCTCCAGTCACTAACATGACTAAGGCCCATGCACTCTGTAACAAACAGACACATCACCATCAAATTCTACTAAACTTTATAAATGATGGTGAAATCGAAAAGATGAGTGAAGGAAAAACATACAGCTTTTTTTTCTCCTTTGTATCCAAAGCTGCTAGAGTTATTCCCCTTTACAAACCTCTTACAAAATTTGATTTTTACCTGTGTAACAGAAGTTGTTCATTTCAATACCTCAGGCTCTGGTTTACAAATATAACATTTCTATCCATTCAGCTAAAATTGAATTTTTGCCTCACTGATATCACAACTCAATAGGAAAAAGATAGTAATTTCCACAGTAAATACCACAACTTCTTTTCTTTGATGGAATCTGTTTGACCTATTTTTGCTATTGCGAAAAACAAATGCTTTCAATGATTAAAGAAAACATTAGTCTGCTCTATGAAAATTACTGTCAAACCATTAATTTTTGAAGGGGATTTATTTTATTGATTTTTGGGGGTACCCTTAATCCACGAACTCTTATGTCTACAAACTGTTACAATAAACATACGTATATTTATTGTGGTAAAGTCATCCATAATACCAAGTGTCCGCAAAATGACTTTTTTGTTCTTTTTTTTTTTTTAAATTTATGAAATTTGAGCCCCATGAAACTATATGGTTTTACAGAATATCCTTTTTAATCACGTTTTGATGAAACTGTAAAAAATATTAATGATGAAAAAACAAACTTTCTAGTACCATGTATGGTCCTACTCTAGGAAAGAACAGCTTTCACAAAATTTCTAAGAGTAACAGAAATAATTATGCAAATATGCTGTCCGGGGGCTAAAGAATAGAGGTCATCATTGCCTCCACCCCGGACATGAAGACCATCAAATCAGTACATTCCATGGAGGTTTTATATTGTAAATTTTCTTAATACTTTTCATGAACAAGTTAAAATATTCACTGATTAAGAGATAATTCAAATATTGTCTATTTATTTTGAATTTATTCAGTGAGAATTATTCATCAACAAAACCAAGTGCCTACAAATTAACATTTTATTTTAAAAAAAGATTTAAGCCCCACAAAAATACATTACAGTGATGTGCCTTGACATACATACTCTATCAATTGTGCTTTAATATTTACCATGACAATGATGGCTGCCCAAGGGGTCAGGAATCTGATGTGTAACGTACTTAATATCATGGGGGCGTGTCCGTTTCTGGCACCAGCAAATAAAATCCTGCGGAAAACAAATAAAATTCTTTACAATCAAAACCTATTCTAAACAATCTGAGATGTCAAAGTTTATCATCTATTTGTGTTAGTACACACAAGGAAAATTAACTCTGATGTGAATGACCTTAACTGACCCCAACATGACAAGAAAATGATGTTACTAAAAAGTATGACTGTCAAAAGGTCAAGGTGATTCAATCTTACTTTGAATGTAAGAAGTGCCAATTTACAAATTTTCACAATCAGATTTCTGAACAACACATCAAATCAAAGAAAACCGACGTTTTTATTTCAGAGATTGAAGCTATGACTAATGAATCTGATCTGTATATGTATGTTTTCCTCTGGGGCTCAGTACACGACAAATATGTTCAAACTGCAGTTTTCTAATCCCTAGTATGGTTTATTATGCATTTAAACAAAAAGTGCATTTTAGTATAGAATACTGTAAATATTTTTTTTCATGCTACGTCATTGAAAAAACATTGAAATGATAATCACATATTGGTCATATACAAAAAGGTACGCCGAGTACAAATTTACCATAACAATATTGGAATCATTGTGCGAGTCTTACCTGCATTAGTTGATACTAAAAAAAGTAACACTGGTGATTACCTTTGACCTTTCCTATATTATCATTCACAATCCTCAATAATTAACAATCAATGAGTATAGTATATCACAGGCGTAACTGTGTATCAACAGCAATGATTTTATATATATGTTCAGGTGTAATTGTCTACTGTTGAAAATACGTGTATTTATCACACGATTACCTTCTTATTCAGTGAATATACCAAATATTTTTGTGTATTACACATGTGTGATATAACTTAATGTGCTTTCACTTTAGATAATACATTTATACATTCCCAGTTGTATTGTGACAGAACAATGGACACTATAGATGTAGAACGGACAGGGTTTCACGTTTGACATAGAATAATCAATTATGTGACAAAAAGAATGCAAAATCTGTTTCCATCTGATAAAAGATTCTTGACATTCATCCTGAAAATTACTCATAACATGTGTTCCCATATGAAAAGGAAAATTGAGTAAGATCCTATATATGTTACAAGTATAAACATGACTGGATCTAAGAGGGTATACTAGATATTGCCATCAGCATCAGCTTGAAATGCATGCTCACAAATAAACCCCAGAACACTTGAGTTTCATTGCACTGTACAAAACACTGATACACATTGTGTGTATGATATATTAACTGGTGTAAACCTATGTGTCATTAAATAAAAGTTGTGTTAGAGAACTTTTGAAGCTGACTTCTCTCTGTTCTGCTACACTGTGAATATATTGAAGCAGAAGATGTTTTTTGTGTTCTGGAAGAGTAAACATCTTCTGCTTCAATGACAACACCTGACGTGTAAATCTAGGTCAATCCAAGTAAACGTTCAGGTGACCTTGCTTAATGAGTCTCACTTACCTTGAATGTCCCATGATGCTGGCATTAAGAACTCCAACACAACTGACCCCTACCAGGATAGTAATGACTGGAGTCATGGGAGGATACAGCATGTCTGTAAAAATCTACAGGAAAATGTAAGGATACAACATGTCTGTAAAAATCTACAGGAAAATGTAAGGATACAGCATGTCTGTAAAAATCTACAGGATACAACATGTCTGTAAAAATCTACAGGAAAATGTAAGGATACAGCATGTCTGTAAAAATCTACAGGAAAATGTAAGGATACAGCATGTCTGTAAAAATCTACAGGAAAATGTAAGGATACAGCATGTCTGTAACAAGAGATCCCAGAGGGATCTTGGCGCCCACCATTTGAGGATCTGTTTTCAGTTCTTGAAGATTTGTTTATTTTTTTTGTTTGTTACAGGTGTTGTAAATGTTCATGAACTGGTCTTCATTGAATGTACTCAATGATGGCACAAGATATTTTTATTAAGCACCTATTAGCAAATATCATTTGAAAAAGATCCCAAAGTATTATTAGATAGCAGTCAGTTACAGATGGATAATGGACAATATGCTTGTGCTGTATTACTGTCGACATCCAAGATGGCTGCCTGTGGGCCACCTTGATTTCAAATCAGTCCAAAAAAGGTACAATGCACAACTAGGGACCAAGGGAAACCAATATCTAGGAAATATCAGAAGGATCCATCCAGTACTTCCTCAGATATAGCAGTAACAAGATTTTACTTCCAAAATCCAAGATGGCTGCCTGTCAGCCATCTTGATTTCAGATCCGTCCAAAAAGGTATAATGCACAACTTGGAACCAAAGGGAACCTGCATATGAAATTTGAGAAAGATCCATCCAGTACTTTCCAAGAAATAGCAGTAACAAACTTTTACTTCCAAAATCCAAGATGGCTGCCTGTCGGCCATCTTGAATTCGAATCAGTTCAAAAAAGGTACAATGCACAACTAGGGACCAAGGGGAACCTGCATATGAAATTTGAGAAAGATCCATCCAGAACTTTCCAAGAAATAGCAGTAACAAACATTTACTTCCAAAATCCAAGATGGCCACCTGTCGGCCATCTTGAATTCGAATCAGTCCAAAAAAGGTACAATGCACAACTAGGGACTAAGGGGAAACTGCATATGAAATTTGAGAAAGATCCATCCAGTACTTTCCAAAAAATAGCAGTAACAATCTTTTACTTCCAAAATCCAAGATGGCTGCCTGTCGGCCATCTTGAATTCGAATCAGTCCAAAAAAGGTACAATGCACAACTAGGGACCAAGGGGAAACTGCATATGAAATTTGAGGAAGATCCATCCAGTACTTTCTCAGAAATAGCGGTAACAAACTTTTACTTCCAAAATCCAAGATGGCCACCTGTCGGCCATCTTGAATTCGAATCAGTCCAAAAAAGGTACAATGCACAACTAGGGACCAAGGGGAAACTGCATATGAAATTTGAGAAAGATCCATCCAGAACTTTCCAAGAAATAGCAGTAACAAACATTTACTTCCAAAATCCAAGATGGCCACCTGTCGGCCATCTTGAATGCGAATCAGTTCAAAAAAGGTACAATGCACAACTAGGGACCAAGGGGAACCTGTATATGAAACTTGAGAAAGATCCATCCAGTACTTTTCCAGAAATAGCGGTAACAAGAATTGTTTACGGACGGTAAAAATCTGCAGGAAAATGTAAAAATTAAATCCATCGTATTTATCTACTAAATTTTGTTTTATTCAGTAAAAATACCCAGGAAATGTTTTTGCGTATTACCTTATGTAATATAACCTTTTGTGACGTCGAGTTTAGACTATGAAATGACGCGATACACTCATAGATTACTTGTGATGTTACAATGGTGATCATATAGATATAGACACGACAGGTTTTGAAGCGTGATTTTTTTTTTCTCCAGTATTTGACATAGTGATTGATTATATTATGAAAAGGATCTGATATTTGTTTTCATTTCATAATATGATCCATGAAATTCGTCACAAATTTTTCATTTCAGGTGCCAAATATAAGGCTCGGCTTATAAATCAATTGTGAATTTTGAAATCCTACACGTACTTTAACCCCAAATGTTTTTTTTAGCTTATGGTATTCTCTAGATCTGACTCAAACAGGAAATCAGAGGGTGGACTATTACGAAGGAGAGATAAAATTTATGGTTGCATTTTTTCTGAAACTAGAATACATTTGACTGGGATTATTATCAGGAGCGGGTGGGGGTCAACAGTTAAACTTTAACCTCTGCCTCAAAGTAGGGAGAGGGGCTTAATATTAAGACAATGACTAAGTGTTTGACCATGATATGAACATAACTGACCACTGCACAACTTTGACCAAGACAAGCACATACTGACCACTGCTATGGCGTCTGTTTGAAGTATTTGTTGAGGTGACAGGACTATGAAATAAGCCAGGTTTGTGAGGATGTACTTCAGGATGATGACAGCAAAGGAAAGATAAACAGATCGGGGAGCGTCTCTGTAAATATAAGGAAACCTTTAGCATCACTCAAAGTCATTGCAAGTATCATCTTCTTTTGTGAGGCTCAAATTTAGCAGGTGTTTTTCTTCTTTTTCTATTTTCTTTTCTTTTTTTCCCCCAGAAATGTCTTTCCAATGAAACTTGATTTTGTGAATAAATGAAACTCATACCAACTTTGAACTGTCATGAATCAATAATTACATATATACAGGAAAGTTACATTGAAATCAGAAAACAAATTAATCAGACAAAACAAATTAATTAGACTATAATTCAAAATCTATTACTAGATTTAATGAAACTGTGCACAATTGTAACTATTATTGCAAAAGTGTCTACAGGCAGATTTTCATTTCAAAAAAACATATGATTATATGGCTATTCACTGCAAACCTGAAATTATCATGGATGACAATAATCAAAAGATCAATAGTTTATGGATAAAAAAGTATTAACAACAGAGACCAAGTAACTAAAAAACAATGTATTTATTCAGTTAATAAGTCCATGTCTGGTAATTAGCCCATCCACATCTGCTGCTGTTTAGTAAAATTATTACAATATTGATATGTTAATAAGTCTATGTCTGGCAATAAGTCCACCTATATCTACTGCTCTTTGTTACAATATTTATTCAGTAATAAGTCAATGTTGGTTAATAAGCCCACCCATATTGCTGTTAGTGAAATCATATCAACCAACGTTTCACTGTTGTCCTGTAATAAGCACTTCCTTTACTTTTATTAAGGAGAAATGTATTGGCCCTGGACTTATTGCAGCATAATATGGTAGTTTCAGTGCCAATAATAACTGAAATATTTTCTCAGAGCATGAATAGACTTTAATAACAAAGTTTCTGAATGTTATGAACTAAAAATAGAGTTTCAAGAATCCAATAATTTATTTCAGTTCAATATCTTTGTCACATTAAGTTAACTATGCCATTCAATCCCAATAATTGTTCATGTGGTCTCCAAAACTCAGACGTGAATGTCAAACTCTTTTTGATATATACATTACATTGTATTAAATGAACATCATAGAAAGAAGCAAAAACCCTTCCTTACTTTCCTGGATCCCTCACTTCCTCCATCAAACTGCCAAGAACCTGCCTGAAAATCATGAAAAACAGTAAATCTGTCATGAAATAGGATGAAATCAAAGGTCAAGGGTCAGGATCTTTAAGGTCAGAGGTTGACTTTTCCAAAGTCAGAGGTCAGGATCTGACAGGTCAAAGATCTGTACTTTCAAGGTCAGAGTTCATTACAAGTATCTTGAAATCTTGACGATTTGAAATGAGTAACCATGCGAATTTTCTGTGTTAACAGTTATTGTAATTCTTGTAGAATAACAAATATAATTCAAGTTGGGTAGACATTTTGATATTTTTCATGGGAGCACAGTCCAAGTGAAAAAATATCAAAGTTTCATCTCAAGACAAAATAGAACCATTTTTCATAAAAAAAAAAACATGATACATTGTGTAACACTTTAATATTTATATTCAAACTGACCAATATAAATCAATTTCTATAAAGTGAGTGTTTCCTTCAAGGATTATATTTTCACTACAAATGCTGTAATCTAATTGGTCAAAATTTAACAAAATAGAAATAATCAAAACCTGTTATTTTAACTCTGTGAAAATATTACTCAACAGACATAATGTAAGTTGAAATTTCGACCTCTGTTTCTTCTGCCATGGTGGATTTTGATACTTTGAAATTAAAACTATACAATTATATAAAATCATCTAACTTTGGACCATATAGTCAACATACATTTAACCTTACATCAAATCATGTATCTTTGGACCATATAGTCAACATACATATAACCTTACATCAAATCATGTATCTTTGGACCATATAGTCAACATACATTTAACCTTACATCAAATCATCTAACTTTGGACCATATAGTCAACATACATTTAACCTTACATCAAATCATGTAACTTTGGACCATATAGTCAACATACATTTAACCTTACATCAAATCATGTAACTTTGGACCATATAGTCAACATACATATAACCTTACATCAAATCATGTAACTTTGGACCATATAGTCAACATACATATAACCTTACATCAAATCATGTAACTTTGGACCATATAGTCAACATACATTTAACCTTACATCAAATCATGTAACTTTGGACCATATAGTCAATATACATTTAACCTTACATAAAAAAACTTCCAGATTTGACCAAACAGAGTAGATAACTCACCATCCCCCATAAGTGAATATTGAAAAGAACATGGCCATGCCCAGGTTCCCTAGTTTTAGACTTTCTGCCGTTGATGGGAAAGCATTGTCTAAATACTCTGTTTCTCCTGCAAACAATGAAATAAAGTTTCATTCAACTGCAAATATCGTAAAATTCTGCTGTCAAGGTCGTCCTACTGTCAAGATCACATGTGATGGTGAAGGTTGAACACCTGCTTAAATCACAAATTTGTTAAACGTCAAGGTAACATACATGTAAGTTCTGTAGTTTAGTAAACTAAAAGGTAAAGGTAACTCAGTTATAGAGGTCCTGCACTTGTAGCTATAAATGACAATTGCAAAGGGTAAACTACATGATAGATCTACAAAGGTCAACAATTTACCAAGGTCACCCATATATGAAGGTCATGGAACTTGGGTAATGTATGGATCATTTTATTTGTTGGTATCAAATTCTGGAAATGAGTAATCAATTTTGATTTGAAAAAAGGAAGTACAGTAATATATCATCTTACTTGCCAACTTCTGTATCAAATAAGAAACATATTTTCAATTTCAGTATTAAGATTCATATGTTAATTTGGTAGTGAAAAATTCCTTTGTATTTCCTTATTTTGTAATGAGTATTATTTCCTTATTTGGTAATGAATAACATATTTCCTTATTTAGTCATGGGTATAATAAAGGTGATCTCCTTATTTGGAAAACCACTTTTTACCTTGAGTTAGACGAACAATTCCTCCTGTAATGATGATAAGTAGGGCTAAGATCTTAGTGATGGACAAAAAAGTCTGTACTTTGGTCACATACTTCATATACACACAGTTCAGGGCAACCAGTGTCACTGAAAAATACATACAAATTGTTTGTCTCCTATCAATGCCATCAAAGATCGAGTAAAAACACACATGTAGACTATCGAATTACCAGGAAATAGCCCATATTTCAAATAATGAGACTGAGTCAGAACTTGTTGCGACTCCCATCGCACCACCCCCGGCTGGTTATACTACAGGTAGACAGAACCTGGTGTGACCCCCTCCCCCACCCCCAGCTGGTTATACTACAGGTAGACAGAACTTGGTGTGACCCCCTCCCCCACCCCCAGCTGGTTATACTACAGGTAGACAGAACTTGGTGTGACCCTCTCCCACCCACAGCTAGTAATACTACAGGTAGACAGAACTTGGTGTGACCCCCTTCCCCACCCCAGCTGGTTATACTACAGGTAGACAGAACTTGGTGTGACCCTCTCCCACCCACAGCTAGTTATACTACAGGTAGACAGAACTTGGTGTGACCCCCTCCCCCACCCCCAGCTGGTTATACTACAGGTAGACAGAACTTGGTGTGACCCTCTCCCAACCATAGCTAGTTATACTACAGGTAGATAGAACTTGGTTTGCTGGTTATACTACCCCCCCTCTCCCACCCCCAGCTGGTTATACTACAGGTAGACAGACCCCCGGCTGGTTAGAACTTGGTGTGACCCCAGCCTACAGGTAGACTTGGTGTGACCCCCTTTCCCACACTCAGCTAGCTATACTACAGGTAGACAGAACTTGGTGTGACCCCGTTTCCAACCTGGTTATACTACAGATAGACAGAACTTGGTTTGACCCCCTCCTCCACCCCCAGCTGGTTATACTACAGGTAGACAGAACTTGGTGTGACCCTCTCCCACCCACAGCTAGTTATACTACAGGTAGATAGAACTTGTTGTGACCCCCTCTCCAAACCCCCAGCTGGTTATACTACAGGTAGATAGAACTTGTTGTGACCCCCTCTCCCACCCCCAGCTGGTTATACTACAGGTAGACAGAACTTGTTGTGACCCCCTCCCCTCCTCCACCCCCGGCTGGTTATACTACAGATAGACAGAACTTGGTGTGACCCCTCCTCCACCCCCAGCTGGTTATACTACAGGTAGACAGAACTTGGTGTGACCCCCTTTCCCACACTCAGCTAGCTATACTACAGGTAGACAGAACTTGGTGTGACCCCGTTTCCAACCCCCGGCTGGTTATACTACAGATAGACAGAACTTGGTTTGACCCCCTCCTCCACCCCCAGCTGGTTATACTACAGGTAGACAGAACTTGGTGTGACTTGGTGTGACCTACAACCCTACCCACCTCCCCGCAGCTCACTCCACCCCTAGCTGGTTACATTACAGAGAAATGTGTTAAAGGAGCAGGTCAGCATGACTTCTACAAGAGAGGTTATATAAAAGTCACACAAGTCAATAGCACCCTTAATATAGATTTAGAGTTAAATACAGTAGAGTCATATGATGAATTAAATCACATAATACAGCTGATAGGGAAGTGCATTAGCCCCATGATTCAATACATTGTGTGATTTTTTTTATACAATGCATCTGATAATTTATTCTGAAACAAGCTACTATATGAATGAATGAAAACATGGTATGCTCCTGGTTACTGCAAACCTAGGGGACAACATTTCAGGTGTGATATACAGTCTCTGTCACTCGGACAAATAAAAGATCACTTTGGCTTAGTCAATAGAGCCACAGATCACCACTTGGGAGTCTCTGGTTTGATTCCTGTTGGCACACTTTGTAGGAAGGTGTTTTTTTCCATATTCTGTCGGTTACAAATACAACTCATACTACGTACACTGCAGATCAAAAATTTTCCTCCCATTTCTAATCCATATGATGATGATGATGATGAGGGTTTTTGTCTCCATGACAACGCCTGACAACGGGCATTGTCCCAATCAATGTACGTCAATTCTCGGGCGACGAGAGTGGGGTGCTCCCCTCTGAGTGTGGGAGTTGTCTGGGGTTGGCGAGTCTGTAGAATTTTGAGACGACTCCCGATTGAATGGTTGTTCCTAGTCGTCCTTCCATGATGTCTGGGTCCTGGTCTTCTGGTTGGTGGTGGGTCCTGTCGTCTTTGTCTGGGCTCCAGGCTGTGCATGTTTTTAGCTTTTTATGGGGGTAATTTAGATGTCCGTCCGAATTCAGAAAAAGGTTTATTGAAGATGATGTATATGAGGGTTATTAGGGCTCCTGGGCAGCGTTAAGTGCCTACTCCTATTTTCGAAAACCACAGAAGGATCTTTTGCGTGCAAGGCTGGACGGACCTTACACGGGCCACCATTTATAGCCCCATCTGACTGACTGTTAATCCATATGATCCAGCTCAGTAGCATATACCCTGTGGACTAGACCACTTCCTATCCATGTGAGCCAACCCAGTTACCCTATCAATATTGACCAGCCCAGTTACACCATGATATCCAGTAGACTGGCCCATCCAAGTTACTGTATCCAGGGTCTAACCCAGTTACCCTATCCACACATGACAGCCTAGTTACAGTATACATGACTGGCCCATTTACTCATGAAAAAAGAATAATTCATACTCTCCAAGGTCTTGTCCAGTTACCCTATCCATTGGCTAGCCCATTAACACTTACCTAGAATCCAAGAAGCCAACAGTTTGACAGCTGCTTCTGACGGTCTGCATCCCAGGATCGGCTGTAAAGTATACAATGACGCAATATAGGCTACAAATGCCCAGAAAGGACAACAGATCATTAATATATATCCATACATGATCATAAATCCGGGGAGATCGCCGAAGACTTTGAGGACATAAGCATAACCACCGCCAGCCTTAGGGTATATAGTCCCCATCTCTGTAAAACACAGACAGACCCCTGTGTTTATAAGTCCTCCGATACACCATATCAAGAGAGATAAACCTACGGACTCCGTGTACTGAAATATGGCTGTTGGTGTGATGAAAATGGAGATGTGGCCCGTTACAGAGATCAGGATCGCAGTGCAGTGAAGTAGACTGATCGACTTTTTCATCTGCAGGTGGTCCACATCAGTGACAACTATCACACCACTTCTACTTTCACTTTTGTCCTGTTCCATCCTTTGCTCACTACGTTAGATGATGAGCGTGCTTGGCTAGTCTAGGCGAAGCGTAAACATTGCCTTTCGTAAGAAGTGCAGTCGTCGAGGCCTTGACCTTTATCATACTGCATGATTCAGGTCAAATTTATAGGTGAACCGGGCATTTTGCAGTCCAACAAAGCCTGCAGTTTCTGACGTCGATTGCAACACGGGTAAATTAAATAACCGTGTTGTTATCTGATTTTTGTTAACACAGAAAGGTAAACTGAAAGAGGTTCCGAAAATACTTTAAGGATGCTTGTCATTCAACTTAAAAAATAGGATTTTTAAGGATGCAAGTTCATCTACAATAATAATTTAAATATTTCTCAAACAACATTTTATAATTAACGTAGATACTTAATTTATCTTACCTTTTACAGGTGTTGTTTAAAAATAAATGGGTATTAAACATTCAAACAAACCATGGATATAGAAAAATACATTTTTTGTGAAGTTAATAGCAACCTCTGACACGTCCTTGTATATAAGCCTTTGTCAACATTGGATTGTATGGCAAGTCGTTTTTACATGTAATCTTATTTCCTTTTAAGGGAATATTTTTTCACTTAAGTGAACGCAATGCAAACAATTAATTGAAGGTAAGAAGAATATCGCTTAAGTGAGAAAAATATTTCGCGTAGACACAAGGCTAAATTATTTTCACTGAAGTCAGCGCGCCTTAAAGTAAATGTGTTCAATGCAGTCTGGATGTTTCTTATCCATCCCTTAATAATAGACAGATCAGTCAATATGTCTACTACATTATATAATTTATGCAGTTATTTTCATTTCCATTTAACCATTTTCCAAGCCATTTAACACTTATTCCTGTTTCCTCTTAAGTTGAAATACGCATTAAATTTATTTCGCTAGATAAAATTCATTTTCCTTAGGGTAATTCACGTTCTTCGCATTATATTTTATTTCACTTAAAAAACTTTTTTTTAATTAAGTGACAAACAAACAGTTGGGTGGCTGAACTCCCAGTTTCTTCAATAGATTTGGACTAGCCCATTTATTAACCAATCATTAGGTGTTGACCATCTAACCAATCAGAGCCCGTACACATAATGTAAGTGAAAATTTATTTCATTCAAGTGTAAGAAACTCATAATGGATTAAAAGAAAATACTTGAAAAGCGCACACAAGGATTTTTTTTCACTTAAGTGGGAAAAAACACATAAGGGGAATAAAAACATTTATCACTTTTACTGAAGTAACACAAAATGGAACCAAATATCCGAATGGAAATAAAATCAGAAACAGTTTCTACCAATTAAAGGCAAATACTACAGTAAACATATTGATGTATCCTTCCATTATCAAATGGGGTGAATAAGTCACATTAGGATTACATTAAGACGAGAACAATTTCACTGAAGTGAAAATAAATTAGCATTGCGCCTACACATAATGTTCTTTTTCACTTACATGTTTTATTTTACTTCATAGGATGTAAACCTTAATTTGAGTTTTAATCGAGTGAAATTCTTTTTACCTTAAGTTGAATTTATTGTTTGTACTATGTTATTTTTCTTTTAAGTGAAATTCTTTATGAATATCTATGATTTAATATCAAAACGGCTTGCCATTACTGAATGTCCAGCAGCCTTAACATTAGATATATATCATAATGGCCAAATTGAATTCAACAATTATAATGATATAATCATAGACATTAACAGTTAAGACTCTGTAACGTTTGATTGACTAGTCTCTTACAGATCGTACACTACGCCTATCCATTCATGTACATTCTAAGTTTCTTCTATACCTTCATATACTTCTTATCTTTAAAAACAGAGATTTCTTTGTCTTTGTCAATCGCAAATACATCGGGAATCAAGGACACTCTTCCAAGCCAACCGCTGATTTCATGTTTACCGAATACTCAACACACGATGAATGGTAATGTGTTGCTTTCAATTTCCCTAATATCCACTTTCCCTATCTAGAAGGCAAAAAATTTGCTTCCCCAATCTATGAAGTTATCATGTCGTTTATCCAATGACGTGCTCTCCCTTTTACGCTTTTGTTCATATGTTGTCTTTGTTTCATCGACTTCCGGTATGAATTCAGGTTGTATTACCAGGTCTCCATTGTATTATTGTTATTTTTGTATCAGATGAACAAACAAAACAACCAGTGAATTCTTCTTCTTTTTTAAAAAAGCAAAAGAATATGCTGTTAAGTAGAATACTTCAACAGGCGATGAAATTTCTACAATCCTGGTCAAAATTTTGCAAAAGGCGATATTAGTCTTAGAAAGTACTGATATTATTAAACTGCGCGATATTCACATTAATTAAGTGTGTGAACGGCAAATGAAATTTTTCAATACTGAGTTTAATTAAATGTGTGTTGTCGATCGATAAAATATTTTAATGATATCTATAAGTCAAATTTAAAATCCAGTTAAGATTTGCTTCTAACTCTTCAGCTCTGATACACAACCCTCAACTCAAAAGCAAACCCCAGCTTCAAGTTCTATGGCTTAGTGTCTCATCAAGCTTCTTGTATACATACCCCTTTGTTTTCAATTATAGCAACATGATGACTATTGTTCCACTTCATTAATTTGAGATAAGTTGGGGTAAATGTAGTATTCATTCTCATTTAAAGCGAACATTACGTAGTATTCTTTTATTTGCAATTTCGATTTGATAAACCTATGTTGTATTCTCTTTCACTACATAATTTGTTTTATTTTTAAGGTTGCTATCGTCGATGACTTTGATGAAAATAATTGGTTCTGATATGAAATAGGTAGTTTTCAATCTCACAAAAGATGAAATTTCGTTTTAAGATTCTCAGAATGAGATAGATATGACGATAACAATGACAGCATCAGACTTTACGTTAACAAAGCCCTGTATCAGAGTCTGATTAGCCATATCACTGTCTATGTCGTATCAAACCAATGATGTATCAGTTGTCTCCCCTTTTCCTAGAGTATGAGCAGCTAAATCGTCGTTCTATGTCGTACCGAACCATTGATGTAATAGTTGTCTCCCCTTTCCTTAAGTCTGATCAGCTATATCATTGTTCTATGTCGTATCGCACCACTGATGTAGCAGTTATCTCCCTTCTTCTTTGTGTTTGATCAGCTATATCATCGTTCTATGTCGTATCGAACCACTGATGTATAAGTTATCTCCCATTTTCCTAGAGTCTGATCAGTTATATTGTCTTTCTTTATCGTACCTAATCACCCCTTTTTCTATCTAATCCTATCATTATTGTGGATGACACTTTCGTTATGAAATAATCGAAAAATATATATTCTGCAAGACTCGCTGAATGAATCTATCGCATTTAGAGGATCTTAAATTTTTTTTTTTTCGAAAATTCAGATGAAATGGAAACGTTTGTAAGATTCTGTTTTCCACATAATTTAGTTAGGTAATAAACAATGATCACAAATACAAAAAAGTATACGCTCGCAAATTTTCAATGACTCATTTCTTTAATAAATGTTGATATACATTTTTGGTAAACCTTATGAAAATTATCCCTTATTCATGAGATAACGGGGCGTGTTATATAATATTGATTTCTTTTGCTTCCAATTTTGTTATTTGACACGCATCATTAAAATCATATATGAAATGAAAATATCCTTAAAACATGTCATTAATAACAGTCATAGACCATATCCGTCTTATGAAAAATAGATAGAGTTGGTCGGGAGGCGTCTTTCTGAACTACCTGACACGTTCAGGTAAGAAATCCGATAAAACTTTGCCCGCTGTAATTATTTGAGACTCCACTGAGGAGGAAGGATGGATGATAAAATGAAAATAATCCCTTTTTTTTGCTGAATTATTGATGGTTTGGTGGAAAATTTGTCAGACTGTTTCAGGTTAGTTCAAATATGTGAAATACATTTGAGGAATATTCGAGACGAATAGTTGGGTGGAGCTAGTTTACATAACATTTTCTATCATAACATATACAGTATCTGGTATGTTAAGTTGTATCAGTTGACATAACATTTTCTCTTCGTAACTTAAACAGTATGAGGGATTATAAGAGAAAGTAGTTTACATAACTTTTCCCCTCCATAACATATACAGTATCTGGAATGTTAAATGGAACTAGTTTTATAAAGCATAATATTTGCCTCGGTATGATGCTTGTCTTGTTCAGTCTTTTAAAGATTATTCCCCATCCTTTCGATATTCGAACAAGTATAATTTGTAGCTATATAAACTTATATGATGTTTAGATATGGCCGGTTCCGATTGGGTTACTTCCAGCGTAACTCATCAAGGCAAGACAACGTCAACATTTTCTGACTTCTGTGCACTAGTTCCTTCATGCTTACTCATTGCTTTTGTCCGTCTCATCCTGACGTTAGTTTATTTCACCCTTAACTTTTCTTTTAACAAACATTTCTTTCCATGGGTATTTCCCCCGATCGTACTATCTCTGATAACTGCTTCTACAGTTTTATATTGATGTTTCATGCACTGATGAACAAATCAGACCAAATTTGGTTGACGTGAAGAGTTGGTCTTCAATCGGCAAAGTTTTTATATCATGATCGGATGCCTTGAACAAAAAACATGTCACAAAAAAAAGCCCTGGTAGAAACAAACGTATCGTCAAATAAGAACTTTCAGGAGAAACCTCGTAAGTTAATTAACACTGGTTAAATGGTGTTTAACCATAACCATTGTTGGGTGGAACTAGTTTACATAACATTTTCACTCTCCATAACATAAACAGTATCTGGAATACTAAGTGGAAGTGGAGTTCGCGACATTTTCTCTTCGTAATATTTTATTTAGAGGAGATAATTTAACATTAATTGAAGGTTTCTATTATCCGACTCTGTTGGACAGTAGATGTCGTTTTTCGGTCGTGTTTACGGCTGGATCGATTATTGGAAGATTCTTCTGACAGAAGCCTTGGTGGCATGGGTTTAATTATGTTTCTTACCTTTTAGATCAGACAATCTGTTCAGAGTACCTCATGTCTTTGTTGTTATTGTTTTAGTGACGCTTGTTTCCTTCAGACGAGAAAGCCTTTTTGAAGATAAGTTTTTTAAGCAATATTTGCTTTGTTTTGCACGAGATAGAGGTTTAAGTACATTGCTATACAGTTAGATTGATAGGTTACCTGAAAACTTTTCCGATCTAAGACGAACAAAAATAGTCAAGTATATGGTTCCTCCCACCCCACAGGAGCCTCAAATTGACTCAAATCTCACGTGTATTCTTCTCAACACCAGTATATGGTGGGATCAAATGTTCTTCATAAAAGGAAAGATCTGAAGGTGATTTACAATAGTTGTGAATTTCATGGCCTCAGGGTCTGGTTAAAGTTTATTATAGTTTTTTTTATAAGAAAAGTATTTTTGAGCATAATTTGTTTAATTTCCATTGGAAATACTTCAAACTTGATCATAATTATGAAGATAGGCTGACGGCTTGATGGTATGCACATATTGATCTTGGCTGATCCCCAGGGAATGATAGGTAGTGCCAAAAGAGGCGAAGTTGATTCAGATTTCAAGAATCCTTTCCTCATCACTCAGATATTATAGAATCAAATTGATGGAAGCGTCTTGTTGTGTTTTTCCTTTATTGATCTCACATATCCTGGGGAGGAGATACACTTTGATATATTTTTACAGCAAAATTGCATTTTTGAGCATAACGGTGTTTATTTACCCTTGGAAATAACTTTGTAAAGAATTATTACTACAGTATGGCGGTTTTGATGGTGTTGATGTGACTATCATAAATGTCGCAAGTTCTCTTTCGTGACACTTGAAAGCAACTTACCTTTTTATCTTTATATTCAGTATTACAAAGCGAAAAATGAAGTCATCAAAGATTTTCGCGGCTGCAGTTTTTCCTGATTTATATGTTGTTGGATATGCTTGTGCGAATTTTGTGAAGTGATCGACTAATACAAGTATGTACTCATATCCCCCTTTAGACTTCTCGAGATGGACATAGTCAATCAACACCATTTCAAACGGATGAGTTGTGACTATTGGTTAATAATAAGCTTTATTTATTTAGCAACAATTGCGTAAACCTAAAGTCTGAAGTCATTTTCAATTAGTATAAATAAAGAAGATCGCACTGTATATTTTATAGATCTTCGACTTTCTACATACTACTAGTGCAAACTGGGACTACTCGATTAAACCACATGAACTATTGAATTCACACAGAAATTCGTTGCGATGCACTCAGTATTTAACCGCAAAATGATGATTGTGCAACTCAGAAACAATTATAACAAATAATCGAAGCATAACAATTATGGTATTATCTTGTTTATCATTTATCATACGTAGACATAACGTTACTCGTAGAAGAAGACGCTTATCCTTCCTTGACACCTCGTCTTATTATCATTGTACTTTTCAAGAGTGCGGTAAGCAATGTCACAAGGACAAGAAATGTTTTTGCTTCAGTTTTGACAGAAGCCAGAGAAATTGTAGTGGATATCCATCAGTACCTGCCATACACACAGCTTTCTCTGCCGGACTGACATCAATTTTCGTGAAAAAAAGGTATGAGTAGCTTGTTTAGTAATATGAATTTCCGGGAATGAACGTAGAATCTATCTTTTTAACCTTCGGTCATTTTTAAGGTTTCAGGAAGCATTTTCTCTGAGCTTGGTGATAAGATGACATAACTCTTCAGGTACGACTTTCTTTTCAGGAATATTCACATCGCTTGGCTACCGTCAAATCAAGAAAGGAGGCCTTATTTACAGAGTGAACGAAGTCAGCCTGAACCAGACAAGTGCTTCCGATATGTGTATCCAACAACACTCACAGCTGGTCAGGATCGACTCCAAGTCCGACATGTTGAGTCTGCAGACCATCGTCGCTGGAAACACGATACTGGGAAAGATCAAAGCCTCAGAGAGTATTTGGAATAATAGGTAAATAGATAGATGCGAGAATGTGTGAGTTTAAGGATAACGATATTTCTATATTTGCGTTCTTATTTGGGAACGTGTCATTACTTCTTTTGATTGACCAATAGGATGACAACTAAAACATGTTTGGAGAAGAGTGCTTCGGATAACAACCGACAGCCTGTGTGTTGGTTGGGATGGTATCAGATGATGAGTGTGTTATATTGTGTAGATGTGGGTGCGTTGCATGATACATTGACTGGAATAATCATGACACACAAATACAACATCACATCAATCACTCTGAGGCTAGCTAAACATTGTGTCTATTTTGCACTTCAATTGCTTGTTTATGCATATACTGGGTATTAAATGATAGGATTTAGTTTTAGTTTCTCCATAGTGTTAAAACCCTGGATGCATCATCCAAATTTACAATAGATGCACAAACCCATACTATCTATTCTTGGCTCTTCTGTATCTAATCGATTTTCCTTAGTCGCATCCTAAACTTCAAAATGTAGGCCTTTAGCATCACTAACGAGTCCTAGAATGACGAAACAGCTATATGATGTAGTTCAAAACATTGTTTGATTCTTCTGTATCTAACTCTAAATTATCAAAAGATCTATTCACTTGTGTCTTTTGTCCAATTTTTGAGCATTCATTTATGTGAAGAAGGCTGTAGGTTCTGTCTCATGAGTTGGCCGAGACTTTTAAAAATAATTAATGATATCTCAATGTTTTGATGGCGTAACAAATAAACAACATGTAGTAGTCTCCTAAAACCACTGAACAAACGCACTTACCTTGCACAGAGACCGTCCTAAAATGCCCATAACCTTTGATTAAACCTTGAATGTTAACAAACTAAACATAATGAGTACTTAGAGGTAAGCATGTAATGGTCAGTCAATTGATAACACAAATCTAACATATTGACTACTAAAGTTATAATCAGAATAATGACGCATAACACATTTTCCCGTATTTATTTTTAGCCAAATACCTCTTCCAGTTGTTCGTGTCCGGAATGTACATGTCAAACCGATGGCAGTACAGTGACGGTGAAATGATTAACAGCGCCCTCTGGTCTCCTGGCAACCCTGACCCAAGTCAAGGTCACTGTGTCGTGCTGACACGGAATGGTCTCACAAGTGAGAAGTGTTCGGAGAGACTTTTCTCTCTATGTGGATGGTTTTAGTGAACCAACAGTAATCAGATGAAAGATCACATCAGCAATGGAATTGCATATATATGATGTTCCGGAAAAGAAAACTGAATCTGTCGCTAGTTCTAATTTTCTCTGGTCTGCTTCACAATCATCGTAATTAACATCTATGTAGTAGGGACATTATAAATTATTAGTTATTTTGTTCGTATAATGTCCAGCTTTAAAGAATATTAATCACTCAGTTGTTGGCATCCCTAAACACTCTCTTGATCGTAATCACCAGTTTGGAATATTTTTGTATATGTGCAATATTACTGTTAGACTTGTGCTTTCATTTCTGAATAATTACAGTACATTGATGTTAGTTGATATCAGTTGTTAATCAGTATATAAGTATAATTTCTATTCACACCAATTAAAAAACAACGATGTGTATGTAGTTTGAGTATATGGACATGTATATTGTTATCGATATGTTTATATGAAACTAACTTGGCTTATTCTCTTGAAAATAAAACAATATACGCTATAAATCTTGTTCTACTTATATATTTGGTTTTGTTTGATGCTTGTCTTGTTCAATCTTTTAAAAGTAACTTCCTATTCTCTTAAAATTTCAACAATTATCCTTTGCAGCTAAAATAAAAAACAAGTTAAAACGCGTTTAATGATAATTAAATATGTCTGGTTCCGGTATGCCAATTGGGTTACTTCAAAAGATGTTATCTTTTATGGTAGCAGGTAGTAGAGGACCTGTTTGTCGTAACCTGCACCTCGTGTTTTAATCCTTTCGAATAATGACACGTTTCAGAATATACATATGTGCTTGACGTTGTTCTGAATTATCTGATATATGATTTTTTATTTTTAATTTCGTCTAGTGGAACCCCTAGTCTAGATTTAAGCCTTTAGCATTACTGACAAATCCTAGAAGGACGAAACAGCTATTTCGTTTCATGAACTGATTAACAAATTAGAATATTTGGCTGACGTTAAGAATTGGTCTTCAATCAGCAAAGTTAGAATATCATGGTCGGGTACTTTTTAAGAAAAAAGTCACCAAACATGTAACAAATGGAAATGATTATTTCATGTAAATGTTTTATGTAGAATTAAAGTTCTATATTGTTATCGTCAATAATTGAACTTTCAGGTTAAGCTTCTTAAGTTAATCAACACTGGTTGAATAGTCAATTAGCATAACCTATGTAACTATTTCGTCAACAGAATCTGTCTTTAAATATCGTAGCCAAAATGTCATATCGTTCCAGAATTCTATTCCTATTCTTTTCAGGTATGAGTGCATTTCTTCTACTCGTTCTTGTAGGATATGCTATTGTATAAATATATTAAACACAATAATAAAAATCTTGTATAAAGATATTCCATCATTTCCTGTTTGGGGCAATAAATTATATCATTCATTACGTTTTAAGTAATTTGACAGTAAGAGATTGATTTGAAATTACATTACTTCCAAGACATTTTTATCATACCTGGTCGTTTATCTCCCGGCAATCAATATATAAGAGTCAATATAAAAGTGTGTTTGTTTTGTTTGCATGGATGGTCAGTCTACAACAGGTGTGAAGTTAAGCAGAACACATTAATACTTCAGCAAATCGATATTTTACTATTACCGATTAGTTTAAAGAGATTCTTTACCATCTTTAATAACATATTGATGAGTGTCAACCAGTCACCGGAGATAATTCCAACAAACTATGGCGATGGAAGTTCTTCAATCCTTATTTAAATTAATTTGTGTAACCAATCGATGAAATTTGCGAATAGCGACGAAAGCCCTACAATTTCGAAAATCGGTATTAGACAATTGAGAGTTTTTTTTCTACATTTGAAGTATAATATATATGTACTTATCTTACCAATTTACCAATGATCAGATACAGGTTAACAATGAAGTAAAAGTTCATACATGGAATTAAGATTCCACAATATTTACAAGTTCAGAAAATTTGCTTTTAACTCCAATAATAAACCTTAACAGAAGCGGACTCCGCATCCATTTATTTCCCATAATCTTTGCGTAGGTTACATATTAGTAGTTTCCAATTGTATTGAAGGCGAAAGTTACCCAGTCGATTTAATTGATTTGTGCTGTATCTTCTTTAACGTAATAGTTTGATTTATCTTACCTTTTTTGATACCGTCGATGTCTTACATGAACCAATTGCTTCTTATTTGTGAAAAGTAGTTTTCAATCTTAATGAAGGTGAATTTTCATTTTCAGATTCTCAGAATGAGATAAATTTGACAGCAACAATGAGAATATCATGACTTTACGTTAGCAAAGCTCGTGTCAGAGTCTGATGAGTTAAATCATTGTTTTATGTCGTATTGAACCTGCGATGTAACGATTATTTCCAATCCCTATTTCCTGTCTAGTGTCGTTAAGAAATCAGCAAGATAAATACAGGAAAGAAATTGTCAGATATATAGAATTGTCAAGAGTTTTCTAATACCATTTGTAAATATTTCGCGATAACATCATGTATTAGACGGATACCAATTGTAAATTATTGATATATCAATTTCTTGGGTGAAGTCACAATGCATTCAATTATAGGGTTATGACGTCACAATTGAATCAATTGGAACTTTCAGTCAAACATAGCTCCAACAATTCATTTTACATAATATGTATAACGTGGGGTGGTTAATGTAGTGAAAACAGAGAAGTTGAGAAATATGCAATGTTCAGATATAAAAATATCTAGTTCTATGTAAAAGAACTTGTTATTCCTATCATAAATATTGATAAATATTTTAGGTAAGCATGATTACGTTTTAAATGAGTGTACAGGGCAGGTTTTTTAAGATTTTTTTTCACTTTCGTGACAATACTGATTTTACACGCATCATTAACATCATCTCTACACCATAATTTACCGAAACATAATGTGATTGACAATATCGACATCCATCCTTTTCATAAAAAATAGATAAGGTTGGTTGGAAGATGCGGTCTTTGAACCATATATATATAGGACTTCGCACGCTGTGATTATTTGAGGCTGTGCTGATGAAAAAAGATGAGTTTTAAGATGGAAAAATTCCGTCTTTTTGCTGAATTTGTGATGATTTGGTGGAAATTTTGTCAGACTGTTTCGGGTAAGTTCATATATGTCAAATACATTTGAGGAATATTCGAGACGAATGGTTGAGTAGAACTAGTTGAAATAACATTTTCTATCATAACATATACAGTATCTGGTATGTTAAGTTGAATCAGTTGACATATCATTTTCTCTTCCATAACTTATACAGTATAAGGGATTATAAGAGGAAGTATTTTACATAACTTTTCCCCTCCATAACCAATGCAGTATCTGGGATGTTAAATGGAACTAGTTTTATATAACATAATATTTGCCTCCGTGTAATGCTTGTCTTGTTCAGTCTTTTAAAAATTATTTCCAATCCTTTCGATATCAGAACAATTATAATTTGTAGCTATATAAACTCTTTGCTTTTGTCCGTCTCATCCTGACGTTGGACTATTTCACCATTAACTTTTCCTTTAACAAACATTTCTTTTCATGGGTATTTCCCCCGATCGAAGATTCTTCTGACAGATGTTTTTAGGTTTGACTACCAGTGTTTCTCGCCTTGGTGGTAAGGGTTTAATCATGTATCTTACCTTTAAGATCAGACAATCTGTTCAGAGTACCTCATGTCTTTGTTGTTATTGTTTCAGTGACTCTAGTTTCCTTCAGACGAGAAAGCCTTTTTGAAGATAAGTTTTTTTTAAACATATTTGCTTTGTTTTGCACGAGATAGATGTTTTAGTACATCGCTATACAGTTAGATTGATAGGTTATCTGAAAACTTTCCCGATCTAAGACGAACCAAAATAGTAAATTATATGGTCCTCCTACTCCACAAGGGCTTCAAATTGACTCAAATCTCAAGAGTCTTCTTCGCACCACCAGTATATGGTAAAATAAAATGCTCTTCGTGAATGGAAGGATTTAAGGTGATTAAAATAGTTGTGAATTCCATGGTCTCAATGTCTCATATATTTCCCCTCGGGAGTTTACTATCGTTTTTATATAAAAAAATATTTTTCAACAATAATTTGGTTTAATTTCCATTGGAAATGCTTCAAAATTGATCAGAATTATGAACAAAGACTGATGGCTTAATGGTCTGCACATATTGATCCTGGCTGACTCAGATTTTAAAAATCCTTTTCCTGGGGAGGAGATACACTTTGATATAATTTGATAGCAAAATTACATTTTTGAGCATAACGTTGTTTATTTACCCTTGGAAATAACTTTGTAAAGAATTATTACTACAGTATGGCGGCTTGATAGTGTTGATGTGACTATCATAAATGTCGCAAGTTCTCTTTCGTGACACTTGAAAGCAACTTACCTTTTAATCTTTACATTCAATATTGCTTATCTCAGGTGACCATCAAGGCCATTAGGTCTCTTGTTCAGAATACCTCGCATCATGACTGTATGATGTTAAGCGTTGTTAAGCTTTAGAACCGAAAGCCTTTTCGGAATACCTCGTGTCTATGCTTGTATTATTTTCTTTTTGTTTGATACTGGACAATAAGGTTTAAGATTGCATTTTTCTTTGGTTTTAGACCAAACAGTTTGTTCGGAGTATCTCGTGTCTGGACTTTATGGCGTGGAGGATTCTGCAATTTCCGCTTCATCTATATGGACATCGAACAGAAGTTTATGTGGTCCTCAAAACTCAAGGCTACATTTCAATGGAACAACTGGGGCAGCCTCGTCTTGGTGTGCGGGCACTCGCGATATTCAGCAGCACATACAGGTATCTGTATTATTTTATCATTGTGTTACAGAGAACGAATAAAACCCTATATCAAGATTTATAAAAGACTGGCTGACCATCAACAGTTTTATTCTTATTATGCCACAATTTTTTTGTCAAAAAATATTCGTCTTGTTGTTCTTTTAATTCTTTGCAATAAAATAATTTGTACCAAATTTTAAAGACATCCTTCCAAAAATTATTTCTACAAGTGGTAATACATTTCAAGATATATTCACAACCAATCAGAATATCAATATCAACATACTCTTTTAGAATAGACTTCCATTTCCCATCAGTATTATATAATCTTTTAACCCAACTAAATTTTTGAGAGTAGATAAAACTATTTAAATTGAGCATTTTAGGCCTCCACCAGTATAATCTTGAACCACAATGTTTCTTTTAATTTTAATCTGTTTAGCTATCCCATAAAAATTCAAATAACAAACTATTGATTTCTCTTATTATCTTATCAGATGAATTCGGGAGTGAAATAAATAAATGGTTGAATTTGGATATCATAAGCGACTTGATAATGTGAACTTTACTGATAAGAATTAGTTTTCGTCTTTTCCACATATTGCTCAAACTTTTTAATTTTACAATTTTCTTATCAAAGTTAAGCTTTGGAATAATATCTTTATTGCACTGACACAATTATGTCTGAATTTGTGTCGACAAACATCGACCACAATCTCAGCGCACCTTGGACTTTTCTAACGAATAACTACAGGGAATATAATTCAATAACTTATGCTGTTTAGATGTTTCGATGTTATTGTCATGACAGGCTTTGACATATAACAAATCTATGAACAAGGTTTAAACACAGATTATGATGACAGTTGGAAAGATTCATGCTCCCGAATGATTCAACGTATGATTTAGAGATGTTCAGTGTCTTTGTAATATATCAAAGATTTTCGACTTTCTGTCATCAATATGCCAACTTTATTATCTTGTTTATCATTTATCATACGTAGACATAACGTTACTCGTAGAAGTAGACGCTTATCCTTATTTGACACCTCGTCTTATTATCATTGTACTTTTCAAGAAACTCTCTACTGAGACTCATGTTACATCATTTTTAATCTCAGTTAAAATTTCATATGTTTGTATCATGTACAGCGTAATGATTGCGCTTCCAATAGCAGTTGATGCCGTGATGATAAAGTATAGGTGTATTCCCGAGAGAGACAGTAGTTGAAGCCGTGATGATACAGTATAGATTTGTATTTCAGGTCCGATTCCCGAGGGAAACAATAGTTGATGGCGTGATGATAGAGTATGTGTATATTTCAGGTCCGATTCCCGAGGGAGACAATAGTCGATGCCGTGATGTTACATTACAGGTGTGTGTTTCAGGTCCGATTCCCGATGGAGACAATAGTTGATGCCGTGATGTTGCAGGGACGAGGGCATTCCACTCAGTGGGTCAAGACTTATTACCTCCTCTACAGCATCGATGGTATCACATGGACTAATGTTACGTCTCAAAACCAACAACAAAGGGTACGTTGTGGTCATGACAAGCAAAATTACCTGTTACATTTTCTGAAATGGTAGAATTTAGATTAGGTTCATACTACCTCACTTGATTATAAATAAGCCAAATTAAAACCGAATTTCTATTGAAAATTATTGAAATGCTATTTAGCTTTGACTGTAAACGTAACACTTCCTTGGTTAAATTAAAATCAACAAAGATAAAGAAAAAATAGTATACAAGTATAATTCACATATTCAAACCCGGAACATAATTTCATTTTAGATAGTGACCTTTCTGAAACTAGTATTAAATTTTTCATATTGCTGATACTCTGGCGAAATCAAACAAATAATCCCTAATTATGGTAATTGTGTTTCAAATTAACATTAAAAAAACCACTGTAAAAGAAATCAATCGACAATACATGTATACACATGGTTATCAATTTGATATGGACTATAAAGAAATGGATCTTCTTATACTCTTTTGTGAAGGACAGTTGCCGGTGTCATATCATATTTGTATCCCCCATCAAAAAAAGGATCCGGATCGTTTTTCTGATGGGGGATCCAAATATGATATGACACTGATATACAATGTATTCATATACATTATCTTGTTTTGTTAACATTCACACTGCAGTTGTTCATCGGAAACAATGACGCCAACACTGTGGTCAAGTCCAGTCTTGTTCCCAGCATCACTGCCGTGTATCTTCGAATTAATCCGAGAAGCTACAGTATTCATATAAGTCTCCGCTTTGACGTCAGTGGCTGCTACAAAGTCCAATACAAAATCGGTAAAGCAGGTGTTATTTCCTTAGTAAAATAATATTCGGATTTGATAAATATATCTGATTCTTATTAAAAATTCAGGTAGAAGTCAGATACACTAGTAAAATCAATCTTTGTTGTTTACATGTCACGGTTGATTTGAAGTGCAAGTACTTGATTCCAACAACATGTTTCGGTGTGTGATGTCGATACACTTGCAACAGAGGGGTTCAAGGGATGCAGGTTGATAATGACTTGGGTGAGGTTTAAATATTAACACAATGATCACATTGGAAAATATATGACGTTGGATATGTTTCATGCTCGTTACTGTACCTTGGTGGTTTTGTTGTCGTCCACCGTGTTCTCATTTGGTAACGACATGTCATTTACTAAATAGTACCAAGATGTACATTCAGGGTGACTTCGACGAAGCAGAAAACGGGTCTTCGTGTAGTTTTCATTTTTTTTTTTTCATATTTTGCCCTACTTTTAACGATTTTGAGTTTATTTTCATATTTTGTTGCCATGTTTGTATTTTGTCGCTTGTCGCTGTATTCCAGAGCGCCGTTCGGAATATTACAGAGTGCCGATGCTGCCATCACAAGAGTATAAACAAAATATTCTTTTTGAGACACCGTCAAGTTCCCTCCCGGAGTGCGGTAAGCAATGTCACAAGGACAAGAAATGTATTTCCTTCAGTTTTGACATGAGCCAGAGAAATTGTAGTGGATATTCATCAGTACCTGCCATACGCACAGCTTTCTCTGCCGGACTGACACCATTTTTCGTGAAAAACGGTACGAGTAGCTTGTTTAGCAATATGAATTTCCGATAATGAATGTAGAATCTAGCTTTTTAACCTTCGGTCATTTTTAAGGTTTCAGGAAGCGTTTTCTCTGAGCATTTTGGTGATCAGATGGCATAACTCTTCAGGTACGACTTTCTTTTCAGGAATATTCACATCGCTTGGCTACCGTCAAATCAAGAAAGGAGGCCTTATTTACAGAGTGAACGAAGTCAGCCTGAACCAGACAAGTGCTTCCGAAATGTGTATCCAACAACACTCACAGCTGGTCAGGATCGACTCCAAGTCCGACATGTTGAGTCTGCAGACCATCGTCGCTGGAAACACAATACTGGGTAGGATGACAACTAAAACATGTTTGGAGAAGAGTGCTTTGGATAACAACCGACAGCCTGTGTGTTGGTTGGGATGGTATCAGATGATGAGTGTGTTATATTGTGTAGATGTAGGTGCATTGCATGATACATTGACTGGAATACTCATGACACACAAATACAACATCACATCAATTACTCTGACACTAGCTACAAAAATTGTGGCTATTTTGCAGTGCTAATACAATAAACAATTAATAAAGTCATGATAACGACCTATGTACAGGCAGAGAGAACTGTGGTAACAACCTTAGTGATATTCTCTGGGACACTTTTCCCCTTTCTTAGTCTGAATCAATACGTTTTTCGGTTATAAGTATGGTGTTCAATCCAGAAATCACTTCAATTACTTGTTTATGCATATATCATATTAAATGATAGGATTTAGTTTTAGTATCTCCATAGTGTTAAAACCCTAGCTGCATCATCCAAATTTACAATAGATGCACAAAACCTTACTATCTATTCTTGGCTCTTCTGTATCTAATCGATTCCCCTTAGTCGCTTCAAAATGTAGGCCTTTAGCATCACTAACGAGTCCTAGAAGGACGAAACAGCTGTATGATGTAGTTTAAAACATTGTTTGATTCTTCTGTATCTAACTCTAAATTATCAAAAGGTCTATTCACTTGTGTCTTTTGTCCAATTTTTGAGCATTCATTTATTAAGGCTGTAGGTTCTGTCTCGTGAGTTGGCCGAGACTTTTAAAAATCATTAATGATATCTCAATGTTTTGATAGCGTAACAAATAAACAACATGTAGTAGTCTCCTAAAACCACTGAACAAACGCACTCACCTTGCACAGAGACCGTCCTAAAATGCCCATAACCTTTGATTAAACCTTGAATGTTAACAAATTAAACATAATGAGTACTTAGAGGTAAACATGTAATGGTCAGTCAATTGATAACACAAATCAAACATATTGACTACTAAAGTTACAATCAGAATCATGACGCATAACACATTTTCCCGTATTTATTTTTAGCCAAATACCACTTCCAGTTGTTCGTGTCCGGAATGTACATGTCAAACCAATGGCAGTACAGTGACGGTGAAATTATTAACAGCGCCCTCTGGTCTCCTGGCAACCCTGACCCAAGTCAAGGTCACTGTGTCGTGCTGACACGGAATGGTCTCACAAGTGAGAAGTGTTCGGAGAGACTTTTCTCTCTATGTGGGTGGTTTTAGTGAACCAACCATAATCAGATGAAAGATCACACCAGCAATGGAATTGCATGAAGTGAACATATATATGATGTTCCGGAAAAGAAAACTGAATCTGTCGCTAGTTCTAATTTTCTCTGGTCTGCTTCACAATCATCGTAATTAACATCTATGTAGTAGGGACATTATAAATTATTAGTTATTTTGTTCGTATAATGTCCAGCTTTAAAGAATATTAATTACTCAGTTGTTTACATCCCTAAACACTATCTTGGCCGTAATCACCAGTTTGGAATATTTTTGTATATGTGCAATATTACTGTTAGACTTGTGCTTTCATTTCTGAATAATTACAGTACATTGATGTTACTTTACATCCGTTGTTAATCAGTATATAAGTATAATTTCTATTCACACCAATTAAGAAACAACGATGTGTATGTAGTTTGAGTATATGGACATGTATATTGTATCGATGTTTATATGAAACTAACTTGGCTTATTCTCTTGAAAATAAAACAATATACGCTATAAATCTTCTTCTACTTATATATTTGGTTTTGTTTGATGCTTGTCTTGTTCAGTCTTTTGAAAGTAACTTCCTATTCTCTTAAAATTTCAATACTTATCCTTTGCAGCTAAAATAAAAAACAAGATAAAACCCGTTTAATAATAATTAAATATGTTTGGTTCCGGTATGCCATTTGAGTTACTTCAAAAGATGTTATCTTTTATGGTAGCAGGTAGTAGATATTGCTTGTGGATTTCGAGGTCCTGATGACCCGTTTGTCGTAATCTGCACGTCGTTTTTTAATTCATTCGAATAATGACACGTTTCAGAATATACATATGTATTTGACGTTGTTCTGAAATTATCTGATATATGATTTTTTTTAAAATTTCGTCTAGTGGAACCCCTAGTCTATATTTAAGCCTTTAGTATTACTGACAAATCCTAGAAGGACGAAACAGCTATTTCATTTCATGAACTGATTAACAAATTAGGATATTTGGCTGACGTTAAGAATTGGTCTTCAATTAGCAAAGTTAGAATATCATGGTCAGGCACTATTTAAAGTTACCAAACCTGTAACAAATGGAAATGATTATTTCATGTAAATGTTTTATGTAGAATTAAAGTTCTATATTGTTATCGTCAATTATTGAACTGTCAGGTTAAGCTTCTTATGTTAATTAACACTGGTTAAATAGTCAATTAGCATAACCTATGTAACTATTTCGTCAACAGAACCTGTTTTCAAATATCGTAGCCAAATTGTCGTATCGTTCCATGATTCTATTCTTATTCTATTCAGGTATGAGTGCATTTTATCTACTTGTTCTTGAAGGATATGCTATTGTATAAATATATTAAACACAATAATAAAAATCTTGTCTAAAGATATTCCTTCATTTCCTGTTTGGGGCAATAACATTCAATACGTTTTAAATAATTTGACAGTAAGAGATTGATTTGAAATTACATTACTTCCAAGACATTTTTATCATATCTGGTCGTTTATCTCCCGGCAATCAATATATAAGAGTCATCTTTAATAACATATTGATGAGTGTCAACCAGTCACCGGAGATAATTCCAACAAACCATGGCGATAGAAGTTCTTCAATCCTTATTTAAATTAATTTGTGTAACCAATCGATGAAATTTGCGAATAGCGACGAAGGCCCTACAATTTCGAAAATCGGTATTAGACAATTGAGAGTTTTTTTTCTACATTTGAAGTATAATATATATGTACTTATCTTACCAATTTACCAATGATCAGATACAGGTTAACAATGAAGTAAAAGTTCATACATGGAATAAAGATTCCACAATATTTACAAGTTCAGAAAATTTGCTTTTAACTCCAATAATAAACCTTAACAGAAGCGGACTCCGCATCCATTTATTTCCCATAATCTTTGCGTAGGTTACATATTAGTAGTTTCCAATTGTATTGAAGGCGAAAGTTACCCAGTCGATTTAATTGATTTGTGCTGTATCTTCTTTAACGTAATAGTTTGATTTATCTTACCTTTTTTGATACCGTCGATGTCTTACATGAACCAATTGCTTCTTATTTGTGAAAAGTAGTTTTCAATCTTAATGAAGGTGAATTTTCATTTTCAGATTCTCAGAATGAGATAAATTTGACAGCAACAATGAGAATATCATGACTTTACGTTAGCAAAGCTCGTGTCAGAGTCTGATGAGTTAAATCATTGTTTTATGTCGTATTGAACCTGCGATGTAACGATTATTTCCAATCCCTATTTCCTGTCTAGTGTCGTTAAGAAATCAGCAAGATAAATACAGGAAAGAAATTGTCAGATATATAGAATTGTCAAGAGTTTTCTAATACCATTTGTAAATATTTCGCGATAACATCATGTATTAGACGGATACCAATTGTAAATTATTGATATATCAATTTCTTGGGTGAAGTCACAATGCATTCAATTATAGGGTTATGACGTCACAATTGAATCAATTGGAACTTTCAGTCAAACATAGCTCCAACAATTCATTTTACATAATATGTATAACGTGCAATGGTTAATGTAGTGAAAACAGAGAAGTTGAGAAATATGCAATGTTCAGATATAAAAATATCTAGTTCTATGTAAAAGAACTTGTTATTCCTATCATAAGTATTAATAAATATTTCAGGTAAGCATGATTACGTTTTAAATGAGTGTACAGGACAGGTTTTTTTTTTTTAAAAAATTTCACTTTCGTGACAATATTGATTTTATTTCGTTGAAAATATTTATGTAACACGCATCATTAACATCATCTCTACACCATAATTTACCGAAACATAATGTGATTGACAATATCGACATCCATCCTTTTCATAAAAAATAGATAAGGTTGGTTGGAAGATGCGGTCTTTGAACCATATATATATAGGACTTCGCACGCTGTGATTATTTGAGGCTGTGCTGATGAAAAAAGATGAGTTTTAAGATGGAAAAATTCCGTCTTTTTGCTGAATTTGTGATGATTTGGTGGAAATTTTGTCAGACTGTTTCGGGTAAGTTCAAATATGTCAAATACATTTGAGGAATATTCGACACGAATAGTTGAGTAGAACTAGTTTACATAACATTTGCTATCATAACATATACAGTATCTGGTATGTTAAATTGAATCAGTTGACATATCATTTTCTCTTCGTAACTTATACAGTATAAGGGATTATAAGAGGAAGTATTTTACATGACTTTTCCCCTCCATAACCAATGCAGTATCTGGGATGTTAAATGGAACTAGTTTTATATAACATAATATTTGCCTCCGTGTAATGCTTGTCTTGTTCAGTCTTTTAAAGATTATTTCCAATCCTTTCGATATCAGAACAATTATAATTTGTAGCTATATAAACTCTTTGCTTTTGTCCGTCTCATCCTGACGTTGGACTATTTCACCATTAACTTTTCCTTTAACAAACATTTCTTTTCATGGGTATTTCCCCCGATCGAAGATTCTTCTGACAGATGTTTTTAGGTTTGACTACCAGTGTTTCTCGCCTTGGTGGTATGGGTTTAATCATGTATCTTACCTTTAAGATCAGACAATCTGTTCAGAGTACCTCATGTCTTTGTTGTTATTGTTTCAGTGACTCTAGTTTCCTTCAGACGAGAAAGCCTTTTTGAAGATAAGTTTTTTTTAAACATATTTGCTTTGTTTTGCACGAGATAGATGTTTTAGTACATTGCTATACAGTTAGATTAATAGGTTACCTGAAAACTTTTCCGATCTAAGACGAACAAAAATAGTAAATTATATGGTTCCTCCCAACCCACAGGAGCCTCAAATTGACTCAAATCTCACGTGTATTCATCTCAACACCAGTATATGGTAGAATCAAATGCTCTTCGTGAATGGAAGGATCTTAAGGTGATTACAATAGCTGTGAATTTCATGGTCTCAATGTCTCACATATTTCCCCTCGGGAGTTTACTATAGTTTTTTTTTATAAGAAAAACATTTTTTAACACTGATTTGGTTTAATTTTCATTGGAAATGCTTCAAAATTGATCAGAATTATGAACTAAGGCTAACGGCTTGATGGTATGCACATATTGATCCTGGCTGACTCAGATTTTAAAAATCCTTTTCCTGGGGAGGAGATACACTTTGATATAATTTGGTAGCAAAATTACATTTTTGAGCATAACGTTGTTTATTTACCCTTGGAAATAACTTTGTAAAGAATTATTACTACAGTATGGCGGTTTGATGGTATTGATGTGACTATCATAAATGTCGCAAGTTCTCTTTCGTGACACTTGAAAGCAACTTACCTTTTAATCTTTACATTCAATATTGCTTATCTCAGGTGACCATCAAGGCCATTAGGTCTCTTGTTCAGAATACCTCGCATCATGACTGTATGATGTTAAGCGTTGTTAAGCTTTAGAACCGAAAGCCTTTTCGGAATACCTCGTGTCTATGCTTGTATTATTTTCTTTTTGTTTGATACTGGACAATAAGTTTTAAGATTGCATTTTTCTTTGGTTTTAGGCCAAACAGTTTGTTCGGAGTATCTCGTGTCTGGACTTTATGGCGTGGAGAACTCTGCGATTTCCGCTTCATCTATATGGACATCGAACAGAAATGTATGCGGTCCCCAAAACTCCAGGCTACATTTCAATGGAACAAGAACTGGCGTAGCCTCGTCTTGGTGTGCGGGCACTCTCGATGATCAGCAGCACATACAGGTATCTGTATTATTTTATCATTGTGTTACAGAGAACGAATAATAGCTTCATTGTATTGACACAGTTATGTCTGAATTTGTGTCAACAAACATCGACCACAAACTCAGAGCACCTTGGACTTTACTAACGAATAACTACAGGGAATATAATTTAATAACTTATGCTGTTTAGATGTTTCGATGTTATTGTCATGACAGGCTTTGACATATAACAAATCTATGAACAAGGTTTAAACAATGATTATGATGACAGTTGGAAAGATTAATGCTCCCGAATGATTCAACGTATGATTTAGAGATGTTCAGTGTCTTTGTAATATATCAAAGATTTTCGACTTTCTGTCATCAATATGCCAATTTTATTATCTTGTTTATCATTTATCATACTTAGACATAACGTTACTCGTAGAAGAAGACACTTATCCTTCTTTGACATCTCTTCTTAGTATCATTGTACTTTTCAAGAAACTCTCTACTGAGACTCATGTTACATCATTTTTAATCTCAGTTAAAATTTCATATGTTTGTATCATGTACAGCGTAATGATTGCGCTTCCAATAGCAGTTGATGCCGTGATGATAAAGTATAGGTGTGTGTTTCAGGTCCGATTCCCGAGGGAAACAATAGTTGATGCCGTGATGATACAGAATATGTCTGTGTTTCAGGTTCGATTCCCGAGAGAGACATGGGATGCCGTGATGATATAGTATATGTCTGTGTTTCAGGTCTGATTCCCGAGAGAGACAGTAGTTGAAGCCGTGGTGATACAGAATATGTCTGTGTTTCAGGTTCGATTCACGAGAGAGACATGGGATGCCGTAATAATATAGTATATGTCTGTGTTTTAGGTTCGATTCCCGAGAGAGACAGTAGTTGAAGCCGTGATAATACAGTATAGGTGTGTGTGTTTCAGGTCCGATTCCCGGTAAAGACAGTAGTTGATGTCGTGAAGATATTGGATATGTCTGTGTTTCAGGTTCGATTCCTGGGAGAGACATGTGATGCCGTGATTATACATATATCCGTGTTTCAGGTTCGATTCCCGAGAGAGACATGGGATGCTGTGATGATACAGTATAGGTGTGTGTTTCAGGTTCGATTCCCGAGAGAGACAGTCGTTGATGCCGTGATGATATTGTATATGTCTGTGTTTCAGGTTCGATTCCCGAGAGAGACAGAACTTGATGCCGTGATGATACAGAGTAGAAGTATGTTTCAGGTTCGATTCCCGCGAGAGACAGTAGTTAGTGCCGTAATGATATAGTATATGTCTGTGTTTCAGGTTCGATTCCCGAGAGAGACATGTGATGCCGTGATGATACAGTATAGGTGTGTGTTTCAGGTTCGATTCCCGAGAGAGACAGTAGTTGGTGCCGTGATGATACAGTATATGTCTGTGTTTCAGGTTCGATTCCCTCGAGAGACAGTAGTTGGTGCCGTGATGATACAGTATAGGTGTGTGTTTCAGGTTCGATTCCCGCGAGAGACAGTAGTTGGTGCCGTGATGATACAGTATATGTCTGTGTTTCAGGTTCGATTCCCGCGAGAGACAGTAGTTGGTGCCGTGATGATACAGTATAGGTGTGTGTTTCAGGTTCGATTACCGCGAGAGACAGTAGTTGGTGCCGTGATGATAAAAGGGCGGCAGGAAGAAGAATTGTATCAATATGTCGAGACATATTATCTCCTATACAGCATGGACGGTATCACGTGGTCTTATGTGACCTCAGAAATCCAACAACCAAAGGTAGGATGCGACTTCAAATTTGAACATAAAACATCTTTTAACTTTACCTTTTGAAAGCTTAATCTTTGTGGTGTTAGATGTTGTTATATTGAATTATTGAGGCAGTGAATTTGAATACTGATTATTATTGTGTAAGACCTGTCATTCCATATCTTTGTAATTCAGTTCCGTTTTTTCATGTGCTTTATGTTCGAATCCCACGCAAAAATCTGAAATATTATGATATGAATTACAATATAACTAACCATACCCCGACGTGGTGAAGTCATATCAAGTTCTTAATCACAATAGTATTATAGTAGTATCAATATCTACTTTATCTTGGTTGAAAGTAAGACACTTTTAGATAGATGGGTTCTTGGTAAAAAAATAATTAGACTTATTCCCTCACCAAAACACTTTGCCAAAAATCAGTTATGAAAAAAAGTTTTAAAATACTTTAACTTTTCTAAAACCGCAACTTCAACATTACCAGCCGTTATATATGTTCTAAAAATAAAACAAATCGAGTTTTTTACCACAAAACATAAATAGCATCATCAAACGACACAAAGTGTCACACTTGTTATATTGTATTTAGAATGGTTTTTTACTGCAGCATTGTGTTTGCCGCACTCACTTCGCAACAAAAATATTATCATTTCAAGATATTTTATCTTATGCGACCGGTATGTGACTGTCGAAATATTGTCTATTTTTTTATAACTTACTGGTAGCTTTTAGTCTTAGTTTGAGAGAATTCTCTAATCGATTTTTTGCTATATAAATCGACAACTTCAGTTGTTCACCGGAAACAATGGTTCGAACACAGTGGTGAAGTCCAGCCTCGTTCCCAGCATCACTGCCGTATATCTTCGAATTAATCCAAGAAGCTTCCATCATTACATAAGTCTTCAGTTTGATGTCAGTGGCTGTTATAAAGTCGAGGAGACAGGTATGGCACCTTTAGTCTTTCCTTAATTTCTTATTTTGCCTTATCTTTTACATTTAAAAAAACTTGTTTTTATCTTAATAAAGTCATTTTTAAAGACGTGTTTAACACGAAGTATAATGCAGTTCCCATATAAAATGATCTCTCTTGACGTGTCGTCGATAGGTGAAGGCGAAGTAGTCATTTTAGGTATTCAATCTTCTAAATGATTAAACGCTACTATCCATGACTTTTACCACAAACAATACCTGGTGATAGCAATGTTTTCTTCTTATTACAGTTACTAAAGATGACAGTCTTTTTATCACCAAACTCCGTTCCCTTTATGAGATCTTTTTATATCGATCTCAGATTACAATACCATTTCTCTGTCGCAATTTCAAATGTTTTACGCTATATTCTTCTCAGAAGTATGAAAGAAATAGGGTGAGGTTTTGTTGAACTGAAACTGATGTAAATTTCTTATGTTCCAGAGGGATGTTCGGGTATTCGTGTAATTTTCCTTTTGTTCATATTTTGCCCTACTTTTATCGATTTTGATATTCTGTTGCCATGTTTGTATTTTTCCATTTGTTTTCTGTATTCCAGGGCGCCGTTCGGAATTTTACAGAGTGCCGATGCTGTCATCACAAGTGTATAAACAAAATATTATTTTTGAGACACCGTCAAGTTCCCTCCCGGAATGCGGTAAGCAATGTCACAAGGACAAGAGATGTATTTCCTTCAGTTTTGACATGAGCCAGAGAAATTGTAGTGGATATCCATCAGTACCTGCCATACACACAGCTTTCTCTGCCGGACTGACACCATTTTTCGTGAAAAAAGGTATGAGTAGCTTGTTTAGTAATATGAATTTCCGAGAATGAATGTAGAATCTATCTTTTTAACCTTCGGTCATTTTTAAGGTTTCAGGAAGCATTTTCTCTGAGCTTGGTGATAAGATGACATAACTCTTCAGGTACGACTTTCTTTTCAGGAATATTCACATCGCTTGGCTACCGTCAAATCAAGAAAGGAGGCCTTATTTACAGAGTGAACGAAGTCAGCCTGAACCAGACAAGTGCTTCCGAAATGTGTATCCAACAACACTCACAGCTGGTCAGGATCGACTCCAAGTCCGACATGTTGAGTCTGCAGACCATCGTCGCTGGAAACACAATACTGGGTAGGATGACAACTAAAACATGTTTGGAGAAGAGTGCTTTGGATAACAACCGACAGCCTGTGTGTTGGTTGGGATGGTATCAGATGATGAGTGTGTTATATTGTGTAGATGTAGGTGCATTGCATGATACATTGACTGGAATACTCATGACACACAAATACAACATCACATCAATTACTCTGACACTAGCTACAAAAATTGTGGCTATTTTGCAGTGCTAATACAATAAACAATTAATAAAGTCATGATAACGACCTATGTACAGGCAGAGAGAACTGTGGTAACAACCTTAGTGATATTCTCTGGGACACTTTTTCCCTTTCTTAGTCTGAATCAATACGTTTTTCGGTTATAAGTATGGTGTTCAATCCAGGGATCACTTCAATTACTTGTTTATGCATATACTGGGTATTAAATGATAGGATTTAGTTTTAGTATCTCCATAGTGTTAAAACCCTAGCTGCATCATCCAAATTTACAATAGATGCACAAAACCTTACTATCTATTCTTAGCTCTTCTGTATCTAATCGATTTTCCTTAGTCGCATCCTAAACTTCAAAATGTAGGCCTTTAGCATCACTAACGAGTCCTAGAAGGACGAAACAGCTGTATGATGTAGTTTAAAACATTGTTTGATTCTTCTGTATCTAACTCTAAATTATCAAAAGGTCTATTCACTTGTGTCTTTTGTCCAATTTTTGAGCATTCATTTATTAAGGCTGTAGGTTCTGTCTCGTGAGTTGGCCGAGACTTTTAAAAATCATTAATGATATCTCAATGTTTTGATAGCGTAACAAATAAACAACATGTAGTAGTCTCCTAAAACCACTGAACAAACGCACTCACCTTGCACAGAGACCGTCCTAAAATGCCCATAACCTTTGATTAAACCTTGAATGTTAACAAATTAAACATAATGAGTACTTAGAGGTAAACATGTAATGGTCAGTCAATTGATAACACAAATCAAACATATTGACTACTAAAGTTATAATCAGAATCATGACGCATAACACATTTTCCCGTATTTATTTTTAGCCAAATACCACTTCCAGTTGTTCGTGTCCGGAATGTACATGTCAAACCAATGGCAGTACAGTGACGGTGAAATTATTAACAGCGCCCTCTGGTCTCCTGGCAACCCTGACCCAAGTCAAGGTCACTGTGTCGTGCTGACACGGAATGGTCTCACAAGTGAGAAGTGTTCGGAGAGACTTTTCTCTCTATGTGGATGGTTTTAGTGAACCAACAGTAATCAGATGAAAGATCACACCAGCAATGGAATTGCATGAAGTGAACATATATATGATGTTCCGGAAAAGAAAACTGAATCTGTCGCTAGTTCTAATTTTCTCTGGTCTGCTTCACAATCATCGTAATTAACATCTATGTAGTAGGGACATTATAAATTATTAGTTATTTTGTTCGTATAATGTCCAGCTTTAAAGAATATTAATTACTCAGTTGTTTACATCCCTAAACACTATCATGGCCGTAATCACCAGTTTGGAATATTTTTTGTATATGTGCAATATTACTGTTAGACTTGTGCTTTCATTTCTGAATAATTACAGTACATTGATGTTACTTTACATCCGTTGTTAATCAGTATATAAGTATAATTTCTATTCACACCAATTAAGAAACAACGATGTGTATGTAGTTTGAGTATATGGACATGTATATTGTTATCGATATGTTTATATGAAACTAACTTGGCTTATTCTCTTAAAAATAAAACAATATACGCTATAAATCTTGTTCTACTTATATATTTGGTTTTGTTTGATGTTTGTCTTGTTCAATCTTTTAAAAGTAACTTCCCCTTCTCTTAAAATTTCAATACTTATCCTTTGCAGCTAAAATAAAAAACAAGTTAAAACGCGTTTAATGATAATTAGATATGTCTGGTTCCGGTATGCCATTTGAGTTACTTCAAAAGATGTTATCTTTTATGGTAGCAGGTAGTAGATATTGCTTGTGGATTTCGAGGTCCTGATGACCCGTTTGTCGTAATCTACACGTCGTGTTTTAATTCATTCGAATAATGACACGTTTCAGAATATACATATGTATTTGACGTTGTTCTGAAATTATCTGATATATGATTTTTTTTTTAATTTCGTCTAGTGGAACCCCTAGTCTATATTTAAGCCTTTAGTATTACTGACAAATCCTAGAAGGACGAAACAGCTATTTCATTTCATGAACTGATTAACAAATTAGGATATTTGGCTGACGCTAAGAATTGGTCTTCAATTAGCAAAGTTAGAATATCATGGTCGGGCACTATTTAAGAAAAAAGTTACCAAACCTGTAACAAATGGAAATGATTATTTCATGTAAATGTTTTATGTAGAATTAAAGTTCTATATTGTTATCGTCAATTATTGAACTTTCAGGTTAAGCTTCTTATGTTAATTAACACTTGTTAAATAGTCAATTAGCATAACCTATGTAACTATTTCGTCAACAGAACCTGTTTTCAAATATCGTAGCCAAATTGTCGTATCGTTCCATGATTCTATTCTTATTCTATTCAGGTATGAGTGCATTTTATCTACTCGTTCTTGAAGGATATGCTATTGTATAAATATATTAAACACAATAATAAAAATCTTGTATAAAGATATTCCTTCATTTCCTGTTTGGGGCAATAACATTCACTACGTTTTAAATAATTTGACAGTAAGAGATTGATTTGAAATTACATTACTTCCAAGACATTTTTATCATACCTGGTCGTTTATCTCCCGGCAATCAATATATAAGAGTCATCTTTAATAACATATTGATGAGTGTCAACCAGTCACCGGAGATAATTCCAACAAACCATGGCGACAGAAGTTCTTCAATCCTTATTTAAATTAATTTGTGTAACCAATCGATGAAATGTGCGAATAGCGACGAAGGCCCTACAATTTCGAAAATCGGTATTAGACAATTGAGAGTTTTTTTTCTACATTTGAAGTATAATATATATGTACTTATCTTACCAATTTACCAATGATCAGATACAGGTTAACAATGAAGTAAAAGTTCATACATGGAATTAATATTCCACAATATTTACAAGTTCAGAAAATTTGCTTTTAACTCCAATAATAAACCTTAACAGAAGCGGACTCCGCATCCGTTTATTTCCCATAATCTTTGCGTAGGTTACTTATTAGTAGGTTCCAATTGTATTGAAGGCGAAAGTTACCCAGTCGATTTAATTGATTTGTGCTGTATTTTCTTTAACGTAATAGTTTGATTTATCTTACCTTTTTTGATACCGCCGATGTCTTACATGAACCAATTGCTTCTTATTTGTGAAAAGTAGTTTTCAATCTTAATGAAGGTGAATTTTCATTTTCAGATTCTCAGAATGAGATAAATTTGACAGCAACAATGAGAATATCATGACTTTACGTTAGCAAAGCTCGTGTCAGAGTGTGATGAGTTAAATCATTGTTTTATGTCGTATTGAACCTGCGATGTAACGATTATTTCCAATCCCTACTTCCTGTCTAATGTTATAGTAGACAGTGTCGTTAAGAAATCAGCAAGATAAATACAGGAAAGAAATTGTCAGATATATAGAATTGTCAAGAGTTTTCTAATACCATTGGTAAATATTTCGCGATAACATCATGTATTAGACGGATACCAATTGTAAATTATTGATATATCAATTTCTTGGGTGAAGTCACAATGCATTCAATTATAGGGTTATGACGTCACAATTGAATCAATTGGAACTTTCAGTCAAAAATAGCTCCAACAATTCATTTTACATAATATGTATAACGTGCAATGGTTAATGTAGTGAAAACAGAGAAGTTGAGAAATATGCAATGTTCAGATATACAAATATCTAGTTCTATACAAACGAACTTGTTATTCCAATCAGAAGTATTGATAAATATTTTAGGTAAGCATTATTACGTTTTAAATGAGTTTACAGGACAGGTTTTTTTAAAAAAAAAATTCACTTTCGTGACAATATTGATTTTATTTCGTTGAAAATATTTATGTAACACGCATCATTAACATCATCTCTACACCATAATTTACCGAAACATAATGTGATTGACAATATCGACATCCATCCTTTTCATAAAAAAAATAGATAAGGTTGGTTGGAAGATGCGGTCTTTGAACCATATATATATAGGACTTCGCACGCTGTGATTATTTGAGGCTGTGCTGATGAGAAAAGATGAGTTTTAAGATGGAAAAATTCCGTCTTTTTGCTGAATTTGTGATGATTTGGTGGAAATTTTGTCAGACTGTTTCGGGTAAGTTCAAATATGTCAAATACATTTGAGGAATATTCGAGACGAATAGTTGAGTAGAACTAGTTTACATAACATTTGCTATCATAACATATACAGTATCTGGTATGTTAAGTTGAATCAGTTGACATATCACTTTCTCTTCGTAACTTATACAGTATAAGGGATTATAAGAGGAAGTATTTTACATGAATTTTCCCCTCCATAACCAATGCAGTATCTGGAATGTTAAATGGAACTAGTTTTATATAACATAATATTTGCCTCCGTGTAATGCTTGTCTTGTTCAGTCTTTTAAAGATTATTTCCAATCCTTTCGATATCAGAACAATTATAATTTGTAGCTATATAAACTCTTTGCTTTTGTCCGTCTCATCCTGACGTTGGACTATTTCACCATTAACTTTTCCTTTAACAAACATTTCTTTTCATGGGTATTTCCCCCGATCGAAGATTCTTCTGACAGATGTTTTTAGGTTTGACTACCAGTGTTTCTCGCCTTGGTGGTATGGGTTTAATCATGTATCTTACCTTTAAGATCAGACAATCTGTTCAGAGTACCTCATGTCTTTGTTGTTATTGTTTCAGTGACTCTAGTTTCCTTCAGACGAGAAAGCCTTTTTGAAGATAAGTTTTTTTTAAACATATTTGCTTTGTTTTGCACGAGATAGATGTTTTAGTACATTGCTATACAGTTAGATTAATAGGTTACCTGAAAACTTTTCCGATCTAAGACGAACAAAAATAGTAAATTATATGGTTCCTCCCAACCCACAGGAGCCTCAAATTGACTCAAATCTCACGTGTATTCATCTCAACACCAGTATATGGTAGAATCAAATGCTCTTCGTGAATGGAAGGATCTTAAGGTGATTACAATAGCTGTGAATTTCATGGTCTCAATGTCTCACATATTTCCCCTCGGGAGTTTACTATAGTTTTTTTTTATAAGAAAAACATTTTTTAACACTGATTTGGTTTAATTTTCATTGGAAATGCTTCAAAATTGATCAGAATTATGAACAAAGGCTAACGGCTTGATGGTATGCACATATTGATCCTGGCTGACTCAAATTTTAAAAATCCTTTTCCTGGGGAGGAGATACACTTTGATATAATTTGGTAGCAAAATTACATTTTTGAGCATAACGTTGTTTATTTACCCTTGGAAATAACTTTGTAAAGAATTATTACTACAGTATGGCGGTTTGATGGTGTTGATGTGACTATCATAAATGTCGCAAGTTCTCTTTCGTGACACTTGAAAGCAACTTACCTTTTAATCTTTACATTCAATATTGCTTATCTCAGGTGACCATCAAGGCCATTAGGTCTCTTGTTCGGAATACCTCGCATCATGACTGTATGATGTTAAGCGTTGTTAAGCTTTAGAACCGAAAGCCTTTTCGGAATACCTCGTGTCTATGCTTGTATTATTTTCTTTTTGTTTGATACTGGACAATAAGGTTTAAGATTGCATTTTTCTTTGGTTTTAGACCAAACAGTTTGTTCGGAGTATCTCGTGTCTGGACTTTATGGCGTGGAGAACTCTGCAATTTCCGCTTCATCTATACGGACATCGAACAGAAATGTATGCGGTCCCCAAAACTCCAGGCTACATTTCAATGGAACAAGAACTGGCGTAGCCTCGTCTTGATGTGCGGGCACTCTCGATGATCAGCAGCACATACAGGTATCTGTATTATTTTATCATTGTGTTACAGAGAACGAATAATAGCTTCATTGTATTGACACAGTTATGTCTGAATTTGTGTCAACAAACATCGACCACAAACTCAGAGCACCTTGGACTTTACTAACGAATAACTACAGGGAATATAATTTAATAACTAATGCTGTTAGATGTTTCGATGTTATTGTCATGACAGGCTTTGACATATAACAAATCTATGAACAAGGTTTAAACACAGATTATGATGACAGTTGGAAAGATTCATGCT